AAGATGAAGGTTAGATACGAGGATCTGCAGCAACAGTCAAACAGTAAATAAGATAGGGAAAGAATTATTAGACATAAGGGAGATTCATGAGAAGGGGCAAAGTACTCAACCAATAATATGGGATACAATGAAAGCAGTGGTGAGGGGAATTAGGATTAGGGAATCCAGTAAATTGGGGGAAAAACAACAAGAAGAAGAGATGAAAAAGTTAGAGGAAGAAATGAGGACACTGGAAAATCAATATATTAATGAAAAAGATAAAAGAAGTTAAGCACAATTACAGGCAAAAAGGAAGGAGTTAGAAAATAAAGATATGGAAAAGAAATTTGCTCCCTTAAATCACAGGCATGCTGATTTGTCTTGACCCAGATGGCTGAACCGGCCACAACCTGAACTGACCTCTGTCCTGCCGCAAGCACCAAGGTCTCAGCTGCTAAGGTGGCAGGAGTCTGATCAAGTTTCTTTTGACTCCTCCGGTGTTTATACTACATTTTTAAAGATTTCCCTTGAGAGAGAGTCTTTGAACCTCTTTTGTTGACCACCAGCATTAAGCTTTCCATTTTTAAGTTCGGAGTAGAGCAGTTGCTTTGGAAGACGATAATCAGGCATCTGAACATCATGACCAGTCCAACAAAGTTGATGTTGAAGAATCATCACTTCGACACTGGTGATCTTTGCTTCTTCCAATACACTGGCATTAGTTCACCTTTCTTCCCAAGCGATGTGTAAAATATTTCGGAGACACCGTTGACGGAGTTGGATTTCGAGGAGTTGGAGATGGCGTTTATAAGTGGCCCACATTTCACAAGTGTTCAGTAAACATGGTAGTGCAATAGCTTTGTAAAGGAGCATTTTTAAACTATAATGTAGTGAACGAGAACAATAAGTGAGAGAGGACACTGAATTTTGCCACCGCGCAAGGCGCTGCTGAAATTTTGAAAGACCAATAATTCGCCGCTGCCAGTCCAAAGTAGTTTGACTTCACTCCCAATGGCGCATTCCTGCATTGTCTCTTGATAATAATAATAATAATAATAATAATTTATTATTTATACCCTGCCCATCTGGTTAGGCTTCCCCAGCCACTCTGGGCGGCTTCCAACCAAATATTAAAATACAGTAATGCATCAAACATTTTTGATAAGAATAATGATCTGTTGTTAGCTTGACGGAAGTGTACAATAGATGAGCTTTCTTGCTTTGGCTCATCTTCCTTTTTCTTTTTTTTTCTTTTTTTTTTCCTTTTCTTTTACCTTCCCCATAGTTGCTTATGTTCTGTGCCATGTACTTCGATATTTTTTGTAGTTTTTTTTGAAGTTTTTTTTCATTACTATTAAGGAATTTTCCTTTGTAATTTTGGTTGTCTATATTTATATGCACCTCTTTAAAGCAAAATAAAAGTTTAAAAAAACCAACAACCATTAAAAGCTTCCCTAAACAGACAGACTGATGCCAACCATTCAGGGGTGCCAACTTGAATAAAATATTGCGGGGTGGAGACACCCTGGTAAGCCTTGCCCCACATTATTGATCCACACACGTCATTTGAATGGGAATGGCCGTCAACTTTGTGGGGGCCATAGGCCCCCCTCAAATATTTTATTTTGGGGGGGGGGTGCCGTGGCCCCTAGGAATTGGCTCCTATCCAACCGTGTCCTTTTCTTCCCCTTTTCTTCCCCTCAGACATCTCGAACTACAACTCCCATCAGCCCCGGCCTGACTAAGCGCCGTGCCGGGGATTGTGGGAGTTGTAGTCCAGCAGCGTCAGGCGGGTCGAACCCCATTGGCTGGCGCCGCCGCGCGTAAGCGTCGAGCAGGCCCAAGCCGGCCTCCCCTTACGCGTCCCCATGGCAACCCCGCGCCCTCCGCCCCGCGCCCCCGACCACCCAATCAGCGACCGTCTCTTCCACCTCCCGCGAGGCGAGGCGGAGGCCGCTTAGCCAATCGGGCGAGAACGACGAGGGGAAGTGACCTATGACAGCGTAGAAGACGCCGCGGTGGGGCGGGGCGTCCTCTTCGGGGTTTTTTTAGCCAGTACTAGAGCGCGCGGAGTGCGCATGCTCGGAGGAGGAGGAGGGGGGAGGTAAACAAAATGGCGGCGGCGTGTTAGCTGCGGCGGCAGGCAGGCAAGGAGAGGGGCGAGGCGGCTTTGACGTAGTCAGGGGAGGGGAGCAGCCGGCCAGCCAGCCCCCCACATAGCCGCCCCTTGGGGAGCGGCAGAGCCCCCCCAACCCCCCCACCTATCCCCCGTCAGGCTCGAGGGGGGAGGGGTCCCAGAAGGACTCTGACTCACCCCCCCTGCTACTTGAGCGCAGGGCTTGGGCCTAGTGGTTTTTTCCTGGGGGGGTGGGGAAGGCGCCCCCTCATAAACAGCAGACTCCCCATATTCATTTTAAGCCGTGTGTGTGTGTGTGAGAGAGGGGGGTGCTCTCCTTGCAGGGGGGGAAAGGCGGAGGGGGGAGGGTCTGTGTGTCTGTGGACGGGAGGGGGGTGGAATAAGCTATTTTTATATAATTTATATTTTTTATTTAAATAGGGAAAAGTGTGTGCGTCTATATATAGACACACACTTGGTGTTGGGGTTTTGTGGGGTGGAGTTCGGTCGCCTGTCATTTAGGGAAGGCAAACTGACTGATAGGAGTTCTGTTAATTGACTCCTCTGGCAATTCAGGGCCCTTCTTCCCCTTAAGGAGGAAAGTTTCTTCCCCAGTTTTTAGTAGTGAAAGTCCATTAGTTAATCTCCATTCCCAACCCTTTCTTTTTCTTTCTTTCTTGTTTTTGGGGGGTGACATTTATTTTCCCCCACCCCATTCTTAAAAGAAGATTGGGGAAGAAGTTGTAGGGAACTCTTGGTTGACAGGCAGTGACCCTTCTTGAGGAAAGCTAATTCTCCACCACCCTAATTTTTAAGTTGAATCCCACGAGGAATTAAACCCCCTTTTTCATTGGGGAGGAGTGATCCTGAGTTGAAAGGACTCTTGCCTCTTTTTTTGTGGACGGGTTAGTGATTCCTCCTGTTAGAAATTGTGACGGGGAATTAAGTCAAAGAGTATTACATTAAGCAGAGGTGCCTCCGTTAGTCGACTTCCCTCTTCCCCCTCCCCTTTTCCCCCAATTTAGAAACTCTTCTGAGAAGGGAAGACCCTTACCTCTTCTTCCCTTGTGGTGGTGTTATTTTTTCGCTTCTGTTGCCCCTTCTGTTAGGGTCAGATTTTCTCTTCCTCACCCCACTTGCCTTTGCAGAGAGCTATCACCCTTTAAGTAGCTCTCATTAATTGCCACCGTTTGGGGGTAATTGTTATAGCTGTCTCCCAATCGGCACTTGTTTTTCTTTTAGCTCTTAAGTTCTCTCTGGCTGAGAAGGGACCAGGTACTTTCTGTCCCTTAACATTTTTTCCCCTCTGGGTTGAATGCATGGGAGACTAGGCATCTCCCATTCTACAGATTTCCCTTCCACCCCTTCTCCTGTAGAGAGAGAAGGCTCCAGATAAGGACTCCCTAATTTTGTGGGTGCCAATCTTGTCAAGAGGAAGATTCTTGGGGATTATTGAAGCTCTTCAAAAGAGAGAAGAGTCCCATTAGGGATTTGGGAGGAAAGGATCTACTTTCTCCCACCCCCCAAAAAAAGTTAATATTCTCTCCACCTGTTTGACAGGCAGCTTGGTCTCTTGTGGGAACGGTACAATTACCTGTTAAGGGAAAATCTCCCAATTCCCCCTTTTTTTTTCCTTTTCCCAACTCATGTGCCAAGGATAACTTTCTCTTGACTCTCTGGGCTTGTGAACATCACATTGCATTTCCTTATTTAGATCGGAAGGCCACATAAACAGAACGGTGTGTGTGTGTGTGTCTGTTCAGAAAGGGACTTACTCTCAGCAAGATCGGTCAGGAGTCTGGCACTAATGGGATCAATCTGTTCTGAGCGATGCCTTCAAAAGCCTGGTGTTGCTGCAGAATAGCTTGAAGGTAGAGGGGTTCCCCAAGAGTAGGATGATTAGAGGCCTCCCCTCTTTTTTCAAGACAGTTGCTTAAGCTGGATGAATTGTGTAAGCTTAAACTTGCCTCTGGAGAGCTTGCTCAAGCACCATCCCCTCCTCTCTCTCTCTTTTTGTGGGTGCTTAGTTCTGGGAGACTTGAATAGGGTTTGAGCTGCCTGCCTGCCTGCCTACCTTAATACCTGAAGCAGTGGGGTGACACATCATGTGTCAGGTCGACCCCAAGTGGTTGAAGGATGCCCCTGGTAGTACCTACTAGACACGGAAGGCCTCGATCCTTTTTCAAGGGCGGAAGAGAAGCAGTTGAAATCAGTATTGAAAATTCCTTTAAAAAGACTTGGTTCCAGCTGCCGAACGGCTGAGAGGACTCTCGTCGGAGGTCGTACCTGGGTGGTGAGAGTGGTCAAAGCCGAGGGGCGGGTTTGGGCTCCTTGATTCTTCACCGCACAGTTTGGAAACAGGAGCTGCCATGCTTTGCTAGCAATGGAACACCCTCCGAGAGACTAGCTTTCTGTTTCCAAACGCAGGAAGTAGTCTTGAAGATGACTTAGGTCCTCGAGGAAGGGGGGGAAATACCTTGGACTTCCTCAGGAGAACATTACCTGATGTGAAAGACTTGGAGCAGCAAAAACGAGATTTTTTTTTTCAAAGAGAAGTTAAAGCTGACTGTAGATCAACTTTGTTGCTTTCCCCCATCCACATTGTTTAAGAGAAGCTCTATAAGTATCGGAACGAGGTGCTGGATCTCTGTAGGGCCCTCGTGGGCTCGAGAGAAAAGTTCTCATAGGCTTTTATTTTTCATTTGTAAGTTAAAACGTTTGTACAATCTTTTTGGGAATTCTCGATTTACCTCCGCTGAACATCCTTCTTCCCCACACCTCCAAAAATTGGGAGTAAAAAGGGAGCATCTGATACGCCAGGAAAGTGGATTTTTAAACCTTTGGCACGCGCACACACTTGTCGTCGTCGTAGAACGCAAACAGGCTTGGGTCATTTCGATTCGCGATGGAGGACTCCCAGCAGCTGGGGATGTTTGTCGAAAGCGAACTGATCTCGGTGGGCATGGATACGTTCATCCACCGCATAGACTCTACGGAAGTGATCTACCAGCCCCGCCGGAAAAGGGCAAAGCTCATAGGCAAGTACCTGATGGGAGACCTGCTTGGGGAAGGATCCTACGGCAAGGTCAAGGAGATGCTGGACTCCGAAACCCTCTGTAGGAGAGCAGTCAAGATCCTGAAGAAGAAGAAGCTGCGGAGGATCCCCAATGGGGAGGCCAATGTTAAAAAGTAAGTGTTGGGGTTTTTTTGGGGGGGTGGGAGAGGGTTTGGGGGTGAGGGTAGGCCCATACCTACAAAAATTGAGCGTAGTTGTGTCTTCATAGCACGTTGTTGTTGTTCTTTAGCCGTTTAGTCGTGTCCGACTCTTCGTGACCCCCTGGACCAGAGCACGCCAGGCACTCCTGTCTTCCACTGCCTCCCGCAGTTTAGTCAAATTCATGCTGGTAGCTTCGAGAACACTATCCAACCATCTCATCCTCTGTCATCCCCTTCTCCTTACGCCCTCCATCTTTCCCAACATCAGGGTCTTTTCCAGGGAGTCTTCTCTTCTCATGAGGTGGCCAAAGTATTGGAGTCTCAGCTTCAGGATCTGTCCTTCCAGTGAGCACTCAGGGCTGATTTCCTTCAGAATGGAGAGGTTTGATCTTCTTTCAGTCTATGGGACTCTCAAGAGTCGTAGCACATTACTGCAGAATAAAGTAAAGGACCCCTGGACGGTTAAGTCCAGTCAAAGGCGACTGGGGTTGCAACGCTCATCTCGCTTTCAGGCCGAGGGATCCGGCGTTTGTCCACAGACAGCTTTCCAGGTCATGTGACCAGCAGGACTAAACTGCTTCTGGCGCAGTGGGACACCATGACCGAAACTAGAGTGCACGGAAATACCAGGGATGCGGGTGGCACTGTAGTGTAAACCGCTGAGCCTCTTGGGCTTGCCGATCGGAAGGTCCGCAATTCGAATCACTGCAACAGAGTGAGCTCCCGTTGCTCTGTCCCGGCTCCTGCCAACCTTGCAGTTCGAAAGCATGCCAGTGCAAGTAGATAAATAGGTACCGCTGTGGCGGGAAGGTAAACGGCGTTTCTGTGTGCTCTGGTTTCCATCACGGTGTTCCATTACGCCAGAAGCAGTTTAGTCCTGCTGGCCACATGACCTGGAAAGCTGTCTGTTGACAAACGCCAGCTCCCTCGGCCTGAAAAGTGAGATGGGCGCCGCAACCCCAGAGTCCCCTTGGACTTTCCATGGGTCCTTTACCTTTTACCTTTACTGCAGAATTCATTCCCACAAGACATAGTGGTGGCCGCCAACTTGGATGTCTTTGAAAGAGGATTAGACAGATTGGAGGATGCTGTCGATGGGTTTTGTCCGGTGGCTGTGTTTTGCCTTCCCCATTGGAGGGAATTTTCTACTGCTGGAACTCAGAAGTGGGGAGAGTTGCTCTCTCGCTTAGGTCGTGCTTATGGGTTTCCCATGGGGCCATCTGCTTGGCCAATGTGAGAAGAGGATGCCGGTCTCGATGGCGCCCCCCCTTGGCCTGATCTAGCAGGAAGGCTGTTATGTTCTTATTACAGCAAGCGCTGGGAACCTCTGGCCTAGGAGGATACATGCTGCCCTCTGCGTAATTGCAAAGAAGTGGGAGAAGTGGGTGCGGAAAGGCAGGAAGGGATGGGGGCACACATTAGGCCAGGCGTGGCCAAACTTGGCCCTCCGGCTGTTTTGGGACTACAATTCCCATCATCCCTGACCACTGGTCCTGTTAGCTACGGATGATGGGAGTTGTAGTCCCAAAACAGCTGGAGGGGCCAAGTTTGGCCATGCCTACATAAGGCCCAGCCCCCTCTCTCACTGCTGGTTCTGACCTACAGCGGATTGCCCTTTCCCCTGAGGTTATGTGGCCTTCGAAGGGGAAATGGTTTGTACGTCTGAAAAACGTGTGGTTGTGAAGCAGAGAAAACAGCCATCTGCTGGCGTTTCTGTCGTAAAAGTGGGAGCTCCAGGATTGACTGTGGGGGTCCCACAGGACAGCCGTTGGAGGTAAGGGGGTTGGGGCAATTTGCAAATATTATGGTCTGCCACTGGCTGGCTCAACTCCCATCTTCAGATGTGTACTTGCTGGGTGGTCCTGCACCCTCTCCCCTTGTGAGTCTCTCTAGGTTTCTTTTGGTGCCTTGTCTGGGCCAGGGAAGTCTTGCTCTTTGATGTTGCAAGGGCATCTCCCCGCCAGTGTCTCCCCAGCTTCACTTTCCGGCACCTTTCAGTGGTGGGGTGCACTTGAGCGAATCGCCTTCCAGGGAATAACCAGAAACGGCAGAAAGAAACGAGAGCTGGAATATAGATTGAAGCTCGACAAACCCACTGCCTCGCAAGCTATAGAAAATGCGACCGCATCCTCTGGAGGCATCTTGCGTGGTTGGATATTGTCGTGCTTGTGGGTTGTTCAAAGTGGTCTCCTGGGCAGCAGTTTCTCCCCAGTAGTATTGGGCCGGTATCCTCAAGAACAAGGGTGATTAACTTGGGTGCCCTCCAGATGTTTCTGGGACTACAACTCCCAGTCAGTGGTTGGACATGATGGGAGTTGTATTCCAGCAGCTTCTGGAGGGCCAATGAGTGCCTCTTCCCTTTGTGCTTCTGTAATTGGCCAGGCAGCATGAACCCTCTAGATTGGCTGTGCAGGCGTAAACTCCAGCAGCACCTCCTCCTGCTTTGCTGGCTGTGGTTTCCTTCCTTTGCCCAGGTCCTTAGCTCCCAACAACTTAGGTAAAGGGACCCCTGACCATTAGGTCCAGTCGTGGCCAACTCTGGGGTTGCGGCGCTCATCTCGCTTTACTGGCCGAGGGAGCCGGCGTACAGCTTCCGGGTCATGTGGCCAGCAGGACTAAGCCGCTTCTGGCGAACCAGAGCAGTGCACGGAAACGCCGTTTCCCTTCCCGCCGGAGCGGTACCTATTTATCTACTTGCACTTTGACGTGCTTTCGAACTGCTAGATTGGCAGGAGCAGGGACCGAGCGACGGGAGCTCACCCCGTTGCGGGGATTCGAACCTCCGACCTTCCGATCGGCAAGTCCTAGGCTCTGTGGTTTAACCCACAGCGCCACCCCGCGTCCCTCCCAGCAACTTACATCTGAGCTAAGTGAGCAGCTGCTGCAGCTCTGGGTTTAGGGATCGGCTTGCCTGGGACTCTAGACTAGCCCTGACAGGCCCCTGTCCTCCGAATCCAGGAAATGCAACCAGGATAACCTCAGTTGTGCAGGCAGAGGTGTGGAACTCCTTCCCCACAGAGCTGCACCTGTCACCTTCACTGAACAGCTTTCAGCAAAGACTGATGGGGCACCTCTTTACCCTGGCCTTTGACACCTCAGGTGTCCTTTTCCAGGATGCACCCTATGCTTGTACCTGCAGCCTGTTCTGCCTGGGTTTCACACTGGTTTTTAAATTGTTGTAACCTGCCCTGGGACCTGCTGGCGAACAATAATAATAATAATAATAATTTATTATTTATACCCCGCCCATCTGGCTAGGTTTCCCCAGCCACTCTGGGCGGCTTCTAAAAGAATATTAAAATACTGTGATACAACAAGCCCTGCCACGTCCTTGCCAGCCTAGGAAAACAGTGCAATGCTGTTGAGGCTTGCCTGGGACCAGCACTTCGCAGCCAGTAGAGGCAACCCATGTTTCCTCAGGCGCCTGTGGCCCTTCAGACGTTGCTAGCAATGTTAGAAACTCAGGTGTGTAAGCTAATTGCCAAATGGCACCTTAAACCTGGGTTACGGTCGCCACAGTGGAATGTCTAGGCACTTTCCTTTTCTTTTTTTGCTGTGGAATCTATTTTTTATTATTCATTCCAATAACACTTTGTATTTTAAAGAAAAACATCACAAACATGTTAAAAGATTACCGGTACATAAAAAAGATCCAGACTAAAAGAAATGCAAGCTTCAAGGAAAATATTTCAGATACTTCTGAAAGTTACATTTTTTCTTTTCCCATACAGTAGAACCTCGGCTTACGTTACCCTCGGGTAACATAAACTTTGGGTTGTGAAAGCAAGAAACCCGGAAGTATTTTTCCGGGTTTCGCCACTCGAGCATGCACAGAAACACGCGGCGCGCACATGCGCAGAACAGGCACCTCCGGTTGCAGAAACCTCGGGATCCGACCAGAGCTCCGGAACGGATCCCGTCGGTAACCGGAGGTACCACTGTTTTTATTTGCCTACTTAATTTGTAGAGCTGCCCCATAGCAGAATGACTCTAGGAAGCCATTGAGGTGTAGTAGTTAGATTGTTGGACCAGGACCTGGGAGATCAGGGTTCAAATCCCCACTCCGTCAGGAATCTCACGGAGTGACCTTGGAGCCAGTCACAGCCTCTTAACTTACCTTACAGGGTCGTCCTAGGAATAAAAGAGGGGGTTGGTAAACAGTGTACTTTTTGTGACCTTTTGGACTACAATTCCCATCATCCACGACCTCTGGCCCTGATAGCTAGGGATGATGGGAGTTGTAGTACAAAAGCGGGTAGAGACGCAAGTTTAGAAAACCCTGGTGTAGACAGCACTGAACTAGACGGAGCAACTGGTCTGACTTGGTATAAGATAAGACAGTTCCCTGCATTTCTGTGTCAGTTCTGCAGTTAAATATTACTGGGGGAGTCTAATCCAGCTAGTATCTCCCCCCTCACCCTGGGCTGGTGCATCCTCACCTGCCTGCCTTCACAATCCTTCCTCCATGTGCCCCCGCAGTTCTCCCAGGCCTTTTAAATGTGAGGGTCCACCTTATCAATAAAGGTAAAGGGACCCCTGACCATTAGGTCCAGTCGTGACCGACTCTGGGGTTGCGGTGCTCATCTCGCTTTATTGGCCAAGGGAGCCGGCGTTCAGCTTCCGGGTCCTGTGGCCAGCAGGAATAAGCCGCTTCTGGCGAACCAGAGCAGCGCACGGAAACGCCGTTGACCTTTCCGCCGGAGTGGTACCTATTTATCTACTTTCATTTTGGCGTGCTTTCGAACTGCTAGGTTGGCAGGAGCAGGGACTGAGCAACGGGAGCTCACCCCCTCGCAGGGATTCGAACCGCCGACCTTCTGATCGGCAAGTCTTAGGCTCTGTGGTTTAACCTTATCAATAGCCCACCCCAAAAAAAGAACCCAGGTATGGGTATCTGAAAATACTGCCACACTGCCAACCCCTGCCCCCCAAAACAAGCTGGTTTCCTCTTTAAAAGCCAGCACCTACCCAGCTTGTTCCGGCATCTGCTGCGCGTCAACCCCCGTGGGGTTTTTCTGCCTCTTTAGGCAATCTTGGATAAACGCCTGGATGGAGACGTTCGCCTGCCTTGTCCATCTTTTTGCGCCTGGCTCATGGGGGGTGGGGGCTGTGAGCGCTGCCGCCAGTGAATCCGCTTCGCTCTATCATTGCTTCTTCAGACAGGCCTTCAGAACCAGGTTTTCTTTTCGCTTCTGGAGAAATGAGATCTGGGGGGGGGGGGATCGAAACCACCCCCAAAAAACCAGCTTATCCGCATCGCCTTTTGAGGTTCCATCTGTGCAGGAGGCTGAGAAGGTGGTTTTGTGCCGACCTGAGGCCTTCCTGATGTTTCGGCCGAAGCTCTCATCACATCAGCCCCTCTGCGCTGATGGGAATCGAACTCCAAGCAAGCTGTGGTCCTCCATCGCCGCCCCTCTTCTCTCTCGTCTATCTTTGCTATTTATTTTTTTTAAAATAATATTTATTACTTTCCAACAAATTAGACATTACATAGAAAAAGAAAATAAACAATACAATACAAAACCAATACCTAACACTAAACTAACAAAAACAATTTAAACTAAGAAAACAAAACAAAAGCAATTTAAAACACATCAAATAGTTTCAATCTTTCATTCACTTGTTTCCATGACCTCCTCACACCTCCCTTTTTGTATTCCACTTCTATTAGTTGTTTCAGCAATTCCTTTCCATCTTCCTCTGCTTTCTATCCTATAATTATCTTAACACGTTTTGACCTTATTTTCCCCTTTAATTCTCTATTAATCTATTTATACTTAATTCCTTACAACATTTCTGCTGAAGCCATATAACTTCATTCCAACATTTTTCTAACATTCATTGATTTTACAATATTTCTGTAAATAGTCTTTAAACTTTTTCCAATCTTCTTCCACCAACTCTTCTCCCTGGTCTCGGATTCTGCCAGTCATTTCCGCCAATTCCATATAGTGCATCAACTTCATCTGCCATTCTTCCTGGGTGGGTAAATCTTGTGTCTCTTTGCAAGTGCTATTTACTCAGAATGTTCCTCTGTGCAAATGCAGTTTAAAAGTTTAAAAGGAAGGAGAGACAGGTTGCCATTTCATCACATCCTGGGGCTGTATCTCCCTCCCAGGCAAGTTTAGTTCCAGGGATCTCTCTCCTTCACATGAAACAGTCCAAAAGCATTAGGGATGATATGCAGGTGTTCACACATGCTTTACATGTGGTTTTATATTCTGATTTTATCCTGCCCTGAGACATGCAGGGATAGGGGTTGCCGTACATCTAATCTCCCGGTCATCGCTTCAATTTCTTTTGAGATTTTGCAAAAGAAAAAGCTGGACAAATTTGGGCAAAGCGAATTGTGTACAGATTTTCACTTTTTGAAATACGGCGAGCCTAGTATAGGGTGTTATGTATAGTGGTACCTTGGTTTACGAAGTTAATCCGTTCCGGAAGTCCGTTCTTAAACCAAAGCGTTCTGCATAAAGTTTTGTATTAAATGTTCATTGCTTGACAGAGCTGACCCCATTATTTACACCACTTTCTGCTATGTACTCTTCATATTTTTAGAACAAAAATGCAACCAGTGAAAGTCACCACGGTCAGAGTAGTTAGGCTCGAGACATTCACTGATGATTTACTGGTGATCGCTTTTCTACATAAAAAGGCAACCATAATTTTAAGTGATAGTTGTTGTTGTTGTTGTTTAGTCGTTTAGTCGTGTCCGACTCTTCGTGACCCCCTGGACCAGAACACGCCAGGCCCTCCTGTCGTCCACAGTTTGGTCAGACTCATGTTCGTAGCTTCGAGAACACTGTCCAACCAGTGATAGACATTAGGCTAGTAGAAAAAGATTGAAGCAAACTTCATCTCAATTCAAGGAGCATGCAGAGAATAGCTTATATACCTGCGTTTCTAACACTAGTGTAAAGGTTGGAGTTAGCTGGCAATGGAATGCAAAAGGTAGACTCTGTGGCAGTTCAGTTAGAGCATAAATAGAGGCAAAACGGCCTTTTGCAACAGCAGTCATAGGTAATAATGCATCCTGAGTAGTATTGCTAAGTAAATTAACCTTCATAGCAAGGCAGAAAGCCATTGTCTTTTTTCTGACACAAATGGGGGAAAATAGAGGTTTTGATTCAGCACCCTTACGCCAAAGTTCTCTTGTTCTCAGGCTGATGCCTTCAGATAAGATAAGGAACAGAGTGACCTGGTGGACTGAAATGTTCGTGTTCTGGTTTCTGGATAATGTGCCATTTCTGATGTCAGATTACTGTGCATAGTTCTCCTTTTGTGGATCCTGCACCCCCTCCCCGCGTTCTGGATATGCCAGCTTAAATACAGAAGAGCTTCACCCTAGCTGTTGACAATGAAAGTTTCCATCATCCCCTTCTAGGGATGCGAGTGGTGCTGTGGCCTAAGCTACTAAGCCTCTTGGGCTTGCTGATTGGAAAGTTGGCGGTTCGAATCCGTGCAACACTGGTGAGCTCCCGTTGCTCTGTCCCAGCTCCTGCCAACCTAGCAGTTCGAAAGCACGCCAGTGCAAGTAGATAAATAGGTACTGCTGCGGCAGGAAGGTAAATGGCAATTCTGTGTGCTGCTCTGGTTCGCCAGAAGCGCTTTAGTCCTGCTGGCCGCATGACCTGGAAAGCTGTCTGTGGACAAATGCCGGCTCCCTTGGCCTGAAAGCGAGATGAGCACTGCAGCCCCATAGTCACCTTTAACTGGACATAGATGTCCAGGGTCATTTATCCTCTTCTGGATAATTCTAGAGCCCACAGCTAGCTTTGGCAAAGTTATAAGGCTTAGAAATACAGGGTGAGTCCTTTAAAGAGCCCCCGTGGATATAGAATACACATGTTCCAGGGGGCCTCTTTTAAAAGACTCACCCTGTATAAGTTGCGTGTGTTAAGTTTCACAACAGAGAATGGAAACACCTGCAAGGTTAAAGTCCCCATTTTGTTTGCGTGTGTTGTGTTATTTCTGAGCTGTGTGCTTTTCAAGTACCCTCCTCCATAACTCTTCTCTTTTTTTTGCCTTGCTCAGTCGGTGGAGCATGAGACTCTGTAATTTCAGGGTTGTGGGTTCGAGCCCCACATCGGGCAAAAGATCCCTGCATTGCAGGGGGTTTGGACTACATGACCCTTAGGGTCCCTTCCAACTCTGCAATGCTGTGATTTTGTGATTCTGCCTGCTCCCTTGCCAGGGCTTACATGACTAAGCCTGGCAGGCAACTACCCCGACAATTACCTCCGGGCTTTTGCCCGTGAAGTCAGTGCCTCCGTTTAAGACTCTGCCGCTTGTTATTTATTAATTTGTGACATCACCTTCCACGTATATCGTCCCAGGGAGATTTGCAGACACATCCTTAAAAACAGCAGAAATAAAGTTGCAGGCAGTGCAAGGGGAACCGGGTATAGTAATAATAAATAATAAATTTTATTTATATCCCACCCTCCCCAGCTGAAGCCGGGCTCAGAGCGGCTAACAACAGTAAAACGATAAAACATTCTAAAATCATTTCATTATAAAATTAATTCCAATCAAATTAATGGCAACCATTGGGCTAGAAGTTCTGTGAGGATTGCCAAAGGAGGGGGTCAGGCTGTGCCCTGGCTAAAAGCCTGGTGGAACAGCTCCGTCTTGCAGGACCTGCGGAAAGATGTCAAGTCCCGCAGGGCCCTGGTCTCTTGTGACAGAGCGTTCCACCAGATCGGAGCTACGGCCGAAAAAGCCCTGGCTCTGGTTGAGGCCAGCCTAACCTCTCTGTGGCCTGGGACCTTCAAGATGTTTTTGTTTGAAGTTCCTCTGTGGGACATACCAGGAGAGGCGGTCCCGTAGGTACGAGGGTCCTAGGCTGTATAGGTCTTTGAAGGTTAAAACCAGCACCTTAAACCTGATCCTATACTCCACTGGGAGCCAGTGCAGCTGGTATAGCACCGGGTGAATGTGAGTTTAATAGTGACACAGCATGAACTTCGCAGGGGGTTGGACTAGATGACACATTTTGCCTGTTTCTGACTCTACAATTCCGCGATTCCAACACCTGAAATGTGGGAGTGCTTGTCAGCCAGCTGGAAAAGCTTCTCAACGTAAAGAAACAAAAACAAAACAGCTTTAGGAAATTGCGGACAAGCAAGTAGTCCCTGCCCTTCCTTGACAGGGGTTAAGCCGCGGGCAACCGGAGTGGCTGTTCCTTCCAAAGGTTGTTGAACGAAAATTCCCATCACCCCTGACCTTTGACCCAGGTGGCTCCCGGGGCTGATGGGAGTTGGAGTCTGAGATCACCTGGAGGGCAGCGTGTCTTCTACCCCTGTAAGCAGAATGCAGAGTTCCCAGTGAAGGTGGAAGAACTGATGAGAGTCCCTTGCTAAGTTTAGGCCCCTGCATCTGTTGCGGCCCATCTTGCAGTACTGTAAGCAACAGCTGTGGCCTTTGCTCTGTTGCGAGAAGCTCTTCCTGGACATCCACTGCCTTTCCAGTTCCTTTTTAGCTCTGGTGCGCCTAGTTCCTCTGAGGTCGGGCTTTGCAGCTCAGCGTAAGGCAGGCTTTCATTCTTTCCGTTCCCCTTCTCTTTCCCCTGCTCGCATCCACCCCAGTCAAACTTGGCTAAGACCAGCTTGAAGGCAACACTGGAATACTCCCGTATACCTGAAGGAGCGTCTCCACCCCCATCGTCCAGCCCTGATACTGAGGTCCATCTCCTGAGGTCCTTCTGGCGGTTCCCTGCCTGCGAGAAGTAAAGCTACAGGGCACCAGGCAGAGGGCCTTCTCGTTGGTGGCGCCCGCCCTGTGGAACGCCCTCCCGTCAGATGTCAAAGCGATAAACAACTACCTGACATTCAGAAGACATCTTAAGGCAGCCCTGTTCAGGGAAGTTTTTAATGTGTGACATTTTAGTGTATTTTTGGTCTCTGTGGAAGCCGCCCAGAGTGGCTGGGGAAACCCAGCCAGATGGGTGGGGTACAAATAATAAATAATAATAATTATTATTATTATTATTATTATTTTATTATTATTTTCCTAGCGGTCATTTCTCCTCTGGTCACTGCTGTGGATGTACAAACTGACTCCTATCTCCAGGCACTGTGGTCGTCTGTAAGGTTTTCCCCCATGGCAGGGTTGGCGTTGCCAGCTTTCATGCCACGTTTGCAGACGTCTGCCAGTGGGCCTGGGGCCAGAAGTCAGCTCCCCATAGCATAGAGCATGTCCTTGGGGGATCCTGCCATCTTCCATTCTGTGGACGTGACGTCGCTGAGACAGGAGTGGGAACGTATGGGAAATGTGGGCTCAGGAGAACACATCTTTGTGTGGAATTCTGTCCTGACATGTTGTTGATGCTTAGTCGGGTCCGACTCTTCGTGACCCCATGGACCTGAGCACGCCAGGCCCTCCTGTCTTCCCGCAGTTGGGTCAAACTCATGCTGGTAGCTTCAAGAACACTGTCCCACCATCTCGTCCTCTGTCGTCCCCTTCTCCTTGTGCCCTCCATCTTTCCCAGCATCAGGGTCTTTTCCAGGGAGTCTTCTCTTCTCATGAGGTGGCCAAAGTCTTCAGGATCTGTCCTTCCAGTGAGCACTCAGGGCTGATTTCCTTCCGAATGGAGAGGTTTGATCTTCTTGCAGTCCATGGGACTCTCAAGAGTCTCCTCCAGCACCAGAATTCAAAAGCATCCATGCTTCGGCGATCAGCCTTCTTTAGGGTCCAGCTCTCACTTCCATACATCACTACTGGGAAAACCAGAGCTTTAACTATACGGACCTTTGTCGGCAAGGTGATGTCTGTGCTTTTTAAGATGCTGTCTAGGTTTGTCATCGCTTTTCTCCCAAGAAGCAGGCGCCTTTTAATTTCGTGACTGCTGTCACCATAAGATACCCCAAATCTTCCTGACACAGCACATGCGGAAGGCCTTGAGGCATCTCTCCTGGTGGGTGTAAGTTGCCCATGACTCACTTCCATAAAGCAGCGTGCTCAACACACAAGCCTAGTAGACCTTCATCTCGGTTCTGGATGTTAGCAGTTAAGAACATTGAAAGGGTCTGGCTCATAGCTGTCAGCCTTCCCTTTTTTTGCAGGGAATTCCCTTATTCCAGCGTCGTTTCCCACTGCTATCCTGGAGTGTTAGATATCCTGTAGACTGTCCCTGGGACAGGTGAGGCTGCTGATCCCTTATTTTCAAATCTGAATGTTGACATCTATGGTCCGGCTGCTGGATCAGGCCAGGAGGGTGGAGCTAGCATCTACTCTAGCATCCTGTTCTCACAGTAGCCTGTGCAATTCACAGCAGCTTCCTCCTTCGAATTGGTCTCATCTCCATTTAAAGCCTTCAGAGTCATTGGCCCTCACTGCCTCTCATGGCAATGTCATCATTTGACCATGTGCTCTGTGAGGGAGGAGTTACTTTTGTCTGTTCAGCTTCCTTGGGTATCCCAGAGTATTAGGAGAGAGGCTTATTTGTTTACGTTTGAGCATTTTTCTAAAGGGCTTAATATATATATTTTTAATGTCTTAAGCTGTGTGCAAATAGCCGTTACGTTCCAAAGCATAAAGCACAGCAGTGCAGAATTCCTCTTTTGGGGGTCATTGCCATATGGTATTCTGTTTCTATCCTAGGTCCCCTTTTACACTGTGCATTTTAAACAGTGTCTTGTTGCTTTAAACAATCCTGGGAGCTGTGGTTTGTTAAAGATGCTGAGTGTTGTTAGCAGACCCCTAGCCACCTCACGGAGCTACAATTTCCAAAGTGGTTTAGCAGTCAGTCCTGCTTCCCAGGGAGCTCTTGGGAATGTGGATGTGTGACTTCACTGTGTGTGTGTGTGTTTACAGTGGCCCAGCCTTAATGGCTCTCCCATGGTGAACAAGATCTCCAGGCAGCTGTTAAGGAAACTTTTGCAATCTGGAAAGGATTCCCACCCACCCCCATCGTTCCTGGGATAGCTCAGCCCTGTAGAGCACAAGACTCTTAATAACAAGGTTGTGGGTTCGAGCCCCACATGGGGCAAAAGTTTCCTTCATTTCGGGAGGCTGAACTAGATGACGCTTGTGGTCCCTTTCCAACTCTACAGTTCTGTGGTTTTGCAGGATGTCTGTCAGTAATGAGAGATAACAGTGGAAATTCTCCTGGGGTGTGAAAATTTCTGTGGGCTCATTTGCACGGCCTACCATATTGGTTTTAGTCGGTTGATCAAGATGGATTGGGTTTAAGAAGAACAGATTTGCTGAGTAGGTGCCCTTAACTGGCCCACAAGTATTTTGTTTTTTAAGTGATGTACCATAGTGCATACGACGCGGGTGGCACTGTGGTCTAAACCACTGAGCCTAGGACTTGCCGATCAGAAGGTCGGCGGTTCGAATCCCTGCGACGGAGTTAGCTCCCGTTGCTCTGTCCCAGCTCCTGCCAACCTAGCAGTTCGAAAGCACCTCAGAGTGCAAGTAGATAAATAGGTACCGCTCCAGCGGGAAGGTAAACGGCATTTCCGTGCGCTGCTCTGGTTCGCCAGAAACAGCTTAGTCCTTCTGGCCACATGACCCAGAAGCTGTACGCCGGCTCCCTCGGCCAGTAAAGCGAGATGAGCGCCGCAACCCCAGAGTCCTCCGCGACTGGACCTAATGGTTGGGGGTCACTTTACCTTTTTACCATAGTGGAATTGGCCATACACAGATCATTGAATTGTAGAGCTGGAAGAGACACCAAGGGTCATCTAGTCCAACCCTCTGATAGTCCCAGATTCAAGCCCTGACCTCTCCAGGTCAGGCTAGGGGAGACCCCCTGCTTGAGCCACCCCCTGCCCTGTTTCACACCCTCCTAGGGTGGTTTTGCGTGGAAATGGGTCCTTGAACTTCAGTCATGCCGCTTGCTTCCTTGGACGGATGGCATGTGTGTAGCAACTAGCCTACTGTACAAAGGTAAACATCACCTTGCTCCGCCCACCTTTGCCCCTAGCCCCTCCCACTGTCACTGCGGCCTCTGGGAGGAAATGTGGCCCTCAAAGTGAAAAGAGTTATCTGCTTTGAGTTCCTGTACTCTGCCGTTCAATAGAGCAGCACACCTGAATTAGTGGCTGGGGACAAACGTCCCTCTCTGGCTCTCTGGGAGAAGCTTCTTGATCACGCCAGGGGAGGTTTATTTTTCTCTTTTCCCCTCCTCTCTCTCTCTCCCACTGCCGCTGTTTTTCGCTTGCTGATTTGGCCATCTGGCTGCCTTTGGCTACCGGCCAGATTCCAACATCCTGCCTTGTCATGGTGACGGTAAACAGAGGGGGAGATCCTTGCGTGAACCTGTCGGCCGTGCAAGGCGGACTTCTTGTCCTTTTAAAGAACCCGTTGCTAGGCAATGCTGGCCGGAGCTTTGAAGCTGGGCCCAGAGATGAAGTCCTAAGGAAAAGGGTCTGGGAGGTAGACAGTCCGTGGGTAAGCCTTGGCTTAGCCTTAACCCACCTGGGGCGCTACAGATGTTTCAGCAGGGATGTGATTTTTGGATGCAGTGGGTTCTTCTCCCTGGGCTACAAAGCCAGTGTTAGAAACTCAGGTGTGTCTGTGTGTGTGTGTGTGTGTACACACACACACACACACATATATATATATATACACACACACACAGTGGTACCTCGGGTTAAATACTTAATTCGTTCCGGAGGTCCGTACTTAACCTGAAAGTGTTCTTAACCTGAAGCACCACTTTAGCTAATAGGGCTTCCTGCTGCCACCGCGCCGCCAGAGCACCATTTCTGTTCTCATCCTGAAGCAAAGTTCTTAACCTGAAGCACTATTTCTGGGTTAGCGGAGTCTGTAACCTGAAGCGTATGTAACCTGAAACGTATGTAACCCGAGGTACCACTGTATGGCTAACCACCAAATGGCCCCTCAAACCTGGGTTACGGTCGCCACACCAGAATAGGTGCCTTTCTTTAAATGAAATCATTATTAATTTCATTTCTATACCACTTTTTATTTTAAAGGGGGGGGGGAATCTCAGAGTGGTTTACAACATATTCAAGCATCAAATAAAACAATCCAGAAAGAAACAAATTCAAGCTTCAAGGAAAATATTTCAGACAATCGGCTCTCCCCCCCGCCAATTTATTTACCTACTTAATTTATAGAGCTGCCCCATCAAAGAAGTACAGCCATACCTCAAAAGTCAAACGGAATCCATTCCGGAAGTCCATTCGACTTCCAAAATGTTCGGGAATCAAGGTGTGGCTTCTGATTGGCTGTAGGAAGCTCCTGTAGCCAATTGGAGGCTGCGACGGACATTTGGGTCCCAAAGAACGTTCGCAAACCGGAACAATCACTACCAGGTTTGCGGAATTTGGGAGCCAAAATGTTCGTCTTGCGAGATGTTCGACTTCCGAGGTACAACTGTACTCTGGGAAAGCAGGGTGGTGTAGTGGTAGGACCTGGGAGAATTCCAATCCTTCGAAACCTTTGCTCTGCCACTATGCCACTCAGCTACAGCTGTTCTCCAAAGGGATGTAGGCCAGACTCTGTGTGTGTGTGTGTGTGTGTTATTTCCCCCGCTATGTTTGTGTGTGTGGCTTGGCTCGCTTGCACAAGTTACCTTGTCCCGGACACCCTTGATGCACTTTTCCCCTGCAGCGTGTGGCTGCCTCCTGCCGGTGGCGCTTTGCCTGGTTCCGGATGGTTCTGGCCCCTGAGCAGGGGTCAGCAGCCTTTTTCAGCCATGGGCCGGTCCACCGTCCCTCAGACCATGTGGTGGGTCGGACTATATTTTGAAGGGGGGGAAATGAGCAAGTTCCTATGACCCACAAATAACCCAGAGATGCATTTTAAAAACAGTGGTACCTCGGGTTACATACGCTTCAGGTTACAGACTTCGCTAACCCAGAAATAGAACCTCAGGTTAAGAACTTTGCTTCAGGATGAGAACAGAAACCGTGCTCTGGCGACGCGGCAAGCAGCAGGAGACCCCATTAGCTAAAGAGGTGCTTCAGGTTAAGAACAGTTTCAGGTTAAGAACGGACCTCCGGAACGAGTTAAGTACTTAACCCGAGGTACCGCTGTAAAAGGACACATTCTAGTCACGTAAAAACACCAGGCAGACCCCACAAATAACCCAGAGGTGCCTTTTAAATCAAAGGACACATTCTACTCCTGTAAAAACACGCTGGTTCCCGGACCGTCCGTGGGCCAGATTGAGAAGGCGATTGGGCCGGATCCGGCCCCCGGGCCTTAGGTTGCCTACCCCTGGGCTAGCAGCTCAACCCAAGGTGTCTGTCCAACCTGCAGCTGCACAGAGATGGCAGCAGTGAGCGGCTACAGCTTCCTTTATATGGTGTCCTGCAATTTGCACTGTCAGAATACTGCAGCTGTCCACAACATTTAACTTGGGAGTGAGCCAGGAAGCGGACAGGGCCTTGCTCCGAGGGGTGGGGGAGTGGGCAGACATGGCCCAAAACCGCAGGAAGAAACAGTCTGTCCCCTTGTACCAGCGCAGCATCCCCTGCTTGGCAGCTGGAGCCTCCTCACGAGTCGCCTTTTCTCTCTCTCTCTCCCTTCCTGCTGCCAATCAGCTGTTCCCTTCCCCCAAAGCTTGACACAGAGCTGAGTCGCTCTTCCTGTTTTTGAGCTTTTGGGTGTCAGAATGAAGCAACAGAGGTTGCCAAGAACTGGCAGCCTGAACCGCAGAGGAAGGCCGGGCGCAGGGTGGGAGGGAGGGGGGCGGATTCTCTAGAAATCAAAGCGCCCCTTTGCGTCGCTGGCTTAGCCTCGCAAGTGCTTTGCAAAACACTTTGCGCAAGCCTCTTGCAACAAGACAGCGCTGGCCAGGATTCTCCCAACATGCCATTCCTGCAAAGAAGGGGGAGCTCGAGGCCACGGCGAAGGACTTGCAAGCAATAAAGCTCGCAGCAAGGATTTCCGGAGGTTTAGTAGCAGCTAGGGACGCAGGTGGTGCTGTGGGTTAAACCACAGAGCCTAGGGCTTGCCGATCAGAAGGTCGGCGGTTCGAATCCCCGCAACGGGGTGAGCTCCCATTCCTCGGTCCCTGCTCCTGCCAACCTAGCAGTTCGAAAGCACGTCAAAGTGCAAGTAGATAAATAGGTATCGCTCCGGCGGGAAGGTAAACGGCATTTCCATGCGCTGCTCTTGTTCGCCAGAAGCGGCTTAGTCCTGCTGGCCACATGACCCAGAAGCTGTACGCCGGCTCCCTCGGCCAGTAAAGCGAGATGAGCGCCGCAACCCCAGAGTCGGTCACGACTGGACCTAATGGTCAGGGGTCCCTTTACCTTTACCTACGATGCTATAAGATCCACTGTCCTGTGATATCATATATGAGTTTGTACTACTGATGAAGCCCAGGACGGCGAAACAAGGCTAATATTCCAGAAATCCTTGTCTTAGACTCTGTGAAAGGATTCTGTGAAACTGCAACAACCTTTCGTGTGAATTCTTGGACTCTATGAACAGACAGGTGGAATAGACACTTTCACATATATGGACCTTATGCATAAACTGATTAGAGAATGAACTGATCCACTGGGTCTCCTACTTTCTTCGTTGAACTTTATGAGCCACTTCTGTTGATATCTACAATTCAATACACTGAATAGTATATATTAATTTTTCAAACGTACAGCCGGTTACGTCTTGTATGTTTATGGATTACATAGACCAGGCATGTCCAGCCAGTAGATCCCCGGCTGGTCCTGGTAGATCACGAGACCCATATCGATCGTGGGATTAAATAAAGTTTACCAAAAGTTAACAAATAAAAGCTGAAGAACTCTGGGTGATCCTACCCCCCAAAAAGCTCAACAGCTCCGGGCAATCCACCCACCCCACGCACGCTCCTCCTCCCTCCAATGAATAGATCACTGCCAGTTTTTTTCATACTGGGAGTAGATCACAGTCTCTTGGGAGTTGTACATGCCTGATGGACCATTGGCCTTATCTGGCAGGCCCTTCTGATATTCTTACGTTGCATTTAAGGTTAAGGGACCCCTGACCATTAGGTCCAGTTGTGGCCGACTCTGGGGTTGTGGCGCTCATCTCGCTTTACTGGCCGAGGGAGCCGGCGTACAGCTTCCGGGTCATGTGGCCAGCAGGACTAAGCCGCTTCTGGCGAACCAGAGCAGCACACGGAAACGCCGTTTACCTTCCCGCCGGAGTGGTACCTATTTATCTACTTGCACTTTGACGTGCTTTTGAACTGCTAGGTTGGCAGGAGCAGGGACGGAGCAACGGGAGCTCACCCCGTCGTGGGGATTCGAACCGCCGACCTTCTGATCGGCAAGTCCTAGGCTCTGTGGTTTAACCCACAGCGCCACTCGCATCCCTCTTAGGTTGCATAGGTGTGCTTTATCCCCCAAACGCATGGACCCACAAGTGCTGAGTGCTATGTGGAGTCAGGAGGGGAGAGTTGCGCTTGTGGTCGGATCCTGCCTGTGGGTTTCCCGTTGGGGTATAGAATAATAGACTCATCTGGTTGGCCACTGTGAGAACAGAATGCTGCTCTTCTGGTGTTCTTAGAGAAGGGTGGGTTCAGAGAGCAACCTCCGGCGGTGCCTGCAACAAGGAACAGTCTCTGCGCCTCCATTCTCTCCCCAGGAACAGAATTCATTCCTAGAGCGAAGGCAGCGGACTCCCTTGACTCCCTCTGCAAAGAGGAGGTTGCTTTGGTCACCTGCATATATATATATATATCTTTCTCTCTCTTTCCTTCCAGGGAAATTCAGCTCCTTCGGCGGCTACGGCACAAGAACGTCATCCAGCTGGTTGACGTCTTGTACAATGAAGAGAAGCAGAAGATATATCCTTTCTCCCCTGTCTGACTTCAGGCTTCGTCCGTTTCCCCTCTCTCGCGAGCCTCGTGGATTCTAAGCCTCTTTTTTTTTTTTTATAATATTTATTATTTTTCCAAAAACTTAAACACTAAAAAAAAGAAAAGCAATACAATACCACACGTCAAATTAACAAAACAAGACAAAGACAATAAGATTAATCAAACAATTTCATTATCCCATCTTTCAATTACTTATTTCCATGACCTCCTCACACCTCGCTTTTTGTATTCCACTTCTGTTAATTATTTCAGCAATTCCTTTCCATCTTCCTCTGTTTTCTATCCTAAGCCTCTTCTGCCTTGGTACCCAAGGAGCGAAGTCGCCCATTTCATGGTGTGCAGAAGGTCTCAGGTTCAGGGGCAGTCGACGGGAGGCACGTTTCGCTACCTAAAACTCCTGCCCATAAGAGCAAGGTAGACTAATAGCCCCGGCCTTACTCCCTCTGTTAAATCCTTGGCCTGGCTACAGTGTTCAAAATTCACCAGGCGCATTTTGCAGCTGGCGTGGGTCCACTTGTGACCACGTAGAGATCTCTGGGCACCAGGTTGGCGACTTACATCTCCATCTGTCTGGCCCCACCAGCTTTCATAAGCAGGGAAGCAAAAGAGCTTATTCCTTGCATTTATCTCCCACCTTTTTTTCTCCAAGGAGTACCGTATTTTTCGCTCTACAGGACGCACTTTTTCCCCTCCAAAAATTAAGGGGAAATGTGTGTGCGTGCTACGGAGCGAATGCAGGCTCCTTGGCTTCAGCGATAGCAACGCGAAGCCTCCGAAGCGCAGAGGGAGCGCTCCCTTCAGGGATAGCCGCCTGGAGCCTTTGGAACGCAGCAGGAACTCGCGCTGCGTTCCGAAGGCTTCGGGTTCCTTTTGCTGAAGCCGGGAGAGCAAGGCTCTCCTGGCTTCGCTTTGCTGGAGAGGGGCTGCGCAGCTTTCCCTCTCTGAGCAGCGCCCCTTCAGCGAAGCGGGAGGAGAAATGGAAGGGGCTCCATTTCTCCTGCCGCTTCGCTGAAGGGGCGCTGAGCAGAGAGGGGGAGATTTTTTTTTTTCTTGTTCTCCCCTCTAAGACAAGGTGCATCTTATGGTCTGGTGCGTTCTATAGAGCGAAAAATACAGTGCATGGTTCACCCTCCCTACAACGAACCCGCGAGTTATGTTAAGAGCAGGCATGGCCACACTTGGCCCTCCAGCTGTTTTGGGACTACCATTCCCATCATCCCTGACCCACTGGCCCTGTTAGCTAGGGATGATGGGAGTTGTAGTCCCAAAACAGCTGGAAGGGCCAAGTTTGGCCATCACTGGCTAAGAGGCTGCGACTGACTCCAAGGTCACCCTGTAAGCTTCGTGACCGAGTGGGGATTCGAACCCTGATCTCCCAGGTCCTGTACCCCACTGGCTTCCTAGAACACTTCTGCTATGGGGCAGCTCTATAAATTATGTAGGCAGATAAATAGGGGGGAAGCAACATGTCCCTTAGAGAAGGATCTGAAATATTTTCTTTGACGCTTGAATTTCTTTCTGGATTTTTTTTATGCGTAATAAAATACAAATGCGTAATTTAAAATACAAAGTGGTACAGAAGTGAAATGAACAATAATAACAATAATAAACTTCATTTTTGGGAGGTGGGGGGGGAGAATAGCGACTAGGTGTTCCGTTGTGGCGACCTAGGTTTCAGGAGCCATTTGACGATTAGCTTATACAGTGGTAAGGTAAAGGGACCCCTGGCCATTAGGTCCAGTCGTGGCCGACTCTGGGGTTGCGGCGCTCAACTCGCTTTACTGGTCGAGGGAGCCGGCGTACATGTGGCCAGCATGACTAAGCCGCTTCTGGCGAACCAGAGCAGCGCACGGAAACGCTGTTTACCTTCCCACCGGAGTGGTACCTATTTATCTACTTGCACTTTGACATGCTTTCGAACTGCTAGGTGGGCAGGAGCAGGGACTGAGCAGCGGGAGCTCACCCCGTGGCGGGGATTCGAACCGCCGACCTTCTGATCGGCAAGTCCTAGGCTCTGTGGTTTAACCCACAGCGCCACCCGCGTGGTATACAGTGGTACCTCGGGTTAAATAATTCATTCCAGAGGTCCGTTCTTAACCTGAAACTGTTCTTAACCTGAAGCACCACTTTAGCTAATGGGGCCTCCTGCTGCCACCACGCGATTTCTGTTCTCATGCTGAAGCAAAGTTCTTAACCCGAGGTACTATTTCTGGGTTAGCGGAGTCTGTAACCTGAAGCGTATGTAACCTGAAGCGTATGTAATCCGAGGTACCACTGTATATCTGATTTTTCTAACCCTGCCTGGCTGCCGCTTCCTTAACTCTTCCTCTCACGTATATGGTGATGGAATACTGCGTGTGTGGGATGCAGGAGATGTTGGACAGCGTCCCCGACAAAAAGTTCCCTGTCTTTCAAGCGCATGGGTAAGTTAAGCAAGGCGGGTGCCGTTTCATGTGCCCCCCCACCCTGTCTGAGCAGTCCTGGTTTTGGTGCTAGTGGAAACTGAATAATAATAACAATTTATTATTTATACCCCACCCATCTGGCTGGGTTTCCCCAGCCACTCTGGGCGGCTCCCAACAGAACATTAAAAACACGATCAAACATCAGACATTAAAACCTTCCCTAAAGAGGGCTGCCTTCAGATTTCTTCCGAAAGTCAGATAGTTGTTTATCTCCTTGACTTCTGATGGGAGGGCGCCACCACCGAGAAGGCCCTCTGTCTGGTTCCCTGTAACCTTACTTCTCACAGGGAGGGAACCGCCAGAAGGCCCTCGGAGCTGGTCCTCCGTGTCCAGGCTGGACGATGTGGGTGGAGACGCTCCTTCAGGTATACCGGGCCAAGGGTTTGTGTTTTCCCTTGCTCTGTCCTCCTGATGTCATTGCAAGATCACCTTGGCATCCTCACCTCTGTTGACGTCGACTCCTGAAAACCTTTGTCTCCCCTTCTCCGGTGCTGCAGTTCCTGCAGGATCATTATGTTACTGATATTTGGCAGCAAGCGTGGATCTTGGTTGCTCTCCTCTGCACACCTTCCAGCTTGCAAGTATCCTTCTTAAATTGTGGTGCCCAGAACTGGATGCAGGACTCGCCTGACCAAGGCAGAATAGAGCAGTACGATTACTTGAATCTCAACGAATTTGTTTTTGCGTCCTTTCTGAATCCAGGTTTCCCCCTCTCCTTCTCCCCTCTCCACACGCAGGTACTTCTGCCAGCTTATCGACGGCTTAGAATACCTGCACAGCCAAGGGATTGTCCACAAGGATATCAAACCAGGAAACCTCCTGCTCACGACCAACGGGACGCTGAAGATTTCGGATCTGGGCGTGGCAGAGGTACGTTTTTGGGCTCCCGTGCTCAGCCATGCCTTTCGTTTTCCTACGAATCTCCCTCTTTGTGTGCGCCAAGGCAGTTTACAAAAATAGGACATACCGTATTTTTCGCTCTATAGGACGCACTTTTTCCCCTCCAAAAATGAAGGGGAAATGTGTGTGCGTCCTATGGAGCGAAGGCAGGCTTTCGCTGAAGCTATCCGCAAACCTTCGGAGCGCGGTGGGAGTGCCCACCGGGCTCCGAAGGCTTGCGGATAGCAGCAAGCTCCGGGAGCGAAGGCGAGGTTGCGCTTAACCTCGCTCCCGGACCCGTTCTGGGGTCGGGGGAAACTCGGGCTTCCCCCGCCCCCGCCCCGCGGCTAAAAAGGAAGCCAAGACAGCGAGCGGGATGGATCCCGCTGCCTGTCTAGGCTTCTGCCAAAGCCGCACGCAGCCTCTCCTGGCTGGAGAGGTTGTGCGTGGCTAAAGAGATGGATCCCGCTGGCTGTCTTGGCTTCTTTGCTCTTTGCCCCAAAAAACTAGGTGCGCCCTATGGTCCGGTGCACCCTATAGAGCGAAAAATACGGTAAGCCACCAAAAAGAAAGCAACACAAATGACGAAAGAGAGATTTTTAGAAGCAATACAGAAGGAACATCCGAGGCAATAGAACTTCTCATCCGGCTGGGAGAGCTTCTTAAGTGAATGAAGACAGTGTTGTCTCAAGAAGCTTTACCAGAAATGTGGATAGTGACTGACCCACGGAATAGGGGCAGCCACACTCAAAAGGTCCTGCTCCCTGATTACTATGGAGCAGGCTTCTGGTATTTTTGGAACCTAAAGGAGGAAATCTCCTACAGTGAGCTATGGGGTATATAAGAGGTAAAGCCTATCTCTCAAGGGCCCCTATACATGTTTGTGACTGTAGAGGTGACAGCCGCTAAGTTCATGGAATTTTAGAGTTGGAATGGGACCCCAAGGGTCATCCAATCCAACCCCCTGCAATGTAGGAATCTTTTCACCCAGTGTTGGATTCAAACCCACAACCCTGAGATTAAAGAGTCCTGTGTTCTACCGACTGAGCTATCGCAGCTGACTTGAGCTATCCAAGTCTTCGAAAGGGGATTGGATAAAACTCATTTGTTAGCTGCAAATTATGGCAGTTTCATGCCACCTCCGGGTTCGGTGGCACCACAAATGCCACTCGTTGGGGGCACCGCCGTGAGTGAAGCCTGTTTCTTTTACTTAGCATCTGTTTGAAAGCATTTTTTTAACGAAAGCATTTACAGTGGTACCTCTGGTACCTCGGGTTACGTACTTAATTCGTTCCGGAGGTCCGTTCTTAACCTGAAACTGTTCTTAACCTGAAGCACCACTTTAGCTAATGGGGCCTCCTGCTGCCGCTGCGCCACCAGAGCACGATTTCTGTTCTCATCCTGAAGCAAAGTTCTTAACCCGAGGTACTATTTCTGGGTTACTGGAGGCTGTAACCTGAAGTGTCTGTAACCTGAAGCGTATGTAACCCGAGGTACCACTGTATTAAGAATGGCATGAAACAGTCCAAACAACAAATGATGGGAACCGGTCACTGGGTACAAAGCAAAATACAGTCATGGCCTGTGTAAGGCAGGAAAAAAGAGAATCTTTGAGTTGGAAGAGCCACCAAGGGTCATCCAGTCCAACCCCCGGCAATGCAGAAATCTCAACTAAAAGCATCCCTGACAGATGGCCATCCAACCTCTGCCTAGAAACCTCCAAGGAAGGAGAGTCCACCACCTCTCTTGGGAGTCTGTTCCACTGCCGAGCGGTTTCAAGTTTTTACTGGAAACCGCTAACATCACCCTAGTTTCTGCCCAGTTTCTCCATGCCAGGCGTAATTTTAAACACTTCCATCATGCCGCAGCCCCCTTGCCTTTTCTCTGAACTGAAAAGTTCCAAACCCTGCGTCCTTTCCTAATAAGGGAGCCCCCCCTGTAAATAAGAGAGCCAGCGTGGTGTAGTGGTTAAGAGCGGTAGTCTCGTAATCTGGGGAACCGGGTTCGCGTCTCCGCTCCTCCACATGCAGCTGCTGGGTGACGTTGGGCCAGTCACACTTCCTTGAAGTCTCTCAGCCCCACTCACCTCACAGAGTGTTTGTTGTGGGGGAGGAAGGGAAAGGAGAATGTTAGCCGCTTTGAGACTCCTTCGGGTAGTGATAAAGCAGGATATCAAATCCAAACTCTTCTTCTTCTTCCCTGTCGCCGTTTGGTTGCCCTTTTCTGAAACCTTTCACGTCACCCTGGAGGCGACGTATTCCAGATGTGGTTTGCATCATAGGTGCAGCCTTCAGAGACGCCTGCTCACGACCGGCTCTCAAGTCGTCCGATGGGAGTCCATTTCTCATTTATTCCACGCTCTCTGTGATGTGTGGCTCCCAGCCAATCGGTGGGACTGTGCTAGGAGCTGTTGCAGCATGAGGATCTCCCGTAAAAAAACATGGGAACAGCTGCTCGCGTCCCCTACTCATTTTCAGGGCTCAGAAGTGCCCTTCTTCCCAAGCCCCAGGGCCCACCTTGGGTTTGGTCTATGAGAGACTGGAGGGCGTTCCTCTGATTCTCCAGAAAGTGGGAGCTGATAAGTGGAGATTCTCGGTTTTCCTTTGCTTTTGACCTGGGATTAACCCGCGCTCTCCCCCTCTCTCCCCACGCCTCTCTCGTTTATCTCCCTCCCGCAGGCGTTGCACCCGTTCGCAGAGGACGACATGTGCCGAACAAGCCAGGGCTCGCCGGCTTTTCAGCCCCCGGAAATCGCCAATGGCCTGGACACCTTCTCTGGCTTCAAAGTGGACATCTGGTCGGCTGGCGTCACGCTGTAAGCACAAAACCGGCAAATTCACAGCGGCCCTGGCCTCTGCAGGCGGCATTCCTGGGCAGGTGCCGAGCCCACCACCCCACTGCCTTGAACCCCCTTTCTTTCTTTCAAATTTTTAAATTAATTTTCACAAAATTCTAAACAAATCTAAATCATAACCTTATTAAAAAGTACACTTATTGACATTGTTAAGGGACTTCCTCGCTTCCCCTTGGTTGAATTTCAATGCATATCCTTTTAACGGTTTTCCAAATCGCCGTTCTTATAAAATTTAACTTGAACGTTAACATATTTAAATCTTGTATCGTTTTGAAATTAAACGTATTAATTCATCACTTAACTTACATAGAATCCTAAGCCAATTAAGTATCTGCAAGCTGCTTCCAATTAAAATAGCTTAACATATTTAACTAAATAATCATTAAATTTTGTCCATTCTTCCTGATACTCCTCCTCCTTCTGGTCGCAGACTCTTCCGGTTAGGTCAGCTAGCTCTGAAAAATCCATCATCTTCATCTGCCATTCTTCTGAACCCCCTTTCTTGGATGAGCTCTGGGCTTTTAATTCCATACTGTGCCCCAGCACTCATTGGGAATGCACTGCCACAGCTTCCCCTCCTTCTGCAGCTTTCTAAGCCAGCCTTCCCCACCCATGAATTCTGTATTCGAAGTGGGGGTGGCTACACCCTTCAGAAAGGGTGAGGGGGTACCATCTTATTTATTCGTTGGATTTCAATCCCACTCCTTTCTCCTTCAAGGAGCTCACCTCCTTGTGTGTATGGGTTCTCCCCGTCCTCTGTTAATCCCCACAATGCCCCTTTAAGGTAATTTAGGCTGAGAGAGGGACACGGGTGGCTCGGCCAGTAAAGTGAGATGAGCGCCGCAACCCCAGAGTCGGCCACGACTGGACCTAATGGTCAGGGGTCCCTTTACCTTTACTTTAACTATCTTAACACCAAATCAAAACCCCTCTTCTGCAAACTGAGATGCACCCCAACACGGAGGAATTCGGCCGTATGCATTTGTGCTTTATTCTGAATTTACATTGTTCTCTTTTTTTCTTCCAAATCCCTCTTTTATCGTTAAGCCATCCAGGGAACTTCTCTCGCATTATAGGGTTGACATATAAGAAATACAGTGGTGCCTCGGGTTACGAATTTAATTGGTTCCGGAGGTCCATTCTTAATCTGAGGCGCGCTTTCGCTAAGGGGGCCTCCCACTGGCGCACAATTTCCGTTCTCATCCTGGGGCAAACTTCTCAACCCGAGGCAACTACTTCCAGGTTAGCGGAGTTTGTAACCCGAAGCGTTGGTAACCCGAGGTACCAGTGTACCGCCAACAAACGGATAATCGAAATGAAGGGGGCTGGTGGGCTTGGCAAGGAGATGAAGCTGGGACAGGAAGGGTCCCACTTCCCCCTCTCCTCAACACCCCCCCCCCACAAGCCGCTTCAAGCAAGTTTGTGATGTGCGAGAGAGCCAGAGCGGGAAGCTGAGCCACCTCTCTGCAGATCCATCCCGCTGATCACACCTGTGCCTTTTGTCTGTTTGCAGATACAACATTACGACCGGCCTTTATCCCTTCGAGGGCGATAATATTTATAAGTTATTTGAAAACATTGGGAAAGGGGAGTACACGATTCCTGAGGACTGCGGCCCTTTGCTTTCAGATCTGCTTAGAGGTGAGTGCCCTATGATGATGATGAAGATGTCACAAGTTTGCTTTGTAGGAAAAGTTCCACCCCGGAAAAGGTTGTGGCTGTGTGATTTGCTCTTAAAGGTAAAGGTAAAGGGACCCCTGACCATTAGGTCCAGTCATGACCGACTCTGGGGTTGCGGCACTCATCTCGCTTTACTGGCCGAGGGAGCCAGCATACAGCTTCTGGGTCATGTGGCCAGCATGACTGAGCCGTTTCTGGCGAACCAGAGCAGCACACGGAAACATCGTTTACCTTCCCGCCGGAGCAGGACCTATTTATCTACTTGCACTTTGATGTGCTTTCGAACTGCTAGGTTGGCAGGAGCAGGGACTGCGCAACAGGAGCTTACCCTGTGGCGGGGATTCAAACCTCCGACCTTCTGATTGGCAAGTCCGAAGCTCTGTGGTTTAACCCACAGCGCCACCCGTGTCCCATGATTTGCTCTTATGCTCGAGCAAATAGAACAAACTGCTATAAGAAAAACTGCTCCCTTTCCCTTATGGGATATTCCAGAGCCTGTATAAAGTCCTTAAGTGGGTTCCCTATCGGTAGGAGAAAATAACAGAGGCCAACCAGAGAATATTGAGAAGCAAAGCAGCTAGTAAGCCTGATCTTTATGGATCTGTTGCAACAGGGTCACCACTCAAAACACACAGGAGGGAGGAGAACCCCGAACAATGGTGTGAAAGCCCTTATATAGACTTTTGAAATTGCCTCCCCTGTAGCCCAAGACCACCCCCAAAACATCATGCATGCATCACAGAAGGAGGCGGTCTACAACAGAAATCCTGCCTGCCAGGATAGCTGATAATGGTCACTGATTGCCTTTCCTGGGCAGCCTGGCCATTCTTTTGTGATGGTTAACACTTTAGTTCCTGGATCCAGGTCGCAGGCTCACCCTGTTCATACACAAATAAGACAGGATTTGTAAGCAAAAAGACAATGGGAAGGCTTTCCCCATTTGCCTCCCTTCCTGCAGAAGGATATCTGAGGTCATTGGCAGAGTCAAAATGGCTTCAGGATTGCTCTTCCATACTATTTCAGACACATGGTTCATATATTTAGATATGTGTGTGATTATGAATAGTTATTCTATATTCGAGACCTTAAAATTCTTATAATCCCAAATAGTTCCAAATGATCCCAAATAGTTGGCACTTTCAGATGCTCTCAGTCTGTAGCTTCCTCACTGCCAGGTGGCAAAGTCTGAAGGTAAACTGACTGTGTGGTGTACTGCAACCCTTTACATTTATTTAATCGCATTTGCATTCCGCCTTTTCCTCTGTGTGCTGTGTGTAGTGTTGTAAACAAAAATTGCCCTTTTCCCTTATGGGGTATCCAAGAGCCCATATAGAGTCCTTACATAGGTTCCCTATTGGTCGGAGAAAATAACAGAGGCCAACCAGAGAATATTGAGAAGCAAAGCAGCTAGTAAGCTTGATCTTTATTGATCTGTTGCAACAGGGTGCTCCCCTCACACGCAGGAAAGGAGGAGGACCCAGAAAAATGGTGTGCAAGACCTTATAAATACTTTTGAAATTACCACCCTGTAGATCAAGACCACCACCAGAAACATCATACATACATCACAGAAGGGGTGTAACCTAAGACCACCCCTCAGATACATCACACCTACATCACAGAAAAGGCGGTCTCAAAAGAAATTTAAATGTTGTTTATCTCTTGTCCTTCTTTATCTCCTGTCTGGCAGCTTACCGTATTTTTCGCTCTATAACACGCACCAGACCATAACACGCACGTAGTTTTTAGAGTAGGAAAACAAGAAAAAAAATATTCTAAACGAAACAGTGGATATATGATTTTTGTGGTTCATGCTGTGGCCACAGACATGTGATCTGACAGTGAGTTTGGAGTAGCCCAATGCAAAAATCCTGATGATCCATGTGGATCCATGCTTTGTAACCACGCTTTTGCACCACTGCGGCCCCAGGCAACAGTGGGTACGTGATTTTTTTGGTGCAAGATGTAGCCATGGACATGCTATGTGATCTGATGGTGAATTTGGGGTGACCCAGTGCAAAAATCCTGAGGATCCATGTGGATCCGTGCTTTGTAACCACGTTTTAAGTGGGGAGGGAAGGAAAAGCACTCAAGGGACAAGGGGTGGGTGGAGAAGGATGCTGTTAATAATGAAGAAGAGGGGTTTAAGGGGAGAAGGCTCCTCTCCTCTCCCACTTTGCTTCTTTAAAGAAGCAGGCTCTCTGTCCCTCTCTCCTCCCTACTCAGCGGCTCTTCTCCCGCTTTGCTGTTTCAAAGTGAGCCCCGGAGGAGGGAAGGAAGGGGAACCATGGATCCTCTGCTCACGACTGCAGCAGATCCCCCCGCCACCCGTAGGCATTCGCTCCATAACACGCACAGACATTTCCCCTTACTTTCTAGGAGGAAAAAAGTGAGTGTTATGGTGCAAAAAATACGGTACTTGATTAGATTTCCTGGGTAGCCTGGCCAGTCTTTTGTAGTGATAAATACTTAGTTCCTGGGCCAGGTCACAGGCTCATACCCTATTCAAACACAGACAGGATTTGTGAAGGAAAGGACAATGGGGAGGCTTTTCCATTTTGACCTTGCAGAGAAAAGATTTGGTCAGTTTAGGAAGCAAAATGGTTCCAGGTTGGCCTTCCTGTGCTGATCTATGTATGTGCTTGGTTGGTACACTTCATATTCATATTACCATATATCTAAGACCATAAAATTCCTATTACAATATTTCTCCCCTTCACCCTTAATCCTCACTACAAGCCTCAAGGTAGGTTAGGGCTGAGAGGCCTTGGCTAGCCCCCCCCCCCCAAGATTGCCCAGTGAGCTTCACAGCCGAGTGGAGATTTGAACCCTGGCCTCTCCCGGGACCTTGTAGTCTTACACTCTCTAGGCTTTGGGCCTCGACTTGCGGTCCACCGATTTCCCCTCCGCCCTTCCCTCGCAACCCGATAGGACAAGCGTAGAAATGGAAAATCGAGACATCAGTTAACAAGTACAAGCAAAACAAATGTCAGCCAGCCCAGCTCTTGCAGACCCAGGCATCCAATGAAACATTTTCTGCCCCACATCCACAGGCAAGGTTAGCAAGGGGTCTGCGAGGGGCCTCTCTTATTTTTTTCAAACGAACAAGCCAGGGCGCTCTGTTGCCTTTTGTTCGCGGCAAGATAAAGCGTTCTAAGAGCACTCAAAACCCTTGATTCCTTATCTAACAGCCATTATGGTACAGCTCAGTAAATATTTAACGGTGGGGGCCTTTTATTCGTTTCCAGCAGGTTTCAAAAGAGACTCTCTCTAGCAAGGGAAATGTATTTCAATAAAGAACTACCGTATTTTTCGCTCTATAAGACGCACCAGACCACAAGACGCACCTAGTTTTTGGAGGAGGAAAACAAGAAAAAAAAAATATTCTGAATCTCAGAAGCCAGAACAGCAAGAGGGTGCGCTGTGCAGCGAAAGCAGCAATCCCTCTTGCTGTTCTGGCTTCTGTTGATAGCTGCGCAGCCTGCATTCGCTCTGTAAGACGCACACACATTTCCCCTTACTTTTTAGAAGGGAAAAAGTGAGTCTTATAGAGCAGTGTTTCCCAACCTTGGGCCTCCAGCTGTTTTCGAACTACAATTCCCGTCATCCCTGACCACTGGTCTTGCTAGCTGAGGATTATGGGAGTTGTAGTCCAAAAACAGCTGGAGGCCCAAGGTTGGGAAATGCTGTTATAGAGCAAAAGATATGGTATTTTACTTTTAAAAGACAACTGAAGGCGGCCCTGTTTAGGGAATTTTTTAATGTCCAGTTTCCTCATGGTCCCTTCCAACTCTATGAATTGGGTTTTTCCTGCGCTGCTTCAGAAGGCTGCAGTTCCCGAGAGGCTCCTGCAGGCGGCGCTGCTTGCACGGGTTATTTTTCTGTTTCTCGGGAATCGTGCTTCAAAGGAGACTTGGAATCCTATTTGCTTCGTTCCTGCCTCTCCCCGAGTGCCTGACTAACCTCCCTCCCCCTTGCAGCCAATGCCATCTGCACGGCTATTTTGATTTTGCTTCTTTTTTTTTGCGACGGTTATCACTCTGGTGTAAGGCTCCCGCATCTTATCTCTTCAGAGCGCCGTTACATAAGGCCCGGCTCGGAACCGTTCTCCAAGCAGCTGGTCCTGTTTCTCCCGCGACAGACTTTGCTTTTATTCTTGGATTTGCAGCCCGCCTCGTCTGAAGGGCCGCAACGGCATGTTGGAACACACTGCAAGGGCCTGCGTCTCTGCCCCCACCCCCCCAACACTCCTGACGGGATGAAATGCGTGCCAAAATAGATTTAAAAGAGCCCCATAAACCGAGCTGGGCTTCCCTCCATTAAAAACCGGCCCAGACAAGAACAGCTTTGCTCCCTGAGCGTTGGGCGTGTCTCCAGAGCAAGTTCCCACCAATTTGGGGGGTGGGCCAGCTTGCAAATACCTCTGCGTTGGGTGGTGCCATTAACCACACGATTCCTCCTCAAGAATTGTCTTCCGCAGCTTGGTTTAATAATAATAATAATGATCACAGTTCCTAAATGGAGCATTGTGGAAAAAGCAGCTTCGTGAGAATTTTTTTACGGTTGCAGGAAAAAGGAGCTAAGGGACGCGGGTGGCGCTGTGGGTTAAACCACAGAGCCTAGGACTTGCTGATCAGAAGGTCAGCGGTTCGAATCCCTGTGATGGGGTGAGCTCCCGTTGCTCGGTCCCTGCTCCTGCCCACCTAGCAGTTCAAAAGCACGTCAAAGTGCAAGTAGATAAATAGGTACCGCTCTGGCGGGAAGGTAAACGGCGTTTCCGTGCGCTGGTCTGGTTCGCCAGAAGCGGCTTAGTCCTGTTAGCCACGTGACCCGGAAGCTGTACACCGGCTCCCTTGACCAATAAAGCAAGATGAGCGCCGCAACCCCAGAGTCGGCCATGACTGGACCTAATGGTCGGGGGTCCCTTTCCCTTTTTAAAAAGGAGCTAAAGACCATGTTCACTGTTCCCTCCCTCCCTTTATACTCACAACAATCCTGTGAGGTAGGTTAGGCCGAAAGATCATGACTGGCCCAAGATCGCCCAGCAAGCTGTGTGTGGGTTTTAACCTGGCAGATTCCGTGTCCCCCCCCCCCCCCCTTTGGACCCTTTAAGCTCCCAGGATTCTCTGCGATGTGACAGTTAATTTTTATTTTTTTTTATAACTTTTTTATTCAAAATTGAAACAAAACATATTATCCAGAAACATATAATCCTTATCCCCCCCATTTCCCCCTCCCCTCCCTCCCCCCACAGAACCCACCCACCCCCGACTTCCCTCAGTTCCAGTCTTTGATTTCTCTAAAAATGCTGTTTTCTGCATGTTACACAGTTGTATAGATCCTCAAACTATTTCGCTGATTACTATCAATAAAAAGTTTGTGAATGTTTATTCAGAACCAAGGAGTGCAGTTCGCTTTGTTGCGTCTTCAGATACTTCGTAAAGGGTTCCCATTCATCTTTTAAGTCACAGTTATCCTTGTCCTGTAGCTTGTATGTCAGTTTTGCCAGTTCTGCATAGTCCGTCAATTTTTCTTGCCATGATTCTTTAGTTGGGGTTTCTTCAGTCTTCCATCCTTGTGCTATTAAAACTCTCGCGGCCGTAATCGCATACATGAATATGTTTTTTGGCAGGTCTTTCCCTACAACCGCCAACAAAAATGCCTCGGGTTTTTAAACAAATGTTAAATGGAACATTTTCTTCAATTCGTTATATATCATTTCCCAAAATTTTTAATTACCTTACAATCCCACCACATATGATAAAATGTCCCCTCCTTTTCCTTACACTTCCAACATATATTTGAACTAGTTTTGTACATTTTCCCTAGCTGCACTGGCGTTGCGTACCATCTGTACATCATCTTCATGTAATTCTCCTTCAATAGGGAACAATCTGTAAATTTTAAATCAGTTTTCCATAATTTCCCCCAATCTTCCATCATAATGTTGTGACCTACATCTTGTGCCCATTTAATCATAACTGATGGATTGCGATGTGACAGTTAAAAAAAACCTCAGGAGGCTTCCCGCCGCAGCTCTGTGCGAAACCCTGCGAGCAAGCAGAAAACCCCGCCAGGCAAATCGTTGTTCGAAAGAGAGGGCGTCTCAGCATTGCATTTCAATTTGCTTCAGCACCCCAATGCACTTTTAGGTTTTTAAGTTTGCAGCGGGCAGGGTCTCGGGGGCTGGCTTTGTACAACAGGAGGGCATCGCCGCACGGCACCGCATTTCGTGCAGGAGCAGCTTTCCGGCTTCTCTCCGTTCCGACAGGGCCCTCTAAAGGGAAGTTCTCTTTCTGCAGTTCTCTTTCTGCACATAACTGTGGCATTATGGGAAGTCTTGCTATGGGAACTATTGCTTCTTTTCTCTTGCATTCTGGGAAGTCTCGCTTCTGCTTCCGCACACACTGTACAAACCTGTTCCAAACACACCAAGACATTCCCTCATTCCTCAGTTCATTTTAAGTTCATGAACAAACAATATGATCTGTTCTTAATGCATAGCTGACCACATCTACGGAACTCGATTATTATATTCTTTCATGTTATGATCAATCATTAGTAATTGTTTTAGTCATGTTATATTAATCTTAAGTTATAATTTAATTAGGAGGTTTCATGCCTGTCGAGTTCCAGCTCCGTTTCTCAGCCTTTAATCTATCAGTGATAAATGGTTATATGTAATTCCCGCCTTGTACCTATGTTAACCAATCAGCAACAAGTTGCTTTGTGTTTGTATCAACCAATCAGCCACAAGCACACCTGTGGCAATGTTTGTAATATTCAATAAAAGAGAGTTCCCGGGGCTTGCCCCGGCAGACGCCTCATATGACACCTGCCACTCGTCTGTCGTGAATTCATTCCAACAGCCCTCTCCTCGCTTGGGCCTGGAGCCAGAGGGAGGAAGCTGCGGAGAGCGTTTCTTCCTCTTTCTCCCAGTGCAAATGTCAGCGTTACAAGGTGTGTGGAGCGGAGGCTGAGCAAGATCAAAAGCGCTCCTCCCCGGCCAAATCGGCCCGTGGGAAGGTGCCGGTGCCACAGTGGCAAGACCTGGCCGCGTTGTGACTCTCCCCACCCCGCAACAATACGTTCGAAACAAAAATGGGTCTGTTTTGTGCGCCAGTTTATTAGGAGATGGAGGTGCATATGCGTTAGAAAAAGCAGTGAAACAAAAACCCCGCTGCCTCCTAGAAAACCCTTCTGAGTTTTACAGAGCACTTCAGACTGAGCAAGGAGCCAGCGTGGGGCCCTCCAGTTGTTTCTGGAACTACAGATCCCTCTGTCCCTAACCATAGGATGGGGCAGATGGGAGTTGGAGTCCAGCAGTACCCCAGAGGGTGTCCGTTTGGCTGCCTCTGGAGGGACCCTTCCTCTCTCCTGCCCCCGCAGAGCATGGAAATGCTCCCCAAATTATGTGTTTTGTGTCTTCAGACCGTAATTTTATGGGTGGCGCTGTGGGTTAAACCACAGAGCCCAGGACTTGCTGATCAGAAGCTCAGCGGTTCGAATCCCTGTGATGGGGTGAGCTCCCGTTGCTCGGTCCCTGCTCCTGCCCACCTAGCAGTTCAAAAGCACGTCAAAGTGCAAGTAGATAAATAGGTACCGCTCTGGCGGGAAGGTAAACGGCGTTTCCGTGCGCTGCTCTGGTTCGTCAGAAGCGGCTTTGTCCTGCTGACCACATGACCCGGAAGCTGTACGCCGGCTCCCTCGGCCAGTAAAGCGAGATGAGCGTCGCAACCCCAGAGTTGGCCACCACTGGACCTAATGGTCAGGGTCCCTTTACCATTAGGTCCAGTCGTGACCGACTCGGGTTGCGGCGCTCATCTCGCTTTATTGGCAACGGGAGTTCACCCCGTCGCGGGGATTCGAACCGCCGACCTTCTGATCGGCAAGTCCTAGGCTCTGTGGTTTAACCCACAGCGCCACCCGTGTCCCTTATCCCATTACCTTTACCTTACCATAATTTTACGTTGTGATTGTGAACCGCCCTGGGATCTACGGGTAAAGGGTGGCAAACAAATTTAATTATTATTATTATTATTATTAATAATAATAATAATAATAATAATAATAATAATAATGGGGGAGGACAGCAACAACTCTGAACCCCTTTTTCACCAGCTGCCTGGTACTTGACGCCGTACTTAAATGTTTCTCTCTGTCTCCCCTTTCTTTTCCAGGAATGCTTGAATACGAACCAGCCAAGAGGTTTTCAATACAACAGATAAGACACCACAAGTGAGTGCTTGAGGTTTCATCTTCTGCTGCTTCCTTCTATCTGATTGTGATGGGATTTTTTTTGTGTGGTGGTGGTTGGGCATGAACCACTTCTCTGCTGCTTTGCTCGGAGGCAGCAGGAAGGAAGGATAAAAGGGAGCCGAGAGGGGAGCAGCGCTGGGTAATTTACAACCCTTTTTTTTTTTAAAAAAAAGAAAAGCATCCCATTTGGTTCTTTAAAAAGCCTTCGGGGAAGCTTTCAAAGCTCGCTTGCGGATCGATAAAAAGTATGCAGTTGCTTCGGAGGAAAGGCTGCGTTGCCCTAGTAAAAGCCACAGCGGGTATGGAATTCCCCAGTAAAACTGTCGGTGGGTGGGATCCTGTGTACTAATAGAGAACTCGATGTTCTGAGTGTGGATCCTCACCCGGAAAAAAATGTCTGCATCTGCACGCAAGTGGAAGAATGGGCAAGCATGGGAGGCTCCTCCCCCAAAAGGTTTGCAGAAGGGCAAAATATATATACAGTGGTACCTCGTGTTAAGTACTTGATTTGTTCCGGAGGTCCGTTCTTAACCTGAAACTGTTCTTAACCTGAAGCACCACTTTAGCTAATGGGGCCTCCTGCTGCTGCCGCGCCACCGGAGCATGATTTCTGTTCTCATCCTGAAGCAAAGTGCTTAACCTGAGCACTATTTCTGGGTTAGCGGAGTCTGTAACCTGAAGCGTATGTAACCTGAAGCGTATGTAACCCGAGGTACCACTGTATTTTTGAGGGGGGATCCCAAAAGGCGAAGTTCCCTTTTTGTTCCGTCTTTCACCTCCAGAAGCGAAGTCCGCATTCCGTGCCCACGGAGCATGCCCAGTAGAATGCCTCCGTCAGAACAGAGCATGCTCAGGAGGTGTGGAATGCTGGCTCAGCTGCTGGGGGGCGGCATGGAGAGCCAGGAGGAAGCGCTGGAATGGAATGTGGAATCCGTTAAAGGTAAAGGGACCCCTGACCATCAGGTCCAGTCGCGGACGACTCTGGGGTTGCGGCACTCATCTGGCTTTATTGGCCGAGGGAGCCGGCGTACAGCTTCCGGGTCATGTGGCCAGCAGGACTAAGCCGCTTCTGGTGAACCAGAGCAGCGCACGGAAACGCCTGCCTCCAGGTTAAACAAGCATTTTGTTCAGACTTAAAGATAGGGATCAGTGGTTCTTGCAACCACCGATAAAAACTTTGCGACTGCTAATGTTCTAGCGTTTGTCCAGTCTTCCAATAGGAACCTGACATAGTGAGCCTCTGATTTTCCCGGGGAAGGTACCAGCAAGGGTAGTATCAGTTCAGCCCTGGCTTGCTCATATTTTGCACAGTGCAACAAAATATGTTTTATGGAATCGATGTCTTGAGCACACGAGCAAAGTCTGTCCTGGTAGGGAACTCCTCTCAACCTGCCATCCAACACTGCGGAAGGAAAGACGTTTAGTCTGGCTTTGGTGAAAAGCCTTCGATAGTTTGGTACTGTCAGGTTTTTAACGTAAGATGTTAACTTAAAGACATGCCCATATTGTACCCCTACTGCCAGCGGATTACAGACCGTACACAGAGTCGGAACGGGACCACGAGAGGAACCTTTGCCCAACACCGGGCTCAAACCCCCACGGCGCTAAGATTTGAGAGTCTCTGTTGACTGCTCCTATGCAGAGAGGTTCCCTTGACCAGACCTCTCTGCAGGTTTCCGTGGTGCCTGTTTCCACCCGCGCCCACTGTCTCTGCTGTTTTTGGCTGCTCCCATTCCGCTCCCCTTTTCCCTCCACCCTCGTGGTGCTTTGTCAGCTCTTTCATGTCAAGCTAACCCAGCTGGAAATGAAGGCCGTCCCCAGAGACCCAGCCGCGGAGAGGCTGTAGGCTGCGTGGTGCAGAGATCAAGCGCTGGCATGCTGAGGCCGTGCGTTCCCTACTAACTGGGCCCTTGCAACCTCCTCCCAGGGCTTTTACCGTTGCTATTTTAGGCTCTCTCCTGTCACAGCACTGCCTGGAGAGATGGGGCTCACCCCTTCCTTTCCTAGGGCTCCTCTTGCCCCAAAAACGAGGGCCGCAGAGACACCACCGTGACAGCTCCAGCTTTCCCACCCACTGCCCTATCGCTTACGTTCGCCCCTGTTTTTACAGCTCTGTTGCTTATCGCAGGTGTAGATTTGCAAGGGGCCACAAGCACACACACCACCGATCTGGCAAAACCACCCAAGGTGGGTGTGAAAGAGGGCAGGCGGTGGTTCCCCCAGCCTTACCTGGAGAGATCAGGGATTGAACCCGAAACCCTCAGGGGGTTGGACCCTCGTCGTCCCTTACAATCCTACGATTGTGTGATCTGTGTGCAAAGCAAAAGCCATTCCCACTATAGCACATCACATTTTTAAAAAGGAAAAAAAAAACCTCCATAGACTAATTAGGTGCACCTTTTTAGCAGGGACGTGGGTGGCGCCGTGGTCTACACCACTGAGCCTCTTGGGCTTGCCGATCAGAAGGTCGGTGGTTCGAATCCCCGTGACGGGGTGAGCTCCCATTGCTCCATCCCAGCTCCTGCCAACCTAGCAGTTCGAAAGCATGCCAGCACAAGTAGATAAATAGGCACCGCCACAGTGGGAAGGCAAATGGCGTTTCCGTGCGCTTTGGTTTCCATCATGGTGTCCCGTTCCGCCAGAAGCGGTTTAGTCCTGCTGGCCCCATGACCCGGAAAGCTGTCTGCGGACAAACACCAGCTCCCTTGGCCTGAAAGTGAGATGAGCGCCGCAACCCCAAAGTCGTCTTAACCGTCCGGGGGTCCTTTACCTTTACCTTTTAGCTGATTTGTTTTCAAACCCAATCAGACTTGACCGGCTGGCCATCCATCCTTAGAAAGAAGCATGCAGAAATTTCCAGGCCCGGACAGGATTCCCACATCTGTATTACTTATCTGATTATGTATAGCCATCCTGTGAGATTGTAGAACTGTAGAGTTTGATGGGACCACGAGAGTCATCTAGTCCAACCCTCTGCAACGCTGGAATTTTTTGCCCAACGTGGGGCTCGAACCCACGAACCCGAGATTACGAGCCTTGTGATCTACCGACCGAGCTATCCTATACATGTTTTTTATATATGGCATTCAGATCCCACCTTTTTCTTTTTCTTTTTTGAAGTGGGGTCCGTGTTCAGAGTCAAGGACTCTACTGCGGCGCTCAGGGAGGCAATGGAAATGGCTGTAAGGGCTCCCCCTTTCTCTCCTCCCTATTTGTGTATCCAAGGCAACTGACCCAGCCTCTCTCCCGGGGAGAGGTGCCGTGTTTCCATTCATTCATCTTCCTGCTCGATAATGGATCACAGCAAGGGCAGGTTGAAAGGGCAAAAGGGTGCCCCAGTCCGGGAGCAGATTGGGTGGCTGATGGTGCTCAGGAGTTGGCGAGAGCCGAGAAGCACTTATTGCAAGTTGCCGTATTTTCCGCTCTATAAGACGCACCAGACCACAAGGCGCACCTAGTTTTTGGAGGAGGACAATGAGAGAAAAAATATTCTGAATCCCAGAAGCCAGAACAGCAAGAGGGATCTGGCTTCTGGGATAGCCTCTGGCTGTTCTGGCTTCTGGGATAGCCGCGCCAAGCCTCTTCAGGGCAGCAGGATGAAGGTTCCCCTGCCCGGATATGGCTGCGAGCAGCTAAGGCAGAAGCCAGGAAAGGCGCTGCGCTGAAGGGGCACTGCGCAGCCCTCCCTCTCTGCGCAGCGCCATTCGCTCCATAAGACGCACTCACATTTCCCCTTTTTAGGAGGAAGAAAGTGTGTCTTATGGAGCAAAAAATACGGTGCAGTGGTACCTTGGGTTAAGTACTTAATTTGTTCTGGAGGTCCGTTCTTAACCTGAAGCTGTTCTTAACCTGAAGCACCACTTTAGCTAATGGGGCCTCCTGCTGCTGCCACAGGATTTCTGTTCTCATCCTGAAGCAAAGTTCTTAACCCGAGGTACTATTTCTGGGTTAGCGGAGTCTGTAACCTGAAGTGTATGTAACCTGAAGCGTATGTAACCTGAGGTACCACTGTATATATATTTTTGTGCTTTATATTATGCTTCATGAATGCGTTCACAAGTGCACTGCAAACTATGAAGATTGCAAAGTAGGGGAACCATGGGCTAATATCCTGCTCTGACTGCTTCCAACCTTGGAAATGGCTCTTCACTTCCTTCTGGGCCCTCAGTAACTACCCAGGTTATACGGGGCAAGGCCTAGGGGGTAGTCTTTGCCACCCATCCCTCCCTCTTTTATTAATTCAGAACTGGGGGGGGGAATCTGAGACTAACCCCCCCAAAACATACACACAAAATAAAAAAATCCAGAAGGAAGGTCCATCCTTCATTCAGTTTAGCTTGCACATGCAAACAACATGGAAATTGTTTCTGTGGTTCCATTTTTTCTCACCCAGAAAATGCAGGAGAGAACCTTCCTTCGTTTCCCCTTCGCTTCCTCACTCTGAATTACAATCACAACCTTCCCCCCCCCACACACACTTTCCCTTCTCATCCTCACCATAGATGCATATGCAAATGTTTGAATATAATCTCCCAGAGGGGGCTGCAATCAATATCTCCCTGCAGGGTTTGAACCTTTTTTTTTTTTTACTCCTGCATTAAGTAGGGCACACGCAGGTAGGGGAAAGAGAAGGGACTTAAAATAGAGCAAATCGCGTCTTGACCACCTGCGCTGCTAATGTTTGCCGTTCTGTCGCGTCCCAGTCTGCTTTGTGGGAAGCTGCGGTCTGGCTTGAGTCAGACCTTTGGCCCAACTGCTGTAGGATTGTCCGAGCCAGCTGCCTGGATAATAATAATAATAATAATAATAATAATAATAATAATTTATTATTTATACCCCGCCCATCTGGCTGAGTTTCCCCAGCCACTCTGGGCGGCTCCCAATTAAGTGTTAAAAACAGTACAGCGTTAAATATTAAAAACTTCCTTGAACAGGGCTGCCTTCAGATGTCTTTTAAAGCTGCTTATTTCCTGGACATCTGACGGGAGGGTGTTCCACAGGGTGGGCGCCACTACCGAGAAGGCCCTCTGTCTGGTTCCCTGTAACCTTACTTCTCGCAGTGAGGGAACCACCAGATGGCCCTCGGCGCTGGATCTCAGTGTCCAGGCTGAACAATGGGGGTGGAGACGCTCCTTCAGGTATACTGGACCGAGGCCATTTAGGGCTTTAAAGGTCAGAACCAACACATTGTGCTCGGAAACATACTGGGAGCCAATGCAGATCTCTCAGGACCGGTGTTATGTGGTCCCTGTGGCCACTCCCAGTCACCAGTCTAGCTGCCGCATTCTGGATTAATTGCAGTTTCTGGGTCACCTTCAAAGGTAGCCCCACGTAGAGCACGTTGCAGTAGTCCAAGTGGGAGATAACTAGAGCATGCACCACTCTGGCGAGACAGTCCGCGGGCAGGGAGGGTCTCATCCTGCGTACCAGATGGAGCTGCCCTGGACACAGAATTGACCTGCGCCTCCATGGACAGCTGTGAGTCCAAAATGACTCCCAGGCTGCGCACCTGGTCCTTCAGGGGCACAGTTACCCCATTCAGGACCAGGGAGTCCCCCACACCTGCCCGCCCCCTATCCCCCCAAAACAGTCCTTCTGTCTTGTCAGGATTCAACCTCAATCTGTTAGCCGCTGTTACCCTGGATAACTGTCCAGGGCCTCAGATTGGGGACTCAGAACCTTTTCGCAGGCAAAATGTGTGTGCCACCACTGATCTGTGCTCTCTCCCCTAAACGTAAAGGAAGGCTCTAGTCCTCATGGTCTGAGATATTGCCATGGACTGTGGCTGGTTGCTGAGGAGTGGTGGGAGCAGCAGCAGGGGAAGAAGGCTCAGAGCCTGCGTATTGGTGGTGGGACGATTAAGAAGGAGCAGACTGGAAACCTAAGCAGAGGCTCTTTTCTTCATTTCCTTTTATTAATAATTTTGAGGATTCAGGGTTTTGGGGTTGTTGTTTTTTTAAAAAAAAACCTACTGTTTGCCGATCGGAAGGTCGGCGGTTCGAATCCCCACGACAGGCTGAGCTCCCGTTGCTCGGTCCCTGCTCCTGCCAACCTAGCAGTTTGAAAGCACATCAAAGTGCAAGTAGATAAATAGGTACCACTCCGGCGGGAAGGTAAACGGCGTTTCCGTGCGCTGCTCTGGTTCTCCAGAAGCAGCTTAGTCCTGCTGGCCACATGACCCGGAAGCTGTACGCCAGCTCCCTCGGCCAATGAAGCGAGATGAGCGCCGCAACCCCAGAGTCGGCCACGACTGGACCTAGTGGTCAGGTGTCCTTTACCTTTACTTTTACTGTTTTGAGAAGGTGGGAGCAGATGCATTTTGGTATCCTGCACAAAAATACATTGAATTTTTAAATGTTCTGAGACTCCTTGAGATCTATGGATGAAGGGCGGTACATTTCTCGGTAGTGGCGCCCGCCCTGTAGAACGCCCTCCCATCAGATGTCAAGGAAATAAACGATCTGACTTTTAGAAGACATCTGAAAGCAGCCCTGTTTAGGGAAGGTTTTAATGTTTGATGTTATATCGTGTTTTTAATATTCCGTTGGGAGCCACCCAGATGGGCGAGGTATAAATTTATTTATTAATACTAATATTACAGTGGTACCTCAGGTTACATACGCTTCAGGTTACATATGCTTCAGGTTACAGACTCCGCTAACCCAGAAATAGTACCTCGGGTTAAGAACTTTGCTTCAGGATGAGAACAGAAATCGTGCAGCAGCAGGAGGCCCCATTAGCTAAAGTGGTGCTTCAGGCTAAGAACAGTTTCAGGTTAAGAACGGACCTCCAGAACGAATTAAGTACTTAACCCGAGGTACCACTGTATTCTAGATGGGAGTGTGCGTTGATGCCATCCTCCCCCCCTTCCAAGAAAAGAGATGATAATATTAAAAAAAATACACAGTCCGGAAATCCCAGCTGGAGCAGACAGGGAGCAAACGTTCACGCAAATGACAGCAAATGGATTTAAAAGAAAGTCTGACGGTTATTTTCTAGGAAATCCTTAACTCCCAGATGGCAGCTGCAGACTTGGGAGGCTGGCACAGCTGCAAAAAGAATCCATCTGCTTTCTCTCCCAACACACGGACTCCCCAGATGCTGACCTTGATAGGAGGCAATTGGTGGGGCTGATGTGATTAAGAACTCTGCACTCCCCACCATCCCCAATTGGCAGATGGCTTCAGAGACTTGCAGTGGACGGATGGGTGGAAAAGTAGCCCTGAGAAGAGCTGGAAGAGGAGGGCTAGCTCTTGGGGGGCATTCCTGGAGTGGCTCAGTCAGTAGAACATAAGATTTTTAATCTCAGGGTTGTGGGTTCGATCCCCACGTTGGGCGAAAAAAATTCCTGCATTGTAGGGTGTTGGACTAGATGACCCATGGGGTCCCTTCCAGCTCTGTTGTTGTTGTTTATTAGTCATTTAGTCGTGTCCGACTCTTCGTGACCCCCTGGACCAGAGCACGCCAGGCACTCCTGTCTTCCACTGCCTCCCGCAATTTGGTCAAACTCATGCTGGTAGCTTCGAGAACACTGTCCCACCATCTCGTCCTCTGTTGTCCCCTTCTCCTTGTGCCCTCCATCTTTCCCAACATCAGGGTCTTTTCCAGGGAGTCTTCTCTTCTCCTGAGGTGGCCAAAGTATTGGAGCCTCAGCTTCATGATCTGTCCTTCCAGTGAGCACTCAGGGCTGATTTCCTTCCGAATGGAGAGGTTGGATCTTCCTGCAGTCCATGGGACTCTCCAGAGTCTCCTCCAGCACCAGAATTCAAAAGCACCCATTCTTCAGCAATTAGCCTTCTTTATAGTCCAGCTCTCACTTCCATACATCACTACTGGGAAAACCATAGCTTTTACTATACAGACCTTTGTTGGCAAGGTGATGTCTCTGCTTTTTAAGATGCTGTCTAGGTTTGTCATTGCTTTTCTCCCAAGACCCTTCCAGCTCTACAATTCTATGATTCTAAAATGCACACCTTTCGCTGGCTGTGCTCCTGGAGAGCTCTTTGTGTGCCTAGGGATGACCTCGTGCAGCTTTTAATTTAACCGCAAAGGCAAGATTCACAAATATGGCTCCGCCCATCTTTAAAAAATTGCCCCTGGCCCCCCGCGCCACTGCCACGTGGCCCTTGGAAGATTGCCCGTAAGGAAATGTGCCCCCAACCCACCAGGTTGGAAAAGCGTCCTTGCCCAGGAATAGCTCTTAATCTCCGGGTCGTGGGTTAGAGCCCCACATTGGGCAAAAGGTTACTCGATCGTAGGGGGTTTGGCTAGATGACCCCTGGGGTCTCTTCCAGCCCTGCAGTTCCAAGATTCACCCAGAGACCGACCACTAAATCCAGATGGACCCAATGAGAGCCATCTTCCAAGGCTGTTTCATGGAAGATGCAGCAAGCTTGTTTCCTTCGGCTCCCGAGGGCAGGACCTGGGTCAGATCACTGGTCCATTTAGTTCAGCGCTGTCTTTGTGAGACGGATGTTGGCAGGCTGGAAGGTGTGCAGAGGGGGGCAAACCAGAAGATCAAGGGTCTGGGAACCAAGCCTGATGAGGAGCGGTTAAAGGAGCTGGGTATGTTTAGCCTGGAAAAGAGAGTGAGAGGAGACAGGAGAGCCTTCTTCCAGTATCTCAGGGGTGCCCAAACTTTTTTCAAAGAGGGCCAGATTTGATGAAGTGAACATGCGTGAGGGCCAACCAAAGTTGTTGAGCTTTCTGGGGGATTTTACTGCCACAGTGGCCAGATTAAATTAGGCCTTTGGAAATTCTTGCAATATCTGAAGGGCTGTCCCACGGAAGAGGGAATAATAATAATAATAACAACCACAACAACTTTTATTTATACCTCGGCTGCAGCCTGGTTCAGGGCGGCTAACACCAATAAAAGCACAGTAAAAACATAATAGGGGGAAGGGGGGAAGAGAAAAGAAAAGAAAACCAATTTAAAATACAGGTTAAAATGCAATTTTAAAATGCAGCCTCATTTTAAAGTAGCTGATAAATCTTGTTTTCTCCTCTTGTTCCGGAGGAGAGGACTCGAACCCATGGCTTCGAGTTACAAGGAAGGAGATTCCGACTCTTGTCGGAAAGCTCTTCCTGATGTTGACAGCTGTCTGGCTGTGGAAGGTGCTGGATTCTCCTTCCTTGGCGGTTTTTAAGCAGAGGTTAGGTGGCCATCTTTGGTTGAGATTCCTGCATTGCAGAGGGTTGGACTGGATGACCCCTAGGGTCCCTCCGTGAGTCGAGGGTTCCTAACCCCGAGGACCCACCGTCTCCACTCGTTTCCCTCCCCTCTTTTCCTGCAGCTGGTTTCGGAAAAAGCACACGCAGGCCGACCCTCTGGTCCCCATCCCGCCCAGCCCGGAGACGAAGGACCGATGGCGGAGTATGACGGTGGTGCCTTACCTGGAAGACCTGCACGGCTACAACGAAGAGGAGGACGACGACGACTTGAAAGATGACTATTTGGAGGACGAGATCATCTACACTCAGGACTTCACCGTGCCAGGTAAGGGAGCCGGGAAGCGGCAGGGGATGGTTCCCGTTGGTCTTGGGGGCCCAGCCAGGTGTACAGCAGGGCTGGATTTAGGTTTGATGAGGCCCTCAGCTACTGAAGAGGGACGCGGGTGGCGCTGTGGGTTAAACCACAGAGCCTAGGACTTGCCGATCAGAAGGTCGGCGGTTTGAATCCCCGCGACGACGGGGTGAGCTCCCGTTGCTCGGTCCCTGTTCCTGCCAACCTAGCAGTTCGAAAGCACGTCAAAGTGCAAGTAGATTGATAGGTACCACTCCGGCAGGAAGGTAAACGGCGTTTCCGTGCGCAGCTCTGGTTTGCCAGAAGCGGCTTAGTCCTGCTGGCCGCATGACCCGGAAGCTGTACGCCGGCTCCCTCGGCCAGTAAAGCGAGATGAGCGCCGCAACCCCAGAGTCGGCCACGACTGGACCTAATGGTCAGGGGTTCCTTTACCTTTAAGCTACTGAAGGCGCTAATTGTTGTCAACACCCGTCCGTCTCAATGGACAATGGAGTGTGTCTTTGGGGGTGAAGCCAAATTGATGCATCTACAGCATCGAAGGGACTTCCCCGGGGCGCAAGCCTGGGCCATGTGTCTGGTGGTCTTTGGCTGCCCAGAAGGCCAAACCCCCCTCTCAGCTTCAAAGATCGGGTCCGAAGGAAAGCAGAGCAAGACATTTGGCACCAGTTTGGGTCAGGGCCAGATTTAGGTTTGATGAGGCCCTCAGCTACTGAAGGTAATGGGGCCCTTTCTATGTCCAGCTGTCCTTTGTCAGCCACAAATTGTCGCTGTTTTTGTGTGTGGAATGTATGCTATATGGTAATTTATGGACCTAACAGATATCTGAAGCCATTTGCCCATGTGGCCATGCAACCAGTCCATGCAGAATGTAGGCACCCTATATATAAAGGTAAAGGTACCCCTGACCATTAGGTCCAGTCGTGACCGACTCTGGGGTTGCGGCGCTCATCTCGCTCTATGGGCCGAGGGAGCCGGCCGCAGACAGCTTCCGGGTCATGTGGCCAGCAGGACTAAGCCGCTTCTGGCGAACCAGAGCAGCGCACGGAAATGCCGTTTCCCTTCACGCCGGAGTGGTACCTATTTATCTACTTGCACTTTGACGTGCTTTTGAACTGCTAGGTGGGCAGGAGCAGGGACCGAGCAACGGGAGCTCACTCTGTCACGGGGATTCGAACCGCCGACCTTCTGATCGGCAAGTCCTAGGCTCTGTGGTTTAACCCACAGCGCCACCCGCGTCCCTATATATAGAAAGGAGCAAACCAGGGATATTTTAGGGAGCAGGCTAGCAGGCAGGGCCCATGACTTACATCATAGGAGCCTGCACAGCACAAAACTCCATTGCTGTAGGTAGGTTTTATTTTATTTGTTTTTTATCTTATATTTTGGAAATCTACATCCAGGTGTTTTTTTCCTTTACATTTTTGGGGCTTGTTTAGCTTATGCATAAATCCAGCACTGGCTTCCAGGGAGGAATGGCCTACAAGCTAAGAAGAGCTCAGCTTCAGTGCTTGGCTATGTTGTTAAGATGGCTTGCTTCGTTCTTTGCTATGCATTTTGCATTTTTTACATTGCGATTTTGTGTTGCGGAGAACCCCCTAGGGCCTACGGATGTTGGACGTTGTAAAAATTAAAATAATAGCAATCATAATATTGTGCAGATGGCAGTGGAGTTCATAACCAGGGGGACGGATTCCCTGCAGATGTGCTGGGGGGGGCAGGGGAGGAGAAATTACTTGCCTTCGTTGTGTCCCTGAAATCAGCTAGAAGGGGGGTGGCTTCCGTCTCCAAGGTTTGCATTAATCATGCAACTAGCAGCTGCAGTTGCAATCGAAATTACTCAATTGCCCGTTGGAAACAAGGTTTGTTATCAAAATTTACAGACCGTTTGCACTGAGCAAATGAAAGTTGCCTTTTCAGCTGAATTTGGGGGAACGATTTGAAGCATCCGTCGCGTTCCGCTATTTCGATTGCTTTTGTTTGATTTGCTCCTTTGCAAGCCGCTGAAATCTTCACTTCCAACTTGGGTTGCCTGCCGCGCGCGTTGTCCAACCCTCCCTCCCTGACGGCCTCGTGTTGCGTTTCCCTCAGGTGACGACAGCGAGGCAGGGCTTAGAGAGGATGAGAGCGCAGATCAGGAAGGATATTTTGCACTCCTCTTCGGGGAAGGAGATTCCACCGCCGCTGCCACCAGCTCAGAGGAAGGAAGGAGGCTTAGCTTAGATGGCAAGAGAGCTCAGGAGACAGAGGAAGACAACAAGGCGGCTTGTTTTTCCACCAGCTAGGACCAGTCCCTGGCCTCGAACTGGGAATGGGTGGGCGGGAGGTTGTTGGGGAAAGAGCCCCTATTAAACAATAGGTGCCCCTCCAAAAATGCCCAGATCGCGGCCGGTCACCTTGCAAGTTCCTTGCCTTCTTGGAAAGTTAATGTACGTTCTTGGCGGCGCTTCTCACCGCTGCAGTTCCGTGCCAGGGCCCCTTCCTGGTGTTTCCTGGTCACAGTTCCCACGTTCTCCACCCACCCAGAGCCCCAGCTCCCCTCCTGTGCCATGCCCTGCCAGCGCCCTTCTGAAGTTTCAGGCCTCTATGGCTCCCTTTGGCCGTGCTCGCGGCCCTAGCCCGAAACCTCTGGCCAACTTGGCGCAAAACGCCAACCCCCGCCTCTCTGCACTGTGTCGGCCCCCTCTGTGGGCACCGGCGGCTGATCATCATCTCTGCGGCGTTAATCGCTGCCGTTATTCACCGCCCGTCGAATCGGCCGCATCCTGAAGAGTTGTCAGTCGGCATTCTTGACAATGTGGTGGGTTGGCTTTTCCCCTCCTTGGCACACCCACCCACCCCTAGGGAACACCGGCTCTTAAAAAGTTCTGCCGCCCCCACCCCCTTTTATCCAGATTTATTGTTATTGTTGTTGCTTTTAAAAGGTTTTCTTTTCCGGAGAAAAGCTGTTCTTTTCCACCTTCCGCGACCTTCGGTTTGAAGAGCGAAATAAAAAGCTTTGTTGCATTTTGAAATTCTCCCTTTTAAAAAAAAATAACGTTTTCAATCCGACTCTTCGCTTTAGAAGCTTTGCAGTTCGGCTTACGGCAGGGTGGGTTATCTGTCGAAGAATATCCCCTGGGTTTTATATGATCTTCCCGAACGCTCGGAAGACATAAAAACACACACCGCTATTTAAAAAACCAGCTCAGAACGGGTGCAAAATAATCCCAAGTTCCCAAACATTTTGTGGCCCGGGGAAAAGAACCTTTGCGAGTGGAGCAAAAACCTCTGGCTGGGTCTGACAGTCAGAGAAGGCAGTGCAAAGCTCCCTGACAGGTTAGAAGAAAAGGTAAGATTGTGCCTGCGGTGAAGAAAGTCGATAGGGAGGCAGGTTTTTTTCTCGTAATAATGGAACTCTGGGGTCATTCAGCACAGACCAAAGAAAATGTCATCCTCACAGTGCAGAGTACATAGAAAAAGAGAAAGGGACCCGAGGGTCATCTAGTCCAACCCCCTGCAATGCAGGAATCTCGGCTAAAGCATCCATGACAGATGGCCACCCAACCCCTCCTTTCTTGTCACTCTGAAGCCATGGATTCGAGTCCTACCTTCCAGAGCAGGAGAAAACAAGCATGCTCCCTCTTCCGTGTGACAGCCCCTAAGATCTTTGAAGCGTTCAACTGTGGAACTTCCTGCCACAGGGGGGACCCATGGGCCGCCGCCTTGGATAGCTCTAAAAGAAGACCGCACAAATCCGAGGAGCAGAATTCGTAGCCAGGACAGCTGCTCTCTGCCCACGCGGTCAGAAGCACAGTATACATCCAGGAGGCTACGTTTGGTCAGAATTGGGTACGCACTCCCAGCCTTAACGCTAAATACATTTCTTCTCCTAAAGGTAAAGGGTAAAGGGACCCCTGACCATTAGGTCCAGTCGCGGCCGACTCTGGGGTTGCGGCGCTCATCTCGCTTTACTGGCCGAGGGAGCCGGCGTACAGCTTCCGGGTCATGTGGCCAGCATGACTAAGCCGCTTCTGGCGAACCAGAACAGTGCACGCAAACGCCGTTTACCTTTCCACTGGAGTGGTACCTATTGATCTACTTGCACTTTGACGTGCTTTCGAACTGCTAGGTTGGCAGGAGCAGGGACCGAGCAACGGGAGCTCACCCCGTCATGGGGATTCGAACCGCCGACCTTCTGATCGGCAAGCCCTAGGCTCTGTGGTTTAACCCACAGCGCCACCCATGTCCCTATTTTCTTCTCCTACCCCACTACAAATAAAAGCTTGGCGGGGCATGAGGGGGGAGCCCCAAGATTTCACCCGCTTGGGCAGAATTCCTTAAATTAGATCTAAAGCACGCGGCCAGGGTTCAGGGGGTTCAGGAGGAGAAGAATATAAACTCCTTGACCTAACCTCCTTGACCCTGCACTAACATGGAATCGGCGGAGGTTTTAACCTCACATGCCATTGGCTTTTCCCACCTGAGATACCTGCTTGGGCAGAATAGCCGTCGAGCAAAACAGCTGCGAGGGACACCGGCTCACTCGCTGTCGCCCGTGGAACTGCTTTTAAGAAATAAACACGTGAGCCAGGGTACCGCAATATTGAAATAGCCCTTGCCATCTCCGCAGCTACGCGAGCTACGGGAATCGATTCCCTTCCGGCCCCTCGGGGTGTCCTGCTTTCCAAAGTCATGAGGTCTAGCAACTTGGGAGTTAGGGAGTTTGCTTGCGGCAGCTGCTGCAAGGCGGCATGCCCGAACGGCGCTGCACGGTTGCAGATTCGGGCTGCGCCCCAACCGACGGAGGACCCCTGTGGGTGAAAGTGGCGGTTTTGCCACACTCTCCAGAAACCCTTTTGTGGATATCTTCCTATATGAATAGAAATGCAGGGTGTCATCAGGTTCTGCATCTGCGCCGGGGGGGGGGGAGAGAGACTTGGCATAGCAGAGGGGTCCCCTTTTTGTCTAGGGTTTGGGGTGCCGTGTTAAGAGAGCGCCAGGAAAAAACCCTTTTTCGGGATGGCGACTCCCGCGGCGTTTGAGAACACCAGCTAAGCTGCAGGCAGAGGTGGCAACACAGGGAGAAGAGAAAACCAGGAGAGTGAGTCACTTGCGGAGGCAGGAGCTGGCTTACATTGCGGGGAGGGAAACTCATTAAGGTTTCCATTGATCAGAAGAAGAAGGCGCTTTGGAGGGGTGGCTGCTTTACATCCCCCCCCGTCCTCTGCTCCCTCCTTCCCTGCCGAAACACTTAAAAATTGATGTTGCTTGGCTGAATGTACTTGCATATATAGATATAAAATTCTCCATACACTATTGTTTACTTGGCTAGGAAAGTAGAGGGCCCCCCTCTCTTTTCTGCTCCCCCCCAAAAAACCCCCACCCTCTCCTCCCATTTCTGGGAACCCCACGGTTAAGAACCCGAAAGGGTTTGCCACTCTCTCCAGAAACCCTTTTGTGGATATCTTCCTATATGAATAGAAAGGCGGGGTGTCGTCAGGTTCTGCAGCAATGGCGGGGGGGGGAGGCCCTTTGTTTCTGTTCGTTTCTTTGTTAATTGCCTTTGTGCACCCTGCCCAAATGGCTTCGGGAGCAGCTTGCAAACAAAGCGAGGCAGTTGGTATCTCCGCAGGACAACTGCGTTAGAAGATGGAGGGGAAAAACCAAAACCCTCCACAACACGCAAGGGAAAGGGGACAGGGAGGGAAGAGGAAAACCCAAAACCTCGGCGCTGATTTCTGAAAGAGGTGCTCTTATAAGAATGATCCACTGACTCGGTTCAAGGGCAGCTGGTGTCTTTTTGCTTGATTGTTTTTATTTTGTTTTTATTTGTTAACATTTGCATTCCACCTCTACCTTCCACTGACCTCAAGGCGGTTCTCCCTGTTCCATCCTTGCAGCAACCCTGCGAGGTAGCTTAGGCTAAGAGACAGCAACCGGCCCAAAAATCACCCAGCGAGCTTCAGGGTGGATTGGGGTTTTGAACCCTGGTCAGCCAGCTCATGGCCCAATGCTCTAACCATTGTGCCCCACTTCTGCTCCCCCCCCCACTGTCCTGCGAAGGCCAGGACACATGCAAAAAAAGATACAGCACATCAAATTGAGATAAATAAATGGGGATGAACGGGCTGCTACTCGTGAGCAAAAGGCCCTCTCTGGGGATCCATGCAACGGGTCTTTGAAGCAACCCCTTTTGCAAAGGTCTTAGGCAACGGCGTGTTGTTGTTTTTTTGGAGGGGGGGCCTGGAGCTCCCCAGGGAGAAAGGACGACACGTTTTGGGTTGTGCGTAAGTCCTTTACGGAGGCGACTTACGTCTCCCCAGGGGGCCTCCGTGGGTGCTGTGACGGGAATCTGCGTCCTTGGGCGAAAAAAAGCAATCTGCAGTCGCCCCTTCTCCTGGCTCCGACTGAGTCATCCGGCTTGAAAAAGCCACCGCTCCTCTGCGTGAAAATTACCTTGGCAGGATCTGCCGGGAGGCAGCGGCAGGGGGAGAGGGCGAGAGCAGCAGACGCGATCACAGAGGGCATTGTTAGCCGAAGGCACGATTGACGTCCTCCTTCCCTCCCACCCGCCCCCGTCGCTGAGCTAAGCAATTGTCGCTCTGCCTCATTTTTTCTTTCTTTTTACGCTTACTTGCGGGAAAGCAAATCCCTTGCACTCTCGTGGTTTGTTTGGCTTTTTCCTGGCATGGTGTTGCCGGGCGGTGTTGTAAACAAAAAATTGCTCTTTTCCCTTATGGGGTATCCAAGAGCCCATATAGAGTCCTTACATAGGTTCCCTATTGGTAGGAGAAAATAACAGAGGCCAACCAGAGAATATTGAGAAGCAAAGCAGCTAGTAAGCTTGATCTTTATTGATCTGTTGCAACAGGGTGCTCCCCTCACCCGCAGGAGAGAGGAGGGACCCAGAAAAATGGCCTGCAAGGCCTTATAAAGACTTTTGAAATTGCCACCCTGTAGATCAAGACCACCCCCAGAAACATCACACCTATATCACAGAAATTTTAATATTGTTTTTCTCCTGTTGTTGTTTATCTCCTGTCTGGCAGGTTACTTGATTGGATTTCCTAGCCAGTCTTTTGTAATGATAAATACTTAGTTCCTGGGCCAGGTCACAGGCTCACCCTATTCAAACACAGACATATCCTTAAGACAGGATTTGTGAAGGAAAAGACAATGGGGAGGCTTTTCCATTTTCATAGAATCATAGAGTTGGAAGAGACCACAAGGGCCATCGGGTCCAACCCCCTGCCTTGCAGAGAAAAGATTTGCTCAGTTTAGGAATCAAAATGGTTCCAGGTCGGTCTTCCTGTGCTGATCTATGTAGGTGCTTGGTTGGTACGCTTATGAACATTACCATATATCTAAGACCATAAAATTCCTATCACAGCGGTAGTTGAGAAGACCCAGCTGTGGCGCCAGCGCTGGCAGCGTCCCAGATTTGCCTGGGAGAAGATTCGAGTTCAAATCCTCCCGCTCGCTGTGCCTCTCGCAGCCAAAACCTACTTTGTAGGGTCGGATTGGGGCAGAGCAATTCACACGCTACCTCGAAACCCCTTTGGGAGAGGAACAAGGCAGGATACAAACCTCCAGAGATTAATAATAATAATTCAGAAGCGGCAACGCTTCCTGTAAGAGGCAGGCTTTAAAAGAGAATTAGGAGGGGGGATGCGGAAAAGTCTACAATAGCTGCTCACCACAGTTCTCCTATTGCAGGAGATTGCCGGGGATCTTGAGTGGAGAGATTCACACTCAGGACCTGCCACGGGTGGGGGGTCTGGTTGACTGCAGCAAGGACAGGGCCTGATCCAGCAACTCCACCGGGGCATCTGGTCGGCCGCTGAGAAGACAGGACGGTGAACTTCAGACATCAAGCGTTTTCTCAAACCTGGGTCCCCGGCTGTCGTCAGACTACAACTCCCATCGTCCCTGGCTAGTAGGACCAGCGGCCAGGGATGATGGGGGCCGTAGTCCAGCTGGAAACCCAAGTTTGAGAACAAAACGTTTCTGAAATATTTTAACAGAAACACAATCCAAGCACTCCATTTGTGGTTTCGTGTATATATATATATATATATATGCACACACACACACACACACACACTGCAACTCCTACATTACTTCAAGTTATTAATTACTGCCTAGTTCTCTTTTTAGCATTAATTTTTAACTGTTCGGTTTAAATTGATCCCGCTGATGAACAGTAACATTTCAGACAATCCACGAATTTCCCCTGGTCTTTGATAAAGTTCCCCCACCTCTTGGTTCCCTATTAATCCCTTAATTTTTGGCATGGTCCATTAATTTAGTCTGCCATTCCTCCCTTGTCGGTACTGAATCTTCTTTCCGTTGGCATACATAAAACACTTCTTTTTCTTTCTTTCAATCTTTCGGTAACTCTATAGCTCTACGGATGATGGGAGTTGTAGTCCCAAAACATCTGGAGGGCTGAGTTTGCCTATGCCTGCTATAGAGTTACCGAAAGGACGATGGGAGTTGTAGTCCCGAAACATCTGGAGGGCCCAGTTTGCCTATGCCTGCTATAGAGTTACCGAAAGAATGATGGGAGTTGTAGTCCCCAAACATCTGGAAGGCTGAATTTGCCTATGCCTGGTATAGAGTTACCAAAAGGACGATGGGAGTTGTAGTCCCAAAACATCTGGAGGGCCCAGTTTGCCTATGCCTGCTATAGAGTTACCGAAAGGATATGATGGGAATTGTAGTCCCAAAACATCTGGAAGGCTGAATTTGCCTATGCCTGGTATAGAGTTACTGAAAGGATGATGGGAGTTGTAGTCCCAAAACATCTGGAGGGCCCAGTTTGCCTATGCCTGCTATAGAGTTACCGAAAGGATGATGGGAGTTGTAGTCCCCAAACATCTGGCGGGCCCAGTTTGCTTATGCCTGCTATAGAGTTACCAAAAGAATGATGGGAGTTGTAGTCCCAAAACATCTGGAGGGCCCAGTTTGCCTAGGCCTGGTATAGAGTTACCGAAAGGACGATGGGAGTTGCAGTCCCAAAACATCTGGAGGGCTGAGTTTGCCTAGGCCTGGTATAGAGTTACCGAAAGGACGATGGGAGTTGTAGTCCCAAAACATCTGGAGGGCCCAGTTTGCCTATGCCTGCTATAGAGTTACCGAAAGGACGATGGGAGTTGTAGTCCCAAAACATCTGGAGGGCCCAGTTTGCCTATGCCTGCTATAGAGTTACCGAAAGGACGATGGGAGTTGTAGTCCCAAAACATCTGGAGGGCCCAGTTTGCCTATGCCTACTCTATACCAATTCTCCCTAAAAGAAACGCTTCTGGTTTGTTTGTTTTCTAAATTAAAAGTTATTTTGAGCGTTTTCTCCAATTCATTTATAAACCATTTCCCAGGAAGTTCCCACGTTTGAGATTTAGATGCTCTCGTCTGCCCTCTGCGCATGCCCCATGGCACAGACCTCCCCTGTACCTCCTTTTTTCTTGTGTTTTTTCCGTGTTCCCGTGCGTTTGCCTTCCAGGACAGGTGCCTGACGAGGAAGCGAGGCAGAACGGGCAAAGCCGCTGCAGCCGGGGCCTCCCCAAGCCGGTCTGCATGAACGGGACGGAGCCAGCCCAGCTCAGCGGGAAGACGAAGGCCGAGCGGAGGGCCAGCGCCTCGTCCAACCCTTCGCGCAAAGCCTCGTCTTCCACCAGCAGCAAGATTCGGAAGCTGTCCACCTGCAAGCAACAGTGACGGCCTCAGCATCGCCCACCGCAGGTCTGTGCCTTCCTCTTCGCCTTCCTCTCTTTTTCCGGAAAGGTGGTGCCGCCCAGTGGTTAGAGCGCTTGCTTTGCATGCAGAAAGTCCCAGCTTTAGTCTCCAGGAGAGCCCTTGCCAGTCACTTTTGGCAGCGCTGAACAGCGTGGGTCAGTGATTTGACTCGTAGAATCGTATAAAGCGGGAGTAATAATAATAATAATAATTATTATTATTATTATTATTATTATTATTATTATTATTATTTATACCCCGCCCTCCCCAGCCACTCTGGGCGGCTTCCAACAGAACACTAAAACACAATAACCTATTCAACATTAAAAGCTTCCCTAAACAGGGCTGCCTTCAGATGTCTTCTAAAAGTTTGGTAGTTATTTTTCTCTTTGACATCTGGTGGGAGGGCGTTCCACAGGGCGGGCGCCACCACCGAGAAGGCCCTCTGCCTGGTTCCCTGGAACTTGTAGCGAGGGAACCACCAGAAGGCCCTCGGCGCTGGACCTCAGTGTCCGGGCAGTATCAAGTTAACCAGAGGAACTCACTGCTACAAGGTGTTTCTCATGCATTCAGGGCCATCTAGACTCGCTAGCATCCTTTCTGGGGTGTTTTAATTCCCCCCCCCCAAAAAAAAAAATTAAGAGGGAGCTTCCGACTCTTACGTACTAACCAAGGCAGGGTTTTGTTTTTTTTTTAATGCATGTATTGTGTCTCTGACCTTAAGCAAGCAGGGATCGCGGAGCGGGGCAGACGCGATCGGCTCGTGCATCCAGCTTTCATTTGACTTGACGTATATCCCTCCCTTTCCCAGCTCTGCAGAAAACCCCGAATCCCTCCTCCTTCTCTCTCTTGTCTCCCCACCCCGAACAAAATAATAATAAAAATCCCTCCCTCCCCGGCTGTTTTCGCCCAGCTCTCCTGATTCATAAGCTCAGCCCAGGAAGAAAGAAGAGAAAATTATTCATCTGTGATCTGCCCACCCCCGCCTGGCCTCGCCGCAGTAATGCACTTAGCCGGTGGCGCCTTCTCTTCCTTGCAACCCCCCCCCCCCAAAAAAAAGCTTTTATCTCCTTGGCTCGCAACCAGGTTTCTCCATTCTCCCCTCCCTCCCCTGTTCTTCTTTCGTCTCCTTCCTCACTCCCAGCTAAGTCTCCGAATAGCTTCGGAAAATAAGATGGAACGAGTATCTCATGCAAGCGAGACTGAATCTGTATCGGGGGGGTGTTGTCCCCCCTCAAAAAAAAACACAAGAAAACTCCAAGATAAAGATATTTGCAGACGAGCATCGCCCCCCCCCCCCCAGGAAAAGGTGGCTGTTGAGCTTTTGCTTGCCGGCCCGCCCAAGGCAAGCCCCCAAATAATCCAGCCGAAATCTTCTCTCCAGTCCCTTCATTCAATCAAGTCCTTTGCAGCAGCAAAAGAAGAAAATCTCTTTTGCTTTTTTGGAAGCAGGTGGTCGTGTTTGCATCTCTTCTTCCCCTCCAGGCTAAACCTTTCTCCATCTCGACCCCCCCTTCTGTGAACCGCCCACCCCACCCCATGTTCCAGTTTGCCTTCGGCCGCTTTTGCTTCGCCCCAGAACTGGACGCAGGTTTCCTGCTTTAATTCGGGGGCCGAAGCGAAACCGGGACTTCGGAAGCGGCGGTTCCCTTTAGCGCAGCCGAAGATTGCGTTTGGCTTCTTTGCAGATGCGTCGCGCTGCTGGCTCGAGGTTTTTATTTTTACTTCTTGGCCAAGATAGCAGGCTCTCTCTTTTCTCGCTTTGAACCTACTCCCGGTAGACCTGCTGCAACTTAGCAAGATGTGTTGTCTGTGGATCTCCTCTGCAGGCCCAGAAAGCCATGATAAACACTAGAAAGACCCCTCTCTGCCCTGGCCAGCTGCCCCGACTAAGCCTCGCTAAGGCTTTTCCCCTTCTGCCTTGAAAGACCCCGGACATCGGGCCCCCGTACTGTTTTCCGGCGCTTGCTAAAAACGTTTCTGCTTGGACGGGCCAACCCAGACGTTTAAAAAGCTTGTGCATCTTTTAGCCTGTTGTTAAAAGATGGAATGTCTTAAATGAAATGTTGCCGATTTTTCTCAGAATCAGAGAACTGGGGGGGGGGGGGGGGTGGAAGAGGACCATAGCAGTCATTTAGTCCAATGCAATGAAGGGTTCTTTTTCCCCCAGCATGGGTCTCTCTCTCTCTCTCTATTGTTTAAAAAAAATTATGTCACCTGCTGTTGTCCTGTTGTTGTCCTGTGTGAGCACCTAGAGGCAGTTGGAGGATGGATGGTGGCTAATGGATTGAGGTTGAATCCTGACAAGCAGAAGTACTGTTTTTGGGGGACAGGGGCGGGCAGGTGTGGGGGATTCCCTGGTCCTGAATGGGGTAACTGTGCCCCTGAAGGACCAGGTGCGCAGCCTGGGAGTCATTTTGGACTCACAGCTGTCCATGGAGGCGCAGGCCAATTCTGTGTCCAGGGCGGCTGTCTACCAGCTCCATCTGGTACGCAGGATGAGACCCTCCCTGCCCGCAGACTGCCTCGCCCGAGTGGTGCATGCTCTGGTTATCTCCCGCTTGCACTACTGCCATGCGCTCTATGTGGGGCTACCTTTGAAGGTGACCCGGAAACTACAACTAATCCAGAATGCGGCAGCTAGACTGGTGACTGGGAGCGGCCGCCGAGACCACATAACACCAGTCTTGAAAGACCTACACCGGCTCCCAGTACATTTCCAAGCACAATTCAAAGTGTTGGTGCTGACCTTTCAAGCCCTAAACAGCCCAGTATCCCTGAAGGAGCATCTCCACCCCCATTGTCCAGCCCGGACAGTGAGGTCCAGCTCCGAGGGCCTTCTGGCGGTTCCCTCGCTACGAGAAGCAAAGCTACAGGGAACCAGGCAGAGGGCCTTCTCGGTAGTGGCACCCGCCCTGTGGAACGCCCTCCCTTCAGATGTCAAAAAGCTAAACAACTACCTGACATTCAGAAGACATCTGAAGGCAGCCCTGTTCAGGGAAGTTTTTAATGTGTGATATTTTAGTGTATTTTTGGTCTTTGTGGAAGCCGCCCAGAGCGGCTAGGGAAACCCAGCCAGATGGGCGGGGTACAAATAATAAATTATTATTATTATTATTATTATTATTATTATTATTGAATGAAGGGTGGTATGCAGATGTTGTTAATAATAATAATTGTAGTGGGGTTTTTTAAGTTTTAAATTATGCACCCTTTTTTGCACATGGGTAACTGTGACGCAAGGGAGCAGCATGCAACAAATCGCAGAACTTTTTCTGACGTCCAATTTCTCTTTCTCTCTCTCTCTCCCTCCCCCCTTTTCTTTTTTTTAAACTCTTTGCAGCCAGAGCCCCGAATTACTGCGCTTGGCGGCCGCCGTATCCCCTCCTCGGCTCTCTGTGCATCTTTCCCCCCCTCCACCGGCCGTGCCCTTGCCCCCCCATGCCGGCATCCCTGGTAGCCGACCCCCGTAGACCCCCGCTTGCAATCCAAAAAAGAGAGAGCCAAGAAACAGGAAGAGAGATGCCTTTTTGTAAAGAAAAATAAAGACGCAATCCTCTTATTTGGGGAGGGGGGCAGAAGAAGACGACGACACCCAACGCCGGTTCAGCAAATCCTGCTTTTTTTAGACTGAGAAGACGAAAAAGCCTGTCTGTGCTTCACCTCCCGAAATCCTGTCTGTGTGGCCGTCCGGATTCCCACGACTTGTTGGGGGGGGGGATTGAAGTGGAAGGGGGCTGCTCCTGGTTGGTGGGGGGGCTTTTTGAGATGGGGGGGCGAGTTCCCTCCAGGACTTGGCACATCTCTCCTCCCGCCATTCCTCCCCGTGTTAGAATTTTTGAAAGCCATCGACACGCACTTTATGTAGTAGACTACTGTTATATAATATATATATTATATATTATATTTTTTTTCCTCCCCTACCCCTTCTTTCTTTCTTTCTTTCTTTTCGGCCCCCTCCTCCCTCTCTTCCCCCTCCCTCTTTTTTTGAGGGGGGGGAGGGCGGTTTATATTTGCAGTTATCTTTAGAGAACTTCCTTGCACATTTGTGACCGTATCTGAAATAAATGGAAAGAGCTGGGGAGGGGAATGTCGCGGCCTGCAAAAATTGGGGGGGGGGAGAGAAGAGAGGTTCAGAAAGTGGGGAGGGGGTGTTATGGGGAGGGGAAACCCCGGTATTTAAAACGTCAGCAAAAATCACCACACTATTAAAACGAAAATAAAAAAATCTGCATGCTGTTTATAAGGGCTGGAGCAAAGGGAAGTGAGTGCTTTTTTTTTCTTTCTTTCCTTTTTTTTCTTTTTTTTAAAGAAAATAAAAAGTCAAAATGGAGCCATGGGTTTCTGAGCCTGTTTTTGGGGGGGGGGGCGGTGCTTATTTAGCCCAGCCTGGGAGGAAAAAAACATTGAGCTAGATACAGTGGTACCTCGGGTTACATCTGCTTCAGGTTACAGACTCCGCTAACCCAGAAATAGTGCTTCGGGTTAAGAACTTTGCTTCAGGACGAGAACAGAAATTGCATGGAGGCCCCATTAGCTAAAGTGGTGCTTCAGGTTAAGAACAGTTTCAGGTTAAGAACGGACCTCCAGAACGAATTAAGTACGTACCTCTGTATTGGCACGTGGAGATGCCCAAGTCTTCCATAATAGGAGCGTTTGGGTGGATGCAGCTCTGGGGCGCGGCAAAGAACCCCTCGGATTTTGGGGGGACACCTTACACTCTATGCAATACAGAGACGGGAGGAGGGAAGATCTTTTTCCATTAAGGGAGCCCCAGCCAATGCACTTAGGTCCCTCTCCCTGGGAGAACGTGGTCCCTGATTCGGAGGCAAAATTTCTGCCTCCAGCTGGACCCCTGACGCCTCCACGTTTGTCACCATTTCTTGCACGTATAGCCCAATCTTCCCCTCCCAAGAGTACGTGCTGCTCCTTCCTTAAAAGGTAAAGGGACCCCTGACTGTTAAGTCCAGTCGTGGGCGACTCTGGGGTTGCGGCGCTCATCTCGCTTTACTGGCCGAGGGAGCCGGCGTACAGCTTCCGGGTCATGTGGCCAGCAGGTGAACCAGAGCAGCGCACGGAAACGCCATTTACCTTCCCACCGGAGTGGTACCTATTTATCTGCTTGCACTTTGACGTGCTTTCGAACTGCTAGGTTGGCAGGAGCAGGGACAGAGCAACGGGAGCTCACCCCGTCATTGCGGGGATTCGAACCGCCGACCACCTGATCGGCAAGCCCTAGGCTCTGTGGTTTAACCCACAGCGCCACCTGCATCCCAGTGAGAAATTACAGTTCTATTTCTTTGCTGCATTTCTGTCCCGCTAGCATCCTCAATCCTCTTTCCCTCTTTTTCATTCTCACAACCACCCTGTCAGGTAGGCTAGGCTGACTGGGGAAGGACCCCACCTTGGCGGTGGAGCACCTATCTTGCATGTATACATTGCCAGGATCAGTCCCAGGGTGGTGTCTCCCAAAAGGGCCGGAGACCCTTTCGGAAGCAGCCGGAGGGCTGCTGCCAGCCAGTGTAAGGGCTACTGTGCTCACTGTGGGTTGGGCTAACACTGCAGTCACTTCCTGTCTGTGCCTTGAAGGAGAGATGGGAGCTTGTGGGAAAGGGTGCCAAAACAATTTAAAACTCGAGCACTTACACCATGGGTGGGCAACCTAAGGCCCAGGGGACGGATCCAGGCCAATCACCTTCTCAATCAGCATGTTTTTACATGAGTAAAATGTGTCCTTTAATTTAAAAGGCATCTCTGGGTTATTTGTGGGGCCTGCCTGGTGTTTTTACATGAGTAGAACGTGTCTTTGGATTACCGTATTTTTTGCTCTATAAGACTCACTTTTTCCCTCCTAAAAAGTAAGGGGAAATGTGTGTGCGTCTTATGGAGCGAATGCAGGCTGCGCAGCTATCCCAGAAGCCAGAACAGCAAGAGGGATCGCTGCTTTCACTGCGCAGCGATCCCTCTTGCTGTTCTGGCTTCTGAGATTCAGAATATTTTTTTCCCTTGTTTTCCTCCTCCAAAAACTAGGGTTCGTCTTGTGGTCTGATGCGTCTTATAGAGTGAAAAATACGGTATTTGGGAGCCGGTCCACTGTCCCTCAGGCCTTGTGGGGGGCCGGACGATATTTTGAAGAAGAAAAATGAACGAATTCCTATGCCCCACAAATAACCCAGAGATGCATTTGAAATAAAAGGGCATATTCTACTCATGTAAAAACACGCTGATTCCGGACCATCCGCAGGCTGGATTTGGAAGGCGATTGGGCTGGATCTGGCCCCCGGGCCTTAAGTTGCCTACCCCTGATCTAGAGGACACCTGGCTGGCAAAAGCCACACTAGGGCAAGGCCCTATATACAACCTCTGGGGCTGACAGTGTTCACGACTTAAGGGGAAAAGAAGACCACACACACCCATTGGAAAACGTTGGCACATCATTTATTTAATAAAGTCTTGTATTTTTATTTTTTGCTCTCCCCCTCCATTGAAAAAGGCAGGGAAAAAGGAGGTTCGTGGTTTGGTCTGCTGCTTTTATGAAGCGGGGAGGGGAAAACAGGCTTTGCGTTGCCCCCCCGCCGACAAAAAAAGACGAATTGAAATCATAGGATGGCCAGAGTTGGAAGAGACCCCCCCACACACAACCCACATACAGAAGTGTCTTCCAGTCCAACCCCCCTTGCAAGGCAGGACTCCCAAGCTAGACGATTATGACGGTTTCGACAATGACAAGAGCGAGGTGGCAAAACAAGCCAGAACTTTGGAATAAATAAATAAATATATGTGTATATATATATATATATTCTCACATTCTCCAAAAGAAGAAGGGGTGGGGGGATCGCCCTGCCACACCTCTGGCAGTTTTTCGCTTTTACAAAATTAAGTTTCTCTTCTTTTCTGACCGTTCCCCCCCCCCCAATTCCCCATCCCTTCAAGTAGTGCTTTGGACGTTGATTTTCAAAGGAAAAAAAAATGAAAACTGGAGGGCAGGACCCACACATCCAACCAGGCGCACACACACCCCACTCCTCCCCGAACCCCTCCCCCTGTTGACATGCAAAGGAATTGAAGCACGGGGGGGGGGGGGAGTTAGGAAACGTAAAAGATTTGGCACACATCCCCTGCATGGCTGTATTGGGAGATGGGTGGGTCAGTTTGCCCCCTCCCCAAGCGATGTGCTTGTAGCCGCGTAGTAGCAACGATACGTTAAAAGAAAAAGCTTGCCGCCGCCACCTTATAATCTGCTTAAAAATTAAAGGCGCAATAAAACCGCCTGCTCGTATAGGTGAAACTCGAAAAATTAGAATATCGCGGGAAAGTTCGTTTATTTCAGTCGTTCAACTTAAAAGGTGAAATTCGTGACATGCAAAGCGAGAGACGCTTCTACATCTCAGAGGTCCAATATTGCTCTATCTGCAATCCTTGTTTTGCTGATTTCATTGAATATTCAAATTTTCTGAGATTAATTAGTTTCACCTTTGAAGTTGAATTAGTGAAATAAAGGAACTTTTCCATGTTATCCTAATTTTTTGAGTTTCACCTGTATATCATTATTATTTTTCTTCAACCACAAATGTGGATAAATTAATTTTTTAAAAAATTAAAGAGAGACTCCCTTTGCATCGATTTGGAGAACGGGGCAGATTGTGGAATAACGTGTCGGAAGAGGCACGTTTTTGTAGCCGAGCGCGTGAGGACTATGGCTGATCTCCCTCTTTTTCTTCCGCTGGGCCTTACCCCCAAACTCGCGGCTCTCCTATCTCAGCCTGGGGAGAAAAAACGGGCGGCTTTCCGATGGCTCTAGACTTCCTGGCTTCTGAGACTAGCAGTCCAACGACACTGGGGGGGACACACACGGACGTCAGTCATCCCTGCATCATCCGCTGACGCTAAGACCAGGGTGTTTCTCATTCCGCTGCCCAGTTCACATGAGGACTATAAACTTGGGAGCATTCAAATAGCAGCTCCGACATCCCTTTTCCAATCGAGCTGTTTGGTATCTCTGCGCAAGGGATGGTGTCGCCGGAAGGAAAGCCAGAGCAAAGGGCGGGGGGACAGCGTACAATTTTGTTGAACGGGAAAAGTTGGAGATAATAGAGAATCGGCGACGGAGGAGTAACGCAGGGGCGCCAGGAAAGACGGAGGCCTGAGCTTTCAAAGAAGTTGGGCGCGCTGCTTCTACCGCAACCCACCTGCCTCGCTTTGCCAAGTACGTACCCGAAAACGGCACAACCCGCTCCAAACCGGTGCAGTAACCCATGGCAATTTCATCCGCCCAGGCAAAATAACATTTCTGGAGCTAGTTCCACGCCAACGAAAGTTCATTGGGAAGAAACTTGGGTGAGAGATCAGGGCCAAGCGGGCAGGCTTTTCTGTCCCATCTGGAAGGCGAGGTTGGTTCTGCCTCCCGCCAAGAGGACGCCCAGCGACAGACGGAGGGAGAAGGAGGAAAGGAGAAGGTTATTGCTTGCAAAAAGAAAAAAGAAAAACCAGAGAGAGAGTGTGTGTGCAAAGGTGAAGGAGTCATTTATAGTTATCTGCTACAACCAGCTCTTTTGAACGTTGTGAGGTAAAAGTCGGGCCTCTGCTAGGTTCCGGGGTCTCCTGTTATTAGCGAGAAAAAGCCCCTCGGGAACGTAATGTCCGGGCTGTGCAATAGAGGCGCTTGCTTTGGCAAACCTGCCTCGGGGAAGGGAGAACTGGCTCGTCTCGGGACCCCTAACCCCTCTCAGGCACCAGCGAGAAGGGAGCAGAGGCTGCTGGGAGCAAGATCCCGCCCTCCCCGGCCCCTCGCAAGCGGAAGGCCAAGCCGAAGGGCCCGCCGCTGCCCGTCGCACAAACGCAGCCTTGACCAGTTTCCCTCGACCCTCTGCGGACTCCGAGTCCCGGCTAGAGACAGGGATGTCTGCGGGATGGCGACTCCCCTAGGACGCAGTGACGTCCCTTGCGTGGTACCTGCCCCAGCAGGGCCACCGTCCTCTGAGATAGTGCGCCCCATTGCCCGGTTGGCTGGCAAATCCCAGGCCGGCCCCGGGGAGGAACTGTGGAGAGAGCGGTGGCTACCTCACCCTGAAGTCGACGGCGTCCCCCTGCTCCTCTACTCTGGGCTGTGGTCAGGGGAGGCGTCCGCCACAGCCACAACGCACCCTGGACTCTCTCTCGGTTTTTTCAAGCGCCCATACATCCTTTCCTCCAACCCCCCGGTTATCTTGTCCATCAGTTCGCTGCCCAGGCCGCCTAGGCCTGGGCACTGCCCATCCTCGAGGCAGCCGCTGCCATACGGCTCGGGCGGCCCCTTGGCCTCCTCCGGCGGCTCCTCTTCTATCACCTGGATTTTGTCGCCGGCTTCCGCCGTCGCCGGTGCCGCCTCCTCGTCCCCGGAGCTGACGATGCGTGGCAGGGTGCTCTGGTAGCGCCCCTCGAGTGGGTAGTTGACGCTGTCGCCCCTCCGCAACGGCGTGCGGTGCCTCTCCAGGGCCGGCGGGTAGCGGACGCCGGGGTCGCTGTACTGCTTGGCCCTCTGCCACTGCTTCCGGAGGTGCGTCCGGGAACGGTGCTTTGCCCGAAGCGGCGACTCGTCGAATTGAGGGTCGTGGCGGACGAAGGCGTTGAAGAGGGCGTCCGTCTTCTCGTCGATGCTGTAGTCCCGGCGGGGCAACGCGTCCCGGGTGGGGAAGAGCTGCCCGTAAGGGGCCCAAACCAGCGGACTTGGGGCCGGCGGCCCGCCGGAAGCTCCTTCCGTGGCCTCGTCTTCCTCCTCCGGTTCTTGGCCTTCGAAACTCTCAAAGATGGTGGCTCGGCGGCCCGCGCTGGTGAAGCAGTAGCGCTTCTCCGAGGCCGTCTGGTCCTCGCCGACGCGCCCGCCGGGAGCCTCGATGGAGGCGTAGCCGCTGTCCATCTGCAGGAGCTTCCGGGTCCCGGCCTCCGATTCCACGCTGTCCTGCTTGGCTTTCCCCGGCAATCTGTCCTCTCCTCCTTCAGCCTCGTCCGCCAAGGAAGAAGGGAAGCTGGGCAAGCCGCCGCTCGAAGAGATGCTCTCCCCGCCGTCACTGCGCACCGAGTCCCGGTCATTGCCCTGCTCCGACGAAGCGTACATCTCCAACGATGCCCGCAGGCTCCAGATGTCATGGTAAAGGGGGGTGGGTGGCTGCTGCGGTGGCGGCTCCAAAGCGGGGGGCTCAGCGGAGGGGGGGCTGGGTTGCTCCGACGGCTCTATCCTGCATCCAGAACACAACAGGTACATTTTCCCTTTAAAAACAACTTTTGGGTCTTAGGATCGTATGGAACAAAAACAGCAAATGATAATCGAGACCTGGTATATATATATACACACACATACATACATACACACATACACTCTTTTCAAGTTCATACGTACACACACACACACACACACACACACACACACTATTCAAGTTCATATATCGTATTTTTTGCTCTCTAAGACTCACTTTTTCCCTCCTAAAAAGTAAGGGGAAATGTGTGTGCGTCTTATGGAGCGAATGCAGGCTGCGCAGCTATCCCAGAAGCCAGATCAGCAAGAGGGATCGCTGCTTTCGCTGCGCAGCGATCCCTCTTGCTGTTCTGGCTTCTGAGATTCAGAATATTTTTTTTCTTGTTTTCCTCCTCCAAAAACTAGGTGCGTCTTGTGGTCTGGTGCTTCTTATACGGTACACACACACACACACACACACACACACTCACTTTTCAAGTTTATACATTTCACTGATTTCACAATCATCTTGACATTTCAAAACTTTACTTCCTTCCCCCTCTTTCTGCGGTTCCTTAAATTTCATTTTAATACCTTTCGCATATCCAAATTAACTTCATTTGCTCATTCATTCATCTTCTTTAAATACATACTCTTACAAAACTGCAAGTTATTTAGGCCGAATTGCTGCGATTAAGATGAATGTATTGCCAAGAATGTTGTTTTTATTTCAAACACTTCAGGTTTTGGACAAAATGGAGTGCTTTCAGAAGTGGCAGAGAGACATTTCGAAGTTTGTCTGGCAGGGCAAAAGCCCAGAATTAAGTTTAAGATACTAACTGATGCAAAACAAAGAGGGGCTTTGCCCTGCCAGACTTAAAGTTGTATTACGAAGCCGCAGCGTTCTGCTGGCTAAAAGATTGGCTACTTCTTGAAAACACTGATGTGTTGGATTTGGAAGGGTTCAACAATGTTTTTGGATGGCATGCATATTTATGGTATGACAAAGTTAAAGCAAATAAGGCCTTTAAGAACCACATTGTTAGAAAATCACTGTTTAATGTCTGGACAAAATATAAAGACTTGCTGGAAAATAAAACACCAAGGTGGCTTTCACCTTTGGAAGCTAAGGCCCGAAAAAGACCCAATATGGAGGCCAAATGGGCAAAATATTGGGAAATAATAGAAAAAGATGGAGACAATTGGAAATTGCAGAGTTTGGAGAAAATGAAAGACAAAGTGCGAGATTGGTTACATTATGCTCAGATTAAAGAAGTTTTTAAAAATGATAAGAAACTAGGGTTCCAGGTGGAGAAATCGAAATTAGAAACAGAATTGTTAGAACCAAAGACTAAGATACTTTCAAGGATGTATAACTTGCTGTTGGAATGGAATACACAAGATGAAATGGTTAAATCGGCTATGATAAGGTGGGCACAGGATATTGGGCATAACATTATGTTTGAGGACTGGGAAAGGCTGTGGAGTAATGGATTGAAATTCACTGCATGTAATGCTTTGAAAGAAAATGTAATGAAAATGATTTATAGATGGTATATGACCCCAGTCAGACTCGCAAAAATTTACCACCTGTCAGATAACAAGTGCTGGAAATGTAAAGAGTGTGAAGGAACGTTCTTTCACCTCTGGTGGACCTGCCCTAAAGTGAAGGCGTTCTGGGAAATGATTTATAATGAATTGAAAAGGTATTTAAATATACTTTCACTAAGAAACCAGAGGCTTTCCTTTTGGGTATTGTCAGCCAAGGGGTGGCAAAGAAGGACCAGACATTTTTTATGTATGCAACAACAGCAGCAAGGATACTAATCGCAAAACATTGGAAAACTCAAGATCTACCCACGCTGGAAGAATGGCAGATGCAACTGATAGACTATATGCAACTGGCTGAAATGACTGGCAGAATCCGTGACCTGGGAGAAGAGAGAATCGAGGAGGATTGGAAGAAATTTAAGAACTATCTACAAAAGCATTGTGATTTGACTGAATGCTGAATAAGATGCTAGACTAAATAACTGAGCACCACTTAACTTAGAAGTTTTTAAGAAAATAAGAAAAATTGTGAAAGTTTAACTCTTTATGAGAACTTTAAGATTATGAAATATCGAAGAGATATAAGAACTTAAATAAGATGATAAATTGCTGACAAAATGTTATAATGATGAAGGTGGGAGCGGGAGATGTGAGGAAGTCCAAAGAAAATGTGAAATAATGTTAAGACGAATGTTATATTGTTTACTACATTTATTCCTATTGTAAAATCCAATAAATTGCTTTAAAAAAAAAAAAAAACAAAACTGCAAGTTATTACAATAATCCTGCCAATGTTTTCATCCGTTTACAAATTATCTGTTAATATTCAATAAACCATTTACATTCTTTTGTTTTTAAAAAAATGTTATCTTGATTTCTTGTTCTTCTGGCAAGTTTCACCATTTCTGCATATTGCATTGCTGTTACAGTGGTACCTCGGGTTACATACGCTTCAGGTTACAGACTCCACTAACCCAGAAAAAGTACCTCGGGTTCAGAACTTTGCTTCAGGATGAGAACAGAAATCGCGCGGCCGCGGGAGGCCCCATTAGCTAAAGTGGTGCTTTAGGTTAAGAACAGTTTCAGGTTAAGAACGGACCTCCGGAACGAATTAAGTACTTAACCCGAGGTACCACTGTACTCTTACAAAACTGCAGGTTATTACAATAATCCTGCCGATGTTTTTATCATTTAACAAATTATCTGTAAGTATTCAATAAACCGTTTCCATTCTTTTATTTTTTTAAATTGTTATCTTGATTTCTTCTTCTTCTGGCAAGTTTCGTCATTTCTGCATATTCCATTGCCGTTATAAGAGAATAAATAAGATGCTCGTGGTGAAGTTCCAGCACCTCTTTTTTCTAGAAAAAGGGCACTGGCCTGTCCCGTCCTTCCTGCGAAAGGACCGCACCGATGCCAGCTGCTGGAAAACAGCAGGAGGGGAGAAAGCTGCTCCTGTGCTCAAATCCTGCTTGCGAGTTTCCCTTTGGGACAACTGGTTGGCTCCTGTGTCCGAGGCAGCTCCATCTGGTATGCAGGATGAGACCCTCCCTGCCCACGGACTGCCTCGCCAGAGTGGTGCATGCTCTGGTTATCTCCTGCTCGGACTACTGCCATGCGCTCTACGTGGGGCTACCTTTGAAGGTGACCCGGAAACTACAATTAATCCAGAATGCGGCAGCTAGACTGGGGACTGGGGCCGGCCGCCGGGACAACATAACACCTGTCTTGAAAGACCTACATTGGCTCCCAGTATGTTTCCGAGCACAATTCAAAGTGTTGGTGCTAACCTTTCAAGCCCTAAACGGCTATGGTCCAGTATATCTGAAGGAGCGTCTCCACCCCCATCGTTCTACCCGGACACTGAGGTCCAGCACCGAGGGCCTTCTGGCGGTTCCCTCCCTGCGAGAAGCCAAGTTACAGGGAACCAGGCAGAGGGCCTTCTCGGTGGTGGCGCCCTCCCTGTGGAACGCCCTCCCACCAGATGTCAAAGAGAACAACAACTACCAGACTTTTAGAAGACATCTGAAGGCAGCCCTGTTTAGGAAACCTTTTAATGTTTGATGTATTACTGTATTTTAATATTTTGTTGGAAGCCGCCCAGAGTGGCTGGGGAAACCCAGCCAGATGGGCGTGGTATAAATAATATATTATTATTATTATTATTATATGGGCATTTTGGCCCCTGTGAGAACAGGATGCTGGACTTAAGATGGGCCACTGGGACTAGATCCAGCAGCCCCTTCGTTTGTTCTTATTAAACGAGCCACTGCAGCTCAGGAAGGAGAGGAGAAGACTTTGCGGATACAGCAAAGCCTGCCCGATTATAACGCCAAAGTTGAAGGTTCAATCCCTGCAAGGGACAGCTGCATTTGGGGGTGGTGGTTTGGACTAAATAACCCTCCAACTCTATGATAGGGTTCCACATAGCCAGGATTCGGCCGTCGGAAACAGTGCCCAGGCAGAAACTGCTTTAATGTCTGGGAAAACTGTATGGAAGTAGGTTTTGGCAAATCTTTTTTTAAAAAAGCTCAAAAGCTTCAATTTTATTTTTTTTAGGTTTTGCAAAATAAAAGAAGCTAAACTTTGGACCAGGGGTCAGCAAACTTTTTCAGCAGGGGGCCGGTCCACTGTCCCTCAGACCTTGTGGGGGGGCAGACTATATTTTGGAAAAATAGAAGAAAAAAGAACGAATTCCCATACCCCACAAATAACCCAGAGGTGCATTTTAAATGAAAGGACACATTCTACTCATGTAAAAACACACTGATTCCTAGATTGTCCGCATGTCAGATTTAGAAGGTGATTGGGCTGGATCCGGCCCCTGGGCCTTAGTTTGCCTACGCATGCTTTGGACCAAAAAAAGATAAAGAAAAACCCAACAACTTTTTCAGGGAATGAAAGCTCAACACCTTTAGTGTCCGGATTTTCACTTTTTGAAATATGGCAACCCTATGACTCTTAAAGGGACGCGGGTAGTGCTAGGGACGCGGGTGGCGCTGTGGGTTAAACCACAGAGCCTAGGACTTGCCAATCAGAAGGTCGGTGGTTCGAATCCCCGCGACGGGGTGAGCTCCCGTTGCTTGGTCCCTGTTCCTGCCAACCTAGCAGTTCGAAAGCACGTCAAAGTGCAAGTAGATAAATAGGTACCACTGCAGTGGGAAGGTAAACGGCGTTTCCGTGTGCTGCTCTGGTTCGCCAGAAGCGGCTTAGTCCTGCTGGCCACGCCGGCTCCCTCAGCCAAGAAAGCGAGATGAGCGCCACAACCCCAGAGTCGGTCACGACTGGACCTAATGGTCAGGGGTCCCTTTACCTTTAACTATGACTCTTAAGCCTACCCAACCCATGAATCCTGCAGTGCTGCCGAAATTCTCCCCCAGTCTTTCCTCATGCCATCGCACCTGTGTCTTCTCTGCCCCACCCCCCGCCCCATTCCCACTTATCTACTGAAAAATACCTGCCGAGGGATAAGGTGGAGCTGGCTGGAGCGGGCAGGAACGGCCCGCTGACGGGCCTGAACGCCACGTCATCCGTCCGGGCGATGTATTGGATGATGTCCGTCTGGTGGGGGTCACGGTCTTCTTGGTCCATGCTTTCACTTGCGGCCCTCTGCCGCTGGAACTGGTGCCGTTTCGGAGAGCCTGGGCAAAGGACCGGGTGGCGAAGACCAAGAGTTAAGCGGGGGGAGGGACGACATGGGGGGGGGGGAGAGAGAAAGAGAAGAGACGACAACCAAAATATGATTATTTTGGACAAGGGCAAGCCTTTCTCGAATCCCGCCCTGCCAGCAAAAAGAGATGTCCATTCAACCAGCAATTACAGTGGTACCTCGGGTTACATATGCTTCAGGTTACAGACTCTGATAACCTAGAAATAGTATCTCGGGTTAAAAACTTTGCTTCAGGATGAGAACAGAAATCGTGCGGTGTCGGCAACGGGAGGTCCCATTAGCTAAAGTGGTGCTTCAGGTTAAGAACAGTTTTCAGGTTAAGTACTTAACCCGAGGTAAAGGTAAAGGGACCCCTGAACGTTAGGTCCAGTCGTGGCCGACTCTGCGGTTGCGGCCCTCATCTCGCTTTATTGGCTGAGGGAGCCGGCGTACAGCTTCCGGGTCGTGTAGCCAGCAGGACTAAGCCGCTTCTGGCGAACCAGAGCAGCGCACGGAAACGCCGTTTACCTTCCCGCTGGAGTGGTACCTATTTATCTACTTGCACTTGATGTGCTTTCGAACTGCTAGGTTGGCAGGAGCAGGGACCGAGCAATGGGAGCTCACCCCGTCCATCACGGGGATTCGAACCACCGACCTTCTGATGGGCAAGTCCTAGGCTCTGTGGTTTAACCCACAGCGCCACCTGTATAAAAATGACGTCTTGATCAGAATTAAAGCCTCTGTGTACATAGGGCTGCCATAGGTCCAGGATTTCAAAGGTGGAATCGATGTCCAAAAAGGAGCACTTTGTCCTGGATCTTAGAGAAGTCAATCAAAAATTCGTGGGGGTTTTGGTGTCTTTGTTTTTTAATAAAAAAGATCAACAACAACTTTTGGGTTTTCCTAAATAAAAGCAAAACTATTTGGGGGGTTTTCTAGTAAAAAACTCAACAACTTTTGGTGTGTCCTGGTTTTTACTTTTTGAAATATGGCAAACCCTATATGTGCACCAAAGCGCAATGGGAGGATAATCGTTTCTTACGAGTTAAATACCGACGATACATCACTTTATAAAAATTCTCTGAGATAATCAATGATCGTGAAATCATGAAGGAAGAGGGGGCATTATGGCCTCATCCTGATGAACACATCTCTCTTACTGCATTAAAAAAATGGCTTCTCTTGTTGATGCAACTCAGTCCAAAGACCGTGAAAGGTCTTAAGAGTATTTTACTACCTTGCACAGGACCTCGCGTGCTTAGTCTTCAATCTCATCCAATTACGCTTCAAGATTAAGCCAATTTAAATGGTATGGCTTTAAGCTTGTACCGCAAAGTTTATTTTGGCGGGGTCACTTTCCATTCTACGGGTTTTCAGATATACCGTATTTTTCGCTCTATAAGACGCACCAGACCACAAGACGCACCTAGTTTTTGGAGGAGGAAAACAAGAAAAAAAATATTCGCTGTGAAGCGAAAGCAGCAATCCCTCTTGCTGTTCTGGCTTCTGGGATAGCTGCGCAGCCTGCATTCGCTCCATAAGACGCACACACATTTCCCCTTACTTTTTAGGAGGGGAAAAGTGAGTCTTATAGAGCAAAAAATATGGTATTTTTTTTTACAGAGCGAGTTTAACAAATGCTTTAAAAAAGCTCTGTTTCTTTTATTTTCTTTGAACAACCGCAGCAACACTATCGCAAACCTGAAACACGTTACAGTGGTCCCTTGGTTCTCAAACTTAATCCGTTCCGGAAGCCCGTTCCAAAACCAAAGCGTTCCAAAATCAAGGGGCGCTTTCCCATAGAAAGTAATGCAGTATGGATTAATCAATTCCAGACTTTTAAAAACAACCCCTGACAGGAATTTGACATGAATCTTACTATCTAACGAGACCATGGATCCATAAAAGGAAAGCAATACACAACGTACTGCTGTCACACAATCAGTAGCTGAACTGGGTTCCACACAGTCACAAAAACGAAACAAAAAAGAGCCGCAAAAACAAAAACGCAAAATAAATAGCAAAACCAGACAGACCTCAGTCTAAACGGATGTGTGGCACTCAAATCAGAAGCACAACACTCAAAACGGAGCACGTCCGGCTTCTGAAAAAAGTTCGCAAACCAGAACACTTACTTCGGGGTTTGCAGTGTTTGGGTTCCAAGTTGTTTGAGAACCAAGGTGTTTGAGAACCAAGGTACCACTGTATGCTTAATTAAAGAGACTACAAGGCTTTATTTTGCCCCAGGGACCACCAGATCAAGAGAGGTTGCATTGATGCCTCCAGTTCACTGGTGCAATGCTTGAATCGTGCCAGTGAGAGTAGGTGGGCACCAAAGCAGGTGTGATGGCCTGGGATTCGGACTCGGATGCTGAACCTGAGGGATCCCAGCCTGCACAGGAGTCCCCGCCTCCAGAACCAGCTGAGCCGGGGCTGGGGCCTGAGCCTGAAGGGTCCTCACCTGTGCTGGATCCTCAGGTGAGTCTGCTCTGGCTCCTGAGGTGATGGAGGACCCATTGCCTGCAGGTGCTCCACTCCCAGCCCCGTCAGGGGAAGCTGAGGTTGCCTCTGGGTCCGGTAGCCCTTCAGCCTCTCCTGGGCTGCAGAGGCTCAGGGCAGAGAGGCGGAGGGAACCAAGTTCCCGCAGGAGGAGGGCTTGCCTCCAGGAGAGGCGAGTCGCCAGAGGATCGGGGCCGCCCTATGACTCAGGGCAGATAAAAGCCAGCCAGCCCCAGTCCCAAGTTGCGGGAGCAACATTGTTGGTAGCCTGTTCCTGCCGGCACCCTGTCCTGCCGGAGCTCCTGACCTCACCCGACCCTCTGCCTTGGACCCAGTTTCAGCTTTGACGGACAGCCTCCATACTGCACCCTCGACCTCGGATTGGACCATAGCTGTCAAGCGTCCCTTATTTGGTGGGACAGTCCCTTATCCCCGCGCCATGTCCCGCTGCTGTCCCTTATTGATGATGTCCCTTAAATAAGGTACTGAAGGTAATGGAGCCCTTTCTATTTCCAGCTGTGCTTTGTCAACAACAAATTGTTGCTGTTTTTTTGTGTTGAATATATGGTAATATATGGACCTAATAGGTATGTAAAGCCATTTGCACGCAACAAAATATATATTTTATCAAAGTAATTGTTGATCCCTTATTTTGGCTGCTGATCCTTTATTTTCGAGGCTGCTGGTCCCTTATTTTCAAATCTGTAAGTTGACAGTTATGGATTGGACTCGGACCTCGCCGCACGGTTAACCCACGGGACCAGCACAGCCGGGCAACTACCCAAGAAGGAGCATGGCGTATCCGCCCACCCCAGGCCAAAGTATCACCCCTCCATCGGCATGACCCACCTCTCGTGTCCAGACTGGATGCTCTCTGACTCGTCTCCAGTTTCCATTTCTTGATCCGAAAGTAGGGTCCGGCACCCTCGAGGCTGGCATGGCGACGTAGGCGGGTGAAGAAGTGAAGGACGGCGCCCTGGGCAGGGGCCGGCGGGGGCTCCCCCGTCCCGCCCCCTCCAGCACCTTTGGGACTCTGGCCGGCGCCGTCGGACTGAGAAGAGAGGAAGGAAGGAGGAGGAGGAGGGATCGGTCAGGAACGGCCGGCGGTTTTGCCACCCGAATGGAAATGCCACCCTAAGCATCAAACACGCAGAGAGACGTGCCCCTCTACAATGGCCTCCCCTCTGGGCGCAAGGACGGAAGACACGTCGGCAAAACACGTACAGCGAGGGAAATAAGTATTTGAACCCCCTGCCCAATTTGCCCGTTTGCCCTCTGGCAAAGAAACGACCAGCCCGTAATTTTGACGGTCGGTTTTATCGTAGCTGTGAGAGACAGAATCTCTTTTGACTTTTGTCTTCTGGGTTTCTGGGGGTTTTTCCTGTTGTAATTCTGGCTCTCACAGGGTTCCCCCGAGTGAACCTGCAGGAAAAATAAACAACAAACCCCCAAATTTGGGATCTTCTCTAAACCCGTGCCAGGATTTTGGGGTGTGTTTTTTTTTCAGCGAAAAGCCTGTGTTTTGCAGGCCTGAGCGTTTGATGCAGCAAACACGGGGTTCATACTTAGATTTAGCTTCGAACCTCCAAATTTGGGGTCCCCTCCACAGATGCACAGAGACATCGAATCTTAAGAGCTGGAAGGGACCCTCGGGTCATCTAGTCCAACCCCCTGAAATGCAGGAATCTCAGCCAAAGCGCCCCTGGCAGGCGGGCATCCGACCTCTGCTTAAAAACGTCCAAGGAAGGAGAGCCCTTTCAAAGGAGTCCGTTCCACTGTCAAACAGCTCTTGCTGTCAGAAAGTTCTTCCTGACGTTTAGCCGGAATCTCCTTTTCTTGTAACTTGAAGACACGGGTTCGAATCCTGCGCTCTGGAGAGCAGCAGAAAACAAGCTCCATCTTCCATGCGGCTAGCAGCCCTTCCGGTATTTGATCACCTGTCCATCATCTATTTTCCAAGCCCTCCTCTGCGCACCTTTTCAATCTCTTTCTTAAAATGGGGTTCCCAGAACTGGACACAGGACCGCAGGTGTGGTCCGAATCAAGGCATTCCCTCGAACAGGGTGCAAGATTTGTGCAGGGTAGCCAAATTCTGTGCGACTGCCATAAAACGTAGGGAACAAGCTGTGCTATCATAACGATTAAGGCCTTAAATGATAAATTTTAGGTTATACGTTAGGGATTTAAGTTTTAATTTATATATGTTTTTACCTGTTGCCATATCTGTATTGTCCCTGTTATAAAGGTAAAGGGACCCCTGACCATTAGGTCCAGTCGTGACCGACTCTGGGGTTGCGGCGCTCATCTCGCTTTACTGGCCGAGGGAGCCGGTGTACAGCTTCCGGGTCATGTGGTCAGCATGACGAAGCTGCTTCTGGCAAACCAGAGCAGCGCACGGAAATGCCGTTTACCTTCCCGCCAGAGTGGTACCTATTTATCTACTTGTACTTTGACGTGCTTTTGAACTGCTAGGTTGGCAGGAGCAGGGACCGAACAATGGGAGCTCACTTCGTCGCGTGGATTCGAACCGCCGACCTTCTGATCAGCAAGCCCTAGACTCTGTGGTTTAACCCACAGCGCCACCTACATCCCTGACTAAGTTTTAATTTATTTATTTTTTAGCTGTTGCTATATCTGTATCATCCTTGTTAGACCTAATTGCAAATTCAAATGTATCCCCGTCATGTTTTATGACTTCCTTGATGTGGGCTGGAGCTGGTCTGTGACCGAAATAATAAAATTCATTCATTCATATGGCCTAGAATCGCATTAGGCTTTTTTGCCGCTGCATAATAATAATAATAATTTATTTTTTGTACCCCACCCATCTGGCTGGGTTTTCCCAGCCACTCTGGGCGGCTTCCACAGAGACCAAAAATACACTAAAATATCACACATTAAAAACTTCCCTGAACAGGGCTGCCTTAAGATGTCTTCTGAATGTCAGGTAGTTGTTTATCGCTTTGACATCTGATGGGAGGGCGTTCCACAGGGCGGGCGCCACTACCGAGAAGGCCCTCTGCCTGGTTCCCTGTAACTTGGCTTCTCGCCACGAGGGAACCGCCAGAAGGCCCTCGGAGATGGACCTCAGTGTCCGGGCAGAACGATGGGGGTGGAGACGCTCCTTCAGGTCTACTGGGCCGAGGCCGTTTAGGGCTTTAAAGGTCAACACCAACACTTTGAATTGTGCTCGGAAACGTCCTGGGAGCCAATGTAGGTCTTTCAAGACTGGTGTTATGTGGTCTCGGCGGCCACTCCCAGTCACCAGTCTAGCTGCCGCATTCTGGATTAATTGCAGTTTCCGGGTCACCTTCAAAGGTAGCCCCACGTAGAGCGCATTGCATTAGTCCAAGTGGGAGATAACCAGAGCATGCACCACTCTGGCCAGACAGGCTGTGGGCAGGGAGGGTCTCATCCTGCGTACCAGATGGAGCTGCCCTGGACACAGAATTGACCTGCGCCTCCATGGACAGCTGTGAGTCCAGAATGACTCCCAGGCTGCACACTTGGTCCTTCCTGGGCACAGTTACCCCATTCAGGACCAGGGAGTCCCCCACACCTGCCCGCCCCCTGTCCCCCAAAAGCAAAGCATCACACGGTTGTCTCATTGCTAAACTTGCAGTCTACCGAGACCCCAGGATCCCTTTTTGCACATGCCAGGAGCCCCCCAATATCCTAAATTTGTGCATCTGGCTATCCCCAGTTAAGCTGACGTACCGAGGTGCCTTCGCCAGAATCCGATGAAGCAGAGGAACCAGCCTCGACGGTCGAATTATAGGTGTCTCCCGGCAAGGCAGAACTGGCGCAGGTTCCGTGGCTGGTCAGCGCCGTCTCCGGCAAAGGATGCTACCAAGAAGGGATGAAGGTGAGAAAGGGTTAGGGATAGCTTTGCCGACCCACTCACACACCTCCTGGAAATTTACACCCCGCGGGCGTAAAAACTGAAGAGGCATTTCCAAAAATGCCTGTTTCCGTACAAAAAGTTTGCCTCTAGGACCAGCCATGGGAAGGCTAAATGTGGCCTCTGCAGGTAATAAGACAGGTCTCTGCCCCAGTAAGCTTACAAATAAATATGAATTAAGGAACTGGGCTAAATTCTCTCTTCTGTGCGGCCATGGGTGCCCTCAGAGAGGCATAATAATAATAATATTTCTTATACCCTACCCATCTGACTGGGCAGTGGTAAATTATTATTAAGTAATAAGACAGGTCTCTGCCCCAGAGGGCTTACAAATGTGAATTAAAGAACTGGGAGAGGCCTCAGCAAAATTCTTTCTCATGAGCATCTATGGACGTCCTCAGGGAGGCCAAGCAATAATAATAATAATAATAATAATAATAATAATAATATTCTTATACCCCGCCCATCCGACTGGGTTACCTGAGCCACTCTGGGCGGCGGTAAAAATAGAAGTAGTAAGTCGGGTCTCTGCCCCAGAAAGCTTACAAACATGAATTAAAGAACTGGGATCCTGCCCCTCGGCTCCTCTGGGTCTCACCTGGAAGATGGCCAGGCTGGGCTTGGCTGGGGGGTGCCGAGGCGTCATGGCGATGCTGTTCTCGTTGGACTCGTGGATGGTGACGATCTTGAGGGCGGCGGACGGGGGCAAGGGCAGGTGGCTGAGGCGGGCGTTCTTCAGGTGGTGGAAGTCTCCCTCGGTCAGGGTGTACCTGGCAGGGAAAGGATTTCCCTCAATCTTTGTCAGCACGGCCATTTTGGACCACAATTTCCCATCAGTCCCTGCCAGGACGGCCATTTTGGAGCATGATTTCCCATCAGTCCCTGCCAGTACGGCCATTTTGGACCATGATTTCCCATCAGTCCCTGCCAGGACGGCCATTTTGGACCACGATTTCCCATCAGTCCCTGCCAGAACGGCCATTTTGGAGCATGATTTCCCATCAGTCCCTGCCAGTACGGCCATTTTGGACCATGATTTCCCATCAGTCCCTGCCAGGGCGGCCATTTTGGACCACGATTTCCCATCAGTCCCTGCCAGAACGGCCATTTTGGAGCATGATTTCCCATCAGTCCCTGCCAGTACGGCCATTTTGGACCATGATTTCCCATCAGTCCCTGCCAGGGCGGCCATTTTGGACCACGGTTTCCCATCAGCCCCTGCCAGAACGGCCATTTTGGACCATGATTTCCCTCAGGTATGGTAATTTTGGACCATGATTTCCCATCAGCCCCTGCCAGCACAGCCATTTTGGACCAAGATTTCCCATCAGCCCCTGTCAGCACGGCCATTTTGGACCATGATTTCCCATCAGCCCCTGCCAGAACGGCCATTTTGAACCATGATTTCCCATCAGTCCCTGCCAGAACGGCCATTTTGGAGCATGATTTCCCATCAGTCCCTGCCAGTACGGCCATTTTGGACCATGATTTCCCATCAGTCCCTGCCAGGGCGGCCATTTTGGACCACGGTTTCCCATCAGCCCCTGCCAGAACGGCCATTTTGGACCATGATTTCCCTCAGGTATGGTAATTTTGGACCATGATTTCCCATCAGCCCCTGCCAGCACAGCCATTTTGGACCAAGATTTCCCATCAGCCCCTGTCAGCACGGCCATTTTGGACCATGATTTCCCATCAGCCCCTGCCAGAACGGCCATTTTGAACCATGATTTCCCATCAGCCCCTGCCAGCACGGCCATTTTGAACCATGAATTCCCATCAGCCCCTGCCAGAACGGCCATTTTGGACCACGATTTCCCATCAGCCCCTGCCATCTCTGGCACACTGTCTCTCCAACCCCACAAAAACCCAAAAACTTGAATATTTTTCTCCAAGTCCCATCACTGAATGGTAGAAACCTTCCTTTGCCTCCAGAAGGTAGGCAATCCTGGGAGAGAAATACTGACCCAGAGCCGCAAAACAGGCTTATCACAGGCCTTGGGGGCCACCTCAGAGCCCATCTAGTCTGACCCCCATGCATTGTACAGGGTTCAAGTCCTCCCAACCCAGCCCTCAAACCCATCAAGGGACTACAGCCTCTCAGCTGGTCCTTACATCACAGGGCTGCTGCGGGGATTAATTTTTTTTTAAAAAAGACGATCCCTTATATAAAGGATTATCATATCTGAACGGAATAGGAATTTATTTAAATTTTGGAAGAAAAACGGTAGAAGAATGAACTCATCCACTTGGGGGGGGCAGTTTGATAAAATTGTAGAATTTGGCGTTAATTGGTATCGTTATAGCGAGGCCGCTGTTGGAAAATCAATGAAAAATATGTATTTTTTAAAAAGTTGAAACGTATACGTACTGGTCCCATCACCTCCTGGCAAATAGAAGGGGAAGAAATGGAGGCAGTGAGAGATTTTACTTTCTTGGGCTCCATGATCACTGCAGATGGTGGCAGCAGCCACGAAATTAAAAGACGCCTGCTTCTTGGGAGAAAAGCGATGACAAACCTAGACAGCATCTAAAAAAGCAGAGACATCACCTTGCCGACAAAGGTGCGTATAGTTAAAGCTATGGTTTCCCCAGTAGTGATGTATGGAAGTGAGAGTTGGACGATAAAGAAGGCTGATTGCCGAAGAATGGATGCTTTTGAATTCTGGTGCTGGAGGAGACTCTTGAGAGTCCCATGGACTGCAAGAAGATCAAACCTCTCCATTCTGAAGGAAATCAGCCCTGAGAGCTCACTGGAAGGACAGATCCTGAAGCTGAGGCTCCAAGACTTTGGCCACCTCATGAGAAGAGAAGACTCCCTGGAAAAGACCCTGATGCTGGGAAAGATGGAGGGCGCAAGGAGAAGGGGACGGCAGAGGACGAGATGGTGGGACAGTGTTCTCGAAGCTACCAGCATGAGTTTGACCAAACTGCGGGAGGCAGTGGAAGACAGGAGGGCCTGGCATGCTCTGGTCCAGGGGGTCACGAAGAGCCAGACACACTAAACGATTAAACAACAACATACGTACTAACCGTACTTCTCTCTCGAACCCAGGACCCCCGCCTACCTCCTCCCTTTCTCCTGGGTCTTCTTGCTCTGCTCGAAGAGGGCCGCCTCGTTGAAGGACACCCGTCGCCCCGTGGCGCTTCCGGAAGAGAGGAATCTCTCGCTCTCCGCGTCTCGGTAACTGGAACTGGACATGCAGTCAGGGTCATCCACCTTGATGGTGATATCTAGGGGAGGCAATGGCGGGGTTTTTAGAAACCCACCCATCATTTTTGTTTTATAATATTTTTTATTAATTTTAACATATAAATTATAAAACGTACCACAAAACTTATCACTTATACCATCCTTTTAGACTTCCGTCAGCACCTCTGATGATCCACCGTTTTAACCACCATTTCTTAACTTTATATTGCCTTTACATCTCTTAACAAATCATCCTCCCCCTTGTCCATTTTTACAATACTTCCAATAATACTCCCCACAAAACTTCTTGCAACCCTACAAACGTCGTCTGTTCTTCACAATTACTTTTCAAATAGTCCGTAAATTTACTCCAGTCTTCTGTGAATTTCTGGTCTCGCCGGTTTCGAATCCTTCCTGTTAGTTTATCTAATTCTGCATAGTCCATTAACTTCATCCTCCATGAAACCCACCCATCCTAGCTAGCAAAATCCCAGAGTTACAAGTGAAACTCGGAAAATTAGAATATTGTGGAAAAGTTAATTTATCTCAGTAATTCAACTTAAAAGGTGAAACTAATATATGAGAGAGACTGATGACATGCAAAGCGAAATATGTCAAGCCTTTATTTGTTATCATTGTGATGATCGTGGCATACAGCTGATGAAAACCCCAAATTAACAATCTCAGAAAATTAGAATATGAAATGAAATCAGCAAAACAAGGATTGCAAATAGAGCAATATTATAACAAACAAAGGCTTAACATATCTCGCGGGGATTCAAACCACTGACCTTCTGATCAGCAAACCCTAGGCTCTGTGGTTTAGACCTAAAGGTAAAGGTAAAGGTAAAGGGACCCCTGACCATTAGGCCCAGTCACGGACGACTCTGGGGTTGTGGCGCTCATCTCGCTTTACTGGCTGAGGGAGCCGGCGTACAGCTTCCGGGTCATGTGGCCAGCAGGACTAAGCCGCTTCTGGTGAACCAGAGCAGCGCACGGAAACGCTGTTTACCTTCCCGCCGGAGCGGTACCTATTTATCTACTTGCACTTTGACGGGCTTTCGAACTGCTAGGTTGGCAGGAGCAGGGACCGAGCAACAGGAGCTCACCCCGTCATTGCGGGGATTCGAACCGCTGACCTTCTGATCAGCAAGTCCTAGAAACCGCAGGAGGGGAGAGCTGCTGTCGCACTCGGGTCGTTTCCCCCAGTTCGCCAAGGATGCTATGGGCCTGATCTAAACCCCTCCTCCAAATCCCCCCCCCACTGATAGGCTTTCTGGGGAGGGGGGGAGGAATTAAACCAGAGAGGCAACATCCCTGGAGAGGTGCTGGGTTCGGTACCAGGAGATGCAACAGGAGGAAGAAAAGAATAGAGAGAGAGAATGAGAGCAACCGTTTCCAGGGCAACGGGCCCTAGCAACCAGAGCGGGTACCACCAGAGCTGCCTATAGAAAAGGATGCAGCAAGCCCTGCCCACTTTTGAAAGTAAAGCAAGCAAGCATCTCACCTTGAGCCGGCTGGGAGTCATCCAGATAGGTAGTGTTTGTTTTCTCGGGGTCATCGCTGGCTCTGGAAAAAAGAAAGAGAAGAAGGAGGTGGGCGGGGGGAAAACCTTGAAAAAGGCGTACGCAACAGAGTGAGATGGAAAAGGTCTAGGAAAAACCTGTGCTGAATAGCTCTAGGTTTGCATAAGCCATGATTTGCATATTAAGGGAATATGCTGTGTACAGTGGTACCTCGGGTTACATACGCTTCAGGTTACAGACTCCGCTAACCCAGAAACAGTGCTTCAGGTTAAGAACTTTGCTTCAGGATGAGAACAGAAATCGTGCTCCAGCGTCGCGGCAGAAGCCGGAGGCCCCATTAGCTAAAGTGGTGCTTCAGGTTAAGAACAGTTTCAGGTTAAGAACGGACCTCTGGAACGAATTAATTACTTAACCCGAGGTACCACTCTATCATCTATCTATCTATCTATCTATCTATCTATCTATCTATCTACAGTGGTGCCTCGCAAGACGAAAAGAATTCGTTCCGCGAGTCTTTTCATCTTGCGATGTTTTTCGTCTTGCGAAGCACGGTCCGTCGCAACTGCGCCTCTTCAAGCGGCTTTAAAAAAAAAGCGCAAGACGTTTTCGTCTTGCGAAGCAAGCCCATAGGGAAATTTGTCTAGCGAAGCAACGCAAAACCGAAAAACCCTTTCGTCTAGCGAGTTTTTCGTCTTGCGAGGCATTCGTCTTGCGGGGCACCACTGTATCTATATCTATCTATCTATCTATCTATCTATCTATCTATCTATCTATCTATCATTTTTTTACCAACTTCGCCCAAATGGCTTCATTTTCACACACACCTTCAAGCCTGCGAGGTAGGCCAGGAAGTAACGAACAGCCCAATATTATTATTATTATTTTAAAAAAACAATGCACAATGGGTTTCGTGGCACAGGTCCCTCCAAGAACTAGACTGATGTCAAGGAGACGAACAACAACAACAACAACAATTTATTATTTATACCCAGCCCATCTGGCTGGGCTTCCCCAGCCACTCTGGGCAGCTTCCAACAAAATATTAAAATACAGTAATGCATCAAACATTAAAAGCTTCCCTAAACAGGGCTGCCTTCAGATGTCTCCTAAAAGTCTGGTAGTAGTTGTTCTCTTTGACATGTAGTGGGAGGGCGTTCCACAGGGCAGGCGCCACCACCAAGAAGGCCCTCTGTCTGGTTCCCTGTAACTTGGCTTCTCGCAGGGAGGGAACCGCCAGAAGGCCCTCGGTGCTGGACCTCAGTGTCCGGATAGAACGATGGGGGTGGAGACGCTCCTTCAGAACTACAGAACCTTCTTTTAGAAGACATCTGGAGGCAGTCCTGTCCAACTCTGTGGCTCTATGAAAGTCCTGTGGTTAAAGCAGTCGTCTTTGAAATCAATGAGGTCTAGAATCTTACTTTGCGGCTAGGGAAAAAGACCAGAGCTCAGACCAAGCCTCTCTTGACTCTGCATAACCCTCTGTATTGATTGCAGAACTGGCCTTGCGCAGTGTGACCTCCCCATCTTAGGGTTCCAGTTCTGCTCCCCACACCCAGTTACCTGGAGTGTCGCCGGTCGGCCTCGCAGCATCGCCGGCAGACGATCAGGATGCCAAAGAGAAGCACCAGAGTGCCCCCGATAAAGATGGAGAGAAGTATCAGAAGCAGGAAATACCCATCGTGGGTCTTCACTTCGCCAGGCACCGTCTGGAAGGTGGGATTTTTTGGGGGGAAAGGAGGGAAGGGAGAGGAAAATAAAAAGACACGGTATATGGGTGCAAAGGGTGAGGGGAGCCGATGGAGTTGAGTTTCCTCACCCTTGTTCTGTACAAGCTACCTCCACAGCAAGGAGACTCAGAAAAATATACCGTATTTTTTGCTCTGTAAGACTCACTTTTTCCCTCCTAAAAAGTAAGGGGAAATGTGTGTGCGTCTTATGGAGCGAATGCAAGCTGCGCAGCTATCCCAGAAGCCAGAAAAAGCAAGAGGGATCGCTGCTTTCACTGCGTAGCGATCCCTCTTGCTGTTCTGGCTTCTGAGATTCAGAATATTTTTTTTCTTGTTTTCCTCCTCCAAAAACTAGGTGCGTCTTATGGTCTGGTGCGTCTTATGGGGCGAAAAATATGGTATATATATTCCCTGGCAGTATGAGGGCACATTTCTCCACCACTGGGGGGGAGAGAGAGATGGAGACACTCTTCACTTTTTCACACACAAGTTTAGGGTGTGCAAAATCAAGAATTGCCTGCCCTTGAGAGATGGCTCCCCCATGTCTCTGCACGAGTCAGCGGTCTCAGCACGGTTACAAAGCACGCAGAGATGCAACGGGCACCCTCCTCAGAAGGTTCTCACGAGGAAAGAGATTGGACTCAAATCACCCCTTCCAACTTTGCAGTTTTAAGAACTCTGTGCCCTTCCCTGACCCTCCATCCTCAAAACTCAAAACTTCTTCCCACCCCACTCCAGTTGATTCCACTGTGCAATGAATCTGTTCTCCCTGGGGCAGTGATCCTTTCACTTAAATGTGTTAAGATTCCTGCATTGCAGGGGGTTGGACTAGATGGTCTTGGCGTCCCTTCCAGCTCTAGGATTCTATAATTCTATGTGCTCATTGCTGATGCTCAGTGCTGGCACTATATTCATAAAATAACAATAAGATACCAGTAGGAACTAAAGCAAGATGAGCGCCGCAACCCCAGGGTCAGTCACGACTGGACCTAATGGCCAGGGATCCCTTTACCTTTACCAGTAAGAACAACAACAATTTATTCTTATTATTGCCCAGTAATAATTTGCAATTGTGGGTTAAACCACAGAGCCTAGGACATGCCGATCAGAAGGTCGGCGGTTCGAATCCCTGCAACGACGGGGTGAGCGCCTGTCGCTCGGTCCCTGCTCCTGCCAGCCCAGCAGTTCGAAAGCACGTCAAAGTGCAAGTAGATAACTAGGTACCACTCTGGCGGAAAGGTAAACGGCGTTTCCGTGCGCTGCTCTGGATCGCCAGAAGTGGCTTAGTCATGCTGGCCACATGACCCGGAAGCTGTACGCCGGCTCCCTCGGCCAGTAAAGCGAGATGAGCGCCGCAACCCCAGAGTCGGTTACGACTGGACCTAACGGTCAGGGGTCCCTTTACCTTTTACCCCCTGAAAGAGGTCTTTGATGAAGGGCTCTTAGCAGCCAAAGATTCAGGTACCCAGAGCTTTTTCCAGCACAGAGAGAAAGACCCCAGAACTTTCAGTCTGTTAGATTTCTACCTGTTGAGGTCAAAGCTCCCAACTTAAGTTTGGGCCCGTGAAGCTGCGATTCCTGCACTGCAGAGAGTAGACCCCTGGGAACCCCTTCTCTGATTCTTCTGCGATCATGTGCAAAACTGGAATATCTCAAGTTGTGGGTTCGAGTCCTCCGCTGGGCAAAAACACTCCTGCATTCGACAGGATGACCCCTGTTGGTCTCTTCTAAATCTACAATTCTACGACTCCAGGGCCAGCAGTGGTGGTGGGCGGTAGCTGAGTCAGTGCTCAAGTCAGTGGCTGACCGCATTAAATCCTCGGGCCCCTTCCATGGGACTGTCGCTTACTGATGACTCAGCAACCAGCTAGTCCTCAGCGCAGAGTTCCGAATTGTTTCGGAAAAGGGAAATGTGCAGAGATAGGAGGGGACTCAGCCCTGTCTGCATCCCAAGCAACAGTCCTTACTTTCACAAACGACATATCCAAAGCATTTCCTGCAGATTTGGAAGCCAACAACTGCCTTCTGCGAACGCACGTGGCTTGGGTCTGTTTCCGACTGGCGGTGGGCAGGATTGAACCCGGGTCCATCTGCGTGCCAGGCAAGCGCCCTCAGCAAGGGAAGATGCCCGGCTGCGGAAATCTGCAACAGCTTGCAACACAAGCAGCAGCGGATTCAGCAGAAAACCCTTCGAGGGTTCCCTTTTCCTAAAGAATCATAAGCTGGAAGGAACCTCAAAAATCATCTAGCCCAACCCCCTGAAATGCAGGAATCTTTTGCCTAACCTGGGGCTTGAACCCACAACCCTGAGATTAAGAATATCCTGCTCTACCGAATGAGGTTGGCTTCCTCCACAGACACCCCAAAAATATTCCCAGATACTAGCGAAGTCAAAAAAGGCATCATGTGATCAAAAACCACAACTGGTTTTTTGAACTACAACTCCCCATCAGCGCTAGCCAATCCCGGGAGTTGTAGCACAGAACCTCTAGATCAGGGGTCAGCAAACGTTTTCAGCAGGGGGCCGGTCCACTGTCCCTCAGACCTTGTGGGGGGCCGGACTATATTTTGGAAAAAATATATGAATGAATCCCTATGCCCCACAAATAACCCAGAGATGCATTTTAAATCAAAGGACACATTCTACTCATGTAAAAACACGCTGATTCCCGGACCGTCCGCGGGCTGGATTGAGAAGGCGATTGGGCCAGATCCGGCCCCCGGGCTAGTGAGGCCAGAGCTCAGGGATGATGGGAGTTGTAGTCCAACAACATCTGGGGACCCACAGGTTGGGAACCGCTGCTCTAGATTAAGAGAGCGGGTGATGCAGACAGAAGCCGCAAACTCCAAACCTAGATGCCTTTGCTTTTTATTCATCTACTGGTGAGCTTTGGTGGCAGAGGGGCAAGGCAAAGGCACTCTGCATATGCTCAGAGGCACCACCCACAACAATTACTTATTTTTGCCATGATTTCACAATACCGCAGCTCCGTCAGTATAAATCAGCTAGGTGGACCAAAGGCCTGACTGAGATTCGAACCGTTTCCTATTTAAATCTGAGCCTTTTGCTCAGGACTTTGAGTAGGCCTGGAAAAGCCCATTGCCTGAAACCCCAAAGGGCTGCTACCAGTCGGTGCAGACAATATGTAGCTGGATGGACCAGCCATCCTTCCCAAGACTCGTGGGCCCAGGAAATAATTTCTTCCCTCCACGCTAGGCCAAAGCAATGCCGATTGAGAACTTGCCCTCGATTCGCAAAATTGTTTTAAATCGTTTCTAATATTGGTGTTTTCAGTTGCAACCTGCCCTGGGGCTTTAGTGGGGGGGGGCAGGTAATATTTTTAATTAATAATAATAATAATAATAATAATAATAATAATAATATATTATTTATACCCCGCCCATCTGGCTGGGTCCCCCCAGCCACTCTGGGCAGCTTCCAACAAAACACAAAAATACAATAACCTATTAGACATTAAAAGCTTCCCTAAACAGGGCTGCCTTTAGATGTCTTCTAAAAGTTTGGTAGTTGTTGTTCTCTTTGATATCTGGTGGGAGGGCGTTCCACAGGGCAGGTGCCACCACCGAGAAGGCCCTCTGCCTGGTTCCCTGTAACTTGGCTTCTCGCAGGGAGGGAACCGCCAGAAGGCCTTCGGCGCTGGACCTCAGTGTCCGGGTAGAACAATGGGGGTGGAGATGCTCCTTCAGGTCTACTGGGCCGTTTAGGGCTTTAAAGGTCAGCACCAACACTTTGAATTGTGCTCGGAAACGTACTGGGAGCCTCAGATTTTAAAATACATTAGCATCAGCAGCACCATGCTCCGATTACAACAACCCCGGGAGATGATGGACCGGTCCTCGCTGGCTCCCCAGCTGAATGCATTAGCAAAAATTGCCTAGGCTGGGCAGATCAAACAGGGTCAGGATCCACCGGGCAAAAGGGAGTTTCTCTCCTGCAGGCTCACAAGCCAGCAACTCCCACAGCTACTCCTGCCAAAACTTTGGTGGCATTTCCGACCTGGGCCCAACCTGAACTCTCCTATCCAGAGCCGGTGTGGGGGGAAGTGGGGAGACCTCTCTGTCTCTCTGGAGGGAGGCATGCAATACAGAATATCACCCACCCTGGGGGAAAAGCCTCGCAGACCTCTCCCCACCTGCCTCCACGGCAGGGACACTCACCGTCACACCTCCCGTCGTCGCGTTTTCCCATGCGCTCAAATCATCGCTCATTGTCCGTCCTCGAGAGAGATGTCCTCCTGTGAAAAGGGGAGGCACGAAAGCACAGTGACACGGCGGTGCGCGGTTGCAGAACGAGATTAAAAATATATATTTAAATTAAAAAGAAGGCAAGGGTGAGCAGGGAGGGGGGAAATAAAGAAAGAAATGCAATGTACATATATCAAAATTTGCAGAAGGGGCGACGTGGTCGATGCGGTTGTAGATTCTTCTTTTCCCTTTCTCTCTCTCTCTTTCTCTCCCGGTTACCTCCAGCAATCCATCTCCCCTCCCTTTGCAGCTCACATGTTTTTCGCGGAAGGGAAGATCACGGGTGGATTCCGTTCACAAGATCCTCGGCAGCGCCATGCTGCGATTACAACACCCCGGGAGATGATGTACTTGGCTCGCCAGCTGAGGAAGGAAAGCAAAATGAAAGGCTGGTGTGTTTTTATTTATTTTTAAGAGGAAGGCAGGATGGGGTAGAAGCGAAGGTGGTGGCAGATTGCAAGAGCACCCTTTCTTCCCTCGCCTTTCCTTCTATCTCTCTCTCCCTCTTCCACTGCCCGGTGTCAGATGGTTTTCCTTAAGGAGCCAGAAGGCCGCAGAGCAGCCTTCGAGGGGCGAAAAGCGGCTGAGAAAAACGGCAAAAGCCTTACCCCCCAACCCCGGACTCTGGAAAAAGGCGGCCGCCTCTTCTCTCTTCCCCAGGCAACCCACCCCAGACACAGTTGGGAGCCTGGAAATTAAATCGCCTTTTCCAAACACACATGCACGCGCTAGGATCCTGGCTCATCAGCCCACACACACACACACAGGGTTGACTCACGCCAACAGGAGAGGGAGATGAGCAAGAGGGGAAGGCAGTGAGGGGGCGGACGGTTGCTGCAGTAGAGTGGGGGGGGCCACCCCACCCCAGGAAAGAGCAGTGGAAGGGTTCCAGGCGCCTTTGATCCCAGCGGCTGCAAAAAAAATGGGGAGGGCCTTGTGTGCATAGCTGGGGGAGGTGGGAAGGGGTTTTGTGGCACCCACCCTCCGCTTAAGGAGCTAGTTGCATGCACACACGTGTGTGCAAGGTGCAAGGATCTTCATGCAATTCCTCCTACCCGCAGCGAGAGAGCAAAGGCAGGAGGCACACACACGCTCCCAGAGGAAATTAGGAGTCAGGCCCCATCGACCTTGGTGTGGTCAACACTGGCCGGCAGCAGCTGCCCGGGGTTCCAGGTAGGGGTGTTCCGCAGCCCTACCTGAAGATGCGAGGGGTTGAAGCTGCTGCCCTGACCCTGCCTCGTCCTCCTGGTTGGTCTAACCTGGCTTATATACCAAGTCAAGCCATTGGCCTGTCTAGTTTGGGGTTGCCAACACTGGCTGGCAGCGACTCTCCAGGCTTTTAGGCAGAGGGGTCTTTCTGTCTGTCTGTCTGTCTGTCTGTCTCTCTTTCTTTCTCTCTCTCTCCCCCCATCATATTTCTGTGTGCAGCCACAGAGCAACAACCCTTTTCCCCAAAATAAGGGTTCTAGTCCACATGGTTCCGAGCTAAATAAGAGAGTTGGCTTCCACCAAGTCAGGCCATGGGTCAAGCAAGTTTTTAAGCACACCGGACGCGTGCTTAATACGCATGGGACCCCCCCCCCCGCAAGGAATCCCAGGAGCTGTGGTTCTTACTCTTCACAGAGGTACAATGGACAGCGCCGTCCAACTACAGTTCCCAGAATCCTCTGGGGGACGTCACATGCTTTAAAGGAATGGTGTGGACCCGCCCACAAAATAAATAATTCCCCACACTGCCCCGTTAATGCCTTTTCGCTCCAAGTCCCATAACGTCCCCAAAAGTTCAGAAAAGCTTAGCGTCACACTGCGTGGTCTCCAGCCACCTGGCCTCTGAGCATGTGGAAAGTGCTACTTGCTACAGAATAGCTTTGAACCTGGGGCTGGAGGGTTGCTGCTGTTGGTCTTCAGCGCCTTCATTTCAGGTCTCGTTGCGATTTGGGAGGAAATGGTTCGGTTTGACCGTGCATTTATTCATTGCGTACGACTACTTTTGCTATAGGGGATGCGGGTGGCGCTGTGGGTTAAACCACAGAGCCTAGGACTTGCCGATCAGAAGGTCGGCGGTTCGAATCCCTGCGACAGGGTGAGCTCTCGTTGCTCGGTCCCTGCTCCTGCCAACCTAGCAGTTCGAAAGCACACCAGTGCAAGTAGATAAGTAGGTACCGCTCCAGCGGGAAGGTAAACGGCGTTTCCATGCGCTGCTCTGGTTCGCCAGACGCGGCTTAGTCCTGCTGGCCACATGACCCGGAAGCTGTACCCCGGCTCCCTCGGCCAGTAAAGCGAGATGAGCGCCGCAACCCCAGAGTCGGCCACGACTGAACCTAATGGTCAGGGGTCCCTTTACCTACTTTTGCTATGTTGTGGCTGTGATGGGACAGCTCGGTCTATAGAGCACGATACTCCTAATCTTAGGGTTGTGGGTTCGAGTCCTATGTTGGGCCAAAAATTCCTGCGCTTTGGGGGTTGCACTGGATGACCCTCAGGGACCCCTTCTGACTATGATCCACAGCAGGTAGGGAGCTGACGGACAGACAGGCTGCTTTTCTCATTTCCACACACACACCCTCCCTGATCATCATGGAAGGATTTCATCTCCATGGTGATATGAGTCGCAAGATGTTTTTTTCGCTTGCAGGCTTTTAACCCTGCGGCTCCCGGAATTAAGAGCAGAAAAGAAACAACCTCATGGCTAGGGGGAACTGGAACTACAACTCCCGTTAGCCGCTGCCAGCACCGCGGTTGGGAGACATAGTTTGAATCGCTGAGGGGGCAGGAGGCTGAGGGAGGCTGTTCTGCCCTTAAACCCAGTGCGCTGTCTCAGACTGCAGGACAGACAGGCAACCTAGAATAGAATTGGAAGGGGAGGTCGAGCAATGCAGGAATATGCAGCTGTCTCGAACCTGCAACCTTGGCATCATCAGGGCTGCACTCTGACCAGCTGAGCTGGTAAATCCATCACACACACAAACACAGAGGAAAACTTGCAAGCAAGGAATGACAGAGGGCCTAGGCTTTCCCCCAGCTTCTGGTAATCAGAGATAGGTAAAGGTAAAGGGACCCCAGACCGTTAGGTCCAGTCGTGGCCGACTCTGGGGTTGCGGCGCTCATCTCGCTTTATTGGCCGAGGGAGCCGGCGTACAGCTTCCGGGTCATGTGGCCAGCAGGACTAAGCCGCTTCTGGCGAACCAGAGCAGCGCACGGAAACGCCGTTTACCTTCCCGCCAGAGCGGTACCTATTTATCTACTTGCACTTTGACGTGCTTTCAAACTGCTAGGTTGGCAGGAGCAGGGACCGAGCAACGGGAGCTCACCCCGTCATCGCGGGGATTCGAACCGCCAACCTTCTGATCGGCAAACCCTAGGCTCTGTGGTTTAACCCACAGCGCCACCCGCGTCCCAATCAGAGATAGACTGCACCTATATATGGAGGTTCCACTCCTTAAAAAAAAACACAAAATCTGTGAAAAGACAGATCATCTGAATTGTTTGCGTCAATCATTCAAAGGGCCCGGGAAGCTCGGACTTCTGCCGTAAGGAATCATCTCAGTGGGCAAGCTGCTCTCGGTTTAACACAGCAACTAGGCAAATACAGTGGTACCTCAGGTTAAGTACTTAATTCGTTCCGGAGGTCCGTACTTAACCTGAAACTGTTCTTAACCTGAAACACCACTTTAGCTAATGGGGCCTCCTGCTGCCGCCGCCCCGCTGGAGCACGATTTCTGTTCTCATCCTGAAGCAAAGTGCTTAACCTGAAGCACTATTTCTGGGTTAGCGGAGTCTGTAACCTGAAGCGTATGTAACCCGAGGTGCCACTGTAGATCTATTGCTCTTCCCCACACTGGGCTGATATCGAGGGGTAGATTTCTCCTGGCTATGGAAGTTCTACCCAGCCGTAACTCCACAACTGCCATCTTAAGCCAGTGGCCGGATTAAGTGAGAGATAGCCGAGAGAGACTATAGGGAGCGAGTTTCAAAAGAAATCGGAATGGAGAAAAGTGAAGGCAGAGGTTTAAGAGGGCTCCGAGGCACGACTGTCAACGCAATAAAAGGATAGATTTTGGGGAGGTGGGGGGGAGATGTGAAGACGAACAGATAGAAGGGATGAATGGCGGAAACTGCCTCTGAATCGAGCAACGAATGCAGCGAAATAACAGATAAACAGAAACCCCTTTCGCCTTTTTTGGGATGCAAAAACAAACGAACATCTCTCTCCTTTTGCAAAAGGGTTTACAAGCCACGATTTGCCTGGGTTTCTTGACAGGATCCGCTGTAAAATTATTTTTATTTGTTTTTGGATGCATTTGGATGGACAGAGGGAGCAGACACAAAAGCTGCTGGTGGTACTTATTTTGGTAGCTGATAGAGAAGCTGGAGTGGGGGGGGGGAGAGAGGAATTCCCCCACCTCTTTTGCTGGGAAGCAGGATCCGACCCAGAACAGAAAAGCCTCCGCCAGCTTCAGAGGTGAGGATCTCCCTCTCTGCCTTTCTGACAACACCGTCTCCGAACAACCACCACCACCACCACAACACACCCACTCCTCCATAGGTCTACTCAGGAGTCAAGACCAGATCCATTCAGTGCAGGGCTTGCTCCCAGGGTAAGCGTGGATATTTTTAATTTTGCCCTCTTGGCATTTACAACGCCTAAACAACGGTGGCTTTGCCAGATGGGCGGGGTAATAAAATAAATAATAAAATAAATAATAATAATGACCAGATTTGCATTAACGATTCCGTTTGGGGTTTGGGGAGAAATTAATCTGCACAGTAAAAATATATTATATATCCAGAAAAAAATATCCAGAAAATTTTAAAAACAATTCATGCACCCAACCAAGGATAAAATAGGTTGAGATGAATGGACATGACTAATGGGGGGGGGGTGAGCGGGGGGAATGTCTCAACTCCGCGTAAAAGCTGAGTCAGATCATGCCAGCCGAATCATTTCCTCCCAAATGAAAATT